ACTTTTTTTTTTTTTTTTTTTTGAGACTAAGTCTCTCTACACAGCTCTGGCTGTTCTGGAACTAACTCTGTAAACCAGGCTGGCCTTGAACTCACAGAGATCTGCCTGCCTGTGCCTCCCAAGTGCTGGAACTAAAAAGCATGTGCAACCACACCTGGCTGACTTGTTTTTACATTTTATTTGCAGTTGTGTGAGCATGGGGGGGGGTCGTGCTGCAGTGTGCTCTCGGGAGTCAGAGGCAGCTCTGTGGAGCTGGCTCCCCTTCCCCGTTTACTCTTCTGATGGATGGAGCCCTGGCTGCTGTCTCTCTGGGAAGTGCCTTTTACAGCCGAGCCATCTCCCCAGCCCCTTGCTTCACTCCCTAACACACCCAGGATGCCCTCACTTACACTTACTCTGTGGAGCGGGAAAGAAGGCTCGGTGGGTAAGAGCCCTTGTTGCTCTTGCCTTGCCGAGGACCTGGGTCTCATTCCCAGCATCTGCATAGTGGTTCACATCCATCCATAACTCTAGCTCAGGGGCCTGAAGTCCTCTTTTGGCTTCTGGGGGCAATAGATAATGGCCACATAACCCTGGCTGGCCTGGAACCAGATACTTACAGCAGGTAGACCTTGAACTTGCAGTGATTTGGCTTCTAAGTGGTAGATATGGGAGCCCAACATCCATGCCCTCCCCCACTTTCTAGATAGGGTCTTTCTCCACTGGCCAGTTGACCTCATCCTCCAGAGTTCTGGGATTACAGAGAGGTGTAGGTTCTCATACTACTGTGGCTGGAGTCTGAGCTCTTTCTAGAGACTTCCTGGCAGATAAGTCCAGGACGAATTCTTTTTCCCTCAAGTAGCCCAGGCTGGCCTCACTAAACACTAAACTTTGATCACGAAATTTTGACCCTTTTGCCTCAGTCTCCCCAGGGCTAGGGCTTGAAGCCAGGACTTCACACACTTAGGCAAGCATTCTGTCAACTGAACTAGATGCTCAGACCCAAGATTCAAAAGAAAAGAAAATCGCATTTACTTACTGTGTGGGAGGTGTACAGGCACACATGGCACACATTCAGAGGGTAAAGAACACAAGTTTGGGTGGTTTTTTTTCTTCCATCATGTGGGGCCCAGGGATGAAACTTAGGTCCCCAGGCTTGGCAGCAGGTGTGTTTAACCCACTGAGTCACCCCCCCAACCTCACCCCAGGATTTTTGACTCAGCCACAGAAAAATTTCAAGATGAGTTTGATGAGGGTTTTTTTTGACATTTTTGTGTGTGTACTCTCCCACGTGTAGGTCAGAGGTCAACTTTTAGGAGTCAGTTCTCTTCTGAAGGACTTGGCATCTGCTAAGCCATTTCACTGGCTCCTTAGAAATTTACTTTTAAATGCACACACACACACAGAGCGCTCTCTAGAGGGATTGAAAAACCTCAGCATCAAAGCGCCGGGCACTGAACCGAACCCTCTGCCCAAGAACCGGGGCCAGACCACTGGCTGCAAATGCAAGAGGTGATTTATTGAGTACACAGGCGCCTGCGGATGCTACTGCAACTCGGGTGCAGAGCATCCCGGGCTTTCAGGGAGTACAATATTTATAGAGTTTCAATGGTTACATAAGTAACAGGCATTTCATTGGCTCATCTTGGGGGCAGGGGTAGTTCCCACGGACTAAGTTTCCTGGTATTACTTTATGAAAGACCCAGGCATACTTCAGCAATTATAATCCTGGTCCCATGACTACTATGGTGATCATAGACACAACTGGGGGCAAGGGTAGTTGCCAAGGACTAGGTGTCCTGGTATTGTCATATGAAAGTTCCCAGCACGCTTCAGCAATTATTATCCGGGTCCCATGATTGCTATAGTGATCAGACACAATTGGGGGCCAGGGTAGTTGCCAAGGACTAGGTTTTCTAGTATTGTCATATGAAAGTTCCCAGCACACTTCAGCAATTATTATCCGGGTCCCATGACTGCTATAGTGATCACAGACATCCTGTTTTGAGGGTGAGACACCTGGTCTGGGTTTCTTTCATTAGGCAACGGCCTGGCCTTGCTTTTCTTTTCCTAGGGGGGCCCTGGGTAGGGGTCTTTCAGGATCTAATAAAGACATCCAGGAACCAGCCATGGTGGCACACTCTCGGAAGGCAGAGGCAGGTTGATCTCTGAGTTTGAGGCCAGCCTGGTCTACAGAGCAAGTTCCAGAACAGTCAGGACTACACAGAGAAATCCTGTTTTGAAAAACCAAAGCCAACCAACCAACGGAACAGACAAATAAACAAAAAAGGTACCTAGGGAAGGGTGAGGCCCACCTAAAAGTGTGGGCTTGGGCTTCTCCGGAAAGCTGGCTGTTTTTACAAAACCCAGCTTTGGTGACTTCCGAAGTCAGGGCTCACAGGTGGCTAAGGAACTTTTTGGGGGGAGGACATCATTGGATGGTTGGTTCCTGATGTGTCAAGGATGAGATTGTAGCCAATCAGGTAAAACCCTCCTTCCCAAGGGCTGCACTGGAAATTTGAGTGTTTTCACTTTAATTTTGGGAGAGTCCCAGAAAACTTGTGAGTAGGGAGTGAAGCCATAGTTACAGTAATCTATGCTCAGGCCTTAAGAAGACTTTACTGCTGTGAGCTACAGAGATGGCTTGTGGTTTTAGGTGGTAAGCTAAAACCACTTATTATATGAGCGAAGCTTGAAGACTTGAGTTCAGACCTAGGAGAAAAATGACTCCACAAGGGAGTCTCTGCCCACCACATGCAGGCCCCAGTATATCTTATTCATATTTTATATTCATTGGGTTTAGTCTGTATGTCTGTCTGTGTCAGGGTGCCAGATCCCCTGGAACTGGAGTTACAGACAGGTGTGAGCAGCCATGTGGGTGTTGGGAATTGAACTGGGTCCTCTAGAACAGGAGCCGATGCTCTCAACCACTGAGTCATCTCTCCAGCCTCCATTGTTTTTTAATTTTTCTATCTATGTCTGTGGGTGTTTTGCCTACATGTAACATGCAGTGCCCGCAGAGGCCAGAAGGTAGTGCCAAATCTCTCAGAGATGGCATTTCAGCTCATTGTGAGCCACTAAGTGGTGCTAGGATTGGAACCCAAGTTCCAGAAGAGCAGCCAGTGAGCAGCCTCTATAACCCTCTTTATTTATTATTATCACTTTTTTTGTTTTTTTCCCCTCAAGGCAGGCTTTCTCTGTGTAGCCCCAACTGTCCTGGAACTCGCCCTGTAGACCAGGCTGGCCTTGAACTCATGGATCCACCTGCCTCTGCCTCCTGAGTGCTGGGATTAACGGTGTGTGCCACTGCCTTTTCAAATTCCTTGCAAAAATTGCATGTATTTGGTATGTGTGTCATAGTCAGGGTTTCTATTGCTGGGACAAAACACTATGGCCAAAGCAACTTAGGGAAGGAAGGTTTATTTGGTTTACACTTCCACATCACTGTTCATCATGGAAGGAAGTCAGGGCGGGAACCTGGAGGCCGGAGCTGATGCAGAGGCCATGGAGGGCACTGTTCATTGTCTCGCTCAGTCTTCTGTCTTACGGAACCCACTTCCATCAGCACCGGGATGGTTCCACCCACCATGGGCTAGACCCTCCCCCACCAACTGTTGATTTCAAAAAGTGCTCTACTCAACCGAGGTTCCCTCCTTTCAAATGACCGAGCTTATTTGACATAAGTGGACGGAAGGCTAGCTAGCACAGCGTGTGTGCGCATGTGTCACCTCACGAGTGGGGAGGTCAGAGGACAATTTGCAGGAATTAGTTTTCTCCTTCTACCGCGTGTGTTCCAGGAATAGCAGGGTCATTAGGCTGGTGGCAAGCCCTGTTATCCAAAGTCATCTTGGCAGTCCTATTTTTAGCATTCACATTTGAAAATGTCTTTATGTGGGAGGCCTTCTTGGCAAACATTAATTGTGCTAGAATTCTCATTCTCAGCAGGTGGGAGGCTTCGTTTCGACTCTGCATGGCCTTCCCAGGTTAATTTAATTTTCTCCATCTTGCCTTAATACCTGCTTACCTAGTTCCTTGAGCCTCAACCTCAGAAGGTACACCTAAGCACACAGTAGGTCTCTACTCAGAACTTGGGCATGTTAGTGCAGCAGACCACTTCCCTACCTTGTGGGCTGCCCTAGGCTCACTCCCTGCACCACAGGAGAGTAGACAGATGGGTGCCTGAGTGGGAGGGGCTCTCACACTCAAATCCCAACTACTCAGCGGCTAAGGGAGAAGGACCATTTGGGGAAAGGAGCCAGAACAATCATTTATTAAGATTTAGTGAACTTTATTCAGGGGGAAAGAACTACCCAGGGTGGGAGGGGCTCTGGAGAAGGAATCCCCAGAAGGCCCTTTAAAGACCTCAGCAGCTCAGGCCGGCTGAGGAAGTAGAGGAAGACTGTCTCAAAAAAAAAGTAAAGTTACCCTGTGTTTAAAGTCCGGTGGGTAGAGCACTTGCTGGGCAAGCATGAGGACTGGAGTTCGTATCCCCAGCAACCACATAAAAGCCAAGCACAGCCGCTGGCATCTGTAACCCTAGGGCTAGGGAGGCCGAGAAAGGAGGATCCCTGTAAGGTGCTGACCAGCCAGTATGTCAGAGTAGCAGCTCCAGGTTCAGCGGGGACTCTGTCTCACAAATTAAGGTAGATCGGGAGTGAAGAAGACAAGTGACCCCCTCGGGCCTCCTAGTGCACCAACACACACACACACACACACACACACACACACACACACACAGGTTAAAAAGAATTTGTTGGGGTGGTGAGATAGCTCGATGAGTAAATGTGCTTGCTGCCAAGCCTTACTAGAGTTCAATACCGAGGACCCACGTGATGGACGGCGAGAATCCAAGCCCTCGAGTCGTTCTGCATCTCCCCAACTACACATATGCCACACAAACCAAAGAGCCAATGGTGAACGCCCAACCCCTACATCCCAGCACTCATAGGGGTGTCACTGTCTGGTGTCTCAAAGGCCCTCTGCTTTACTCCTCCCGCAGCTGGGGAAACTGAGGCCGACTCGGGACGCGCCCCTTGGCACAGCCTAGGAAGCCTGTGCTGACAGCTGAGTCACCGGGATCTCAGAAGAGTTTCCCCCAAAGCCTCCCCGCCCGGTGACTGGAAAAAGTCGGACTGTCCAGAAGCCAGATCGTCACATGGCTCTGGCGGAACAGACCCACAGAAAGTCCCCGAGGTCGTCCCTCTCTCGGGCCACCGAAACGACGCGGCAGAGGGTTGCCCGGGGCCGCCAAGCCCCGCCCCCGCCCGCAGCGGAAGCCGGAAGCAGCCGCAGGCCCCGCTAGCCCCGCGGCGCCCGACTCGATAGTCTCGGAGGTCCGCGCATTGGCGAGAAGATGGCGGAGGAGGAGTGAGTGCGCTGCTCCGGGTGGCGGAGGCGGCAGGGCCGGGCCGGTGGGCGTCAGCGGGCCTCGGGCGCCCGGGTGGAGTGGCTCTGGCCCAGCCGGCCGGGGTCGGCGGTGGGAGGTGGGGGCGGGATTGGGACTCGGGCCCTGCGGCTTGCCCGAGGTCATACATGGGCCTTCCGTAGCATAGCCGGGCGGAAGCGTGAACATAGTTCCCTTGCCCTATTTCCGGTTATCAGAGGTGTCCCGGGCGCTCCTCCTCCTCCTCCAGGAAGCCCTCCCATTGCCACACAAGCCGCCCGCGTCCTCCTTAACCATCAGCAACCTTCAGCGTTCACGTCTGTGCCCGGAAGGTTTCGTTCATTGACTGCTGGTTGACCGTTCTGCTGTAGCAGGGCACTGTGTGGAGGCAGGGTGTTTTCCCATCCTGCCAAACGCTTGAGAGAAAATTGAATAGTGTGAGGGGCGAGGAGTCGGCCCCTGAAGAAAAATGTCGTGTGACCCGACACTTGAGTGCACGGGAGAGATAGGAAGGTGTAGCTCAGTGAGTCCCCAGTCCAGTCCTTAGCCCTTCCGGGAGGAAAGGGGACAGGGCGAGTACTTTGGAGTGATGCTGGTTGACAGTGTAGGGCTCCAGCTCTCTGGGCATATGCCGCCGTTAGTACGTTGTCATACGTGGCAGGGACACGTCTGTTGTGGTGTGTTACAAATTCCGACTTTGGAATGAGCTCCTGAAAGTTGACCAGGAACCCTTAAATGACCCTGGGCTTGTACTGGGATCATTCCATTTCAGGTATCTCTTGGCCAGTCTGGTACCAAGTCATTAACTCACTGTGTATCTGTGCTGTCCCAGACACTAAAGTAGGCTTTGGCAGTTCAAGGCCAAAAAGAGAAAATGTAGAGTCAAATGGTTTTAAGTTGTGTTTGGAGTCTCAAGAGATGCTATGTTACTAGATCCTGGAGTGGGCAGGGCTCGTTGACTGCCACCTGTTACAGTCACAACTGTGTCACTACAGCAACCTAACTACACAAACCTAACACTGAGAGCAAGGACCAAAGTCTTGGGTGGTGTGGGGTGTTCCAGAGCAGGCAACCTGCGCGTTTTGAAACTCAAGAAGTGTTTGGCACGGTAGGGTACGGCATTCTTAACACAGCTGGGCAAACTCATTATTCATGGAAATAATCCCAGAAGGGCTGAGATCTAAGTGCCTGCCACACACAAAGTCCTGGGTTCAATCTCCAGTAACACAAACAGTGCATGCAAAATCCAAGGAGACTGTAAACCAGGAGGTAAAGGCACCAAGTGAATTATCTGGGATATGGGGAGACTCCCGTCACCTCCCCCCCCCCAGTTTATTTTGTTTTTCTTTTTGAGACCGGTTCGTGTAGCCCACAGGGCGGTCTTGAATTCACTGTGTGTAGCTATGTAGCCTAGGGGGCCCTTGACCTTGAACTCCTTATTTTCCTGCCTTTGTCTCCCAATGCAGGGATTACAGGCATGGGTTACCATACACTGCTACCCTCACTGAGTTCAAAGGACAGACAGCATTTCCTCTTAGTTGTTTTTGGTGGGGAGAAAGAGGGTTGACCTGTAGTCTGGTGTGTGCTGCAAAAGTGTTCTGCTGCGGAGCTGTTTTTACTAATTTATTGGAGACAGAGCTTCACCGTGTGGCAAACTTTTGTGGTCCTCCTCTGTTGGTGTTACAGGTCCTCTTTTACTTATTTTGAGACAGGGTCTCACTAAGTTTTCTAGGTTGGCATTGAACTCACTATCCCCTGCAGGCTTTTAACTTGTGGTCCTGCCTAATCAACTGTTTGGTAGCCTTAGACTGAGCATTTTTGTTTTGTTAGAGTTTCATGTGGCCCAAGCTGGTCTTTCAGCTGAAAATGCCCTCAAATTCTTGATCACTCTCCTCTTCTTCCTGAGTGCTGTGATCATAGCTCTGTCACATGCACTCACCTGGTTTATGCAGTACTGGGGATCTAACCCAGGGCCTCCTTTTGGGCACTACCAGCTGAGCCACATCCCTGGCCCTAGACTCAGCCTTTTACTTTCTTTCTCCACAAGCCTGACTCCCCCCCCCCCAACTTCTTCCTGGCCTCTGGATGGCCACTGGCACCTGGTACCTTGCAGGCAGAGCTTCCTTCCCCCTTCAAGGCCTGCCTGCTGTTTGCACCCTCGGGGCTTTGCTAGGTCTCCATCAGTCAAGGTGTGTGTTTTGATGCCTTGGTCCTCTTCTTATCTGACTACTGCCTGCGTGTTTCCAATAGGTTCTCCAACACAACCCATGGGAGCTTCAACTTCACCCTTCACACTACTCTGGGCGTCACCACGAAGCCGGTGCTCCCGACACCTGCCAAGCCCATCCTCCCAGTGCAGACAGGGGAGCAGGCCCAGCAGGAGGAGCAGTCAAGTGGCATGACCATTTTCTTCAGCCTTCTCGTCCTAGGTGAATAAGCCCAAAGGTGTCTGTTACCTGTCAAGACTTTTGCTTCCTGAACTCGGAGGCCTAGCAGTTCTGAAAAGCTGTTAGTGCAGTGTCTTAGCTTGGGACACACACACACACAACCCCCCCCAGACAGGATCTCTCTATATACAGCCCTGGCTGTCCTAGAACTTTCTTTGTAGACTAGGATGGCCTCAAACTCACAGAGATCCACCCACCTCTGCCTCCCGTGTGCTGAGATTAAAGGTGTGTGCCACCATGCTTGGCTAAGAAAGAGCTTTTGATCTGGAAAGATATGGTGGCTTGCACTTGTAATTCCTTCAGGGGTCAAGCAACCCTTTCACAGGGATTGCCTAAAACCACCAGAAAACACATATTTATATTACGATTCATAGCAGTAGCAAAATCACAGGTATGAAGTAGCAGCAAAAATAATGTTGTCGCTGTTGGTGAACAAAACATGAAGTGTATTACAGGACCGCAGCACTGCAAAGGTTGAGAACCCTGGTCTAGATGATCTATGGAAGAAAACACTTAAGGGGTGGGACCCAGTCTGTCCTTTCCAGATAGTAAAGCTGCCGTATTTACGATTCTGCCATTTTTTTTTTCCCTTCCGTGTTTTTGGAGACAGAGTCCCATGATGCTCAGGGTGACCTGGACTTATCAGCCTTTCTCCCAAGTGCTGCGATTGTGGGCATGTACTACCACTCCAGGCCTTACTTACCCTCCGCTCTGCTCTTCTTTGGTGATACCAGACATTTCCAGGGGAACAGAAGGCAGAACTGGGTTTTAAGTATTTTCTTTCTTGAGAAAGGGTCTCAGTAATTCAGGCTGGCCCCCAATTTCATAGCTGGGGGTACCTGACCTTGAACTTCTGATTCTCCTGCTTCTGCCTTCCCATTGCTGGGATCATAGGTATGCCACCATGTCCTGTTTGAGTATTTTTCTGATGTCTGTTAGGACTAGATTTTGAAGACAAATACAGTTTTTTTTTCACATTTATATTCAGACTGTAGTAAATAGTCAAGGAACTGAACACCACAGTAAAGACCATATGGTCTTTTGTTTTTGTGAGGCCCAGATTGGCCTCAAACTCCGAGTGGTCCACCTGCCTTTTCCTTCCCTGTGCTGGACTGCAGGTGGGTAGGCAGGCACCACCACACCCTGTCTTTTGGTACAGCCCTGGAACAGCAAATCTTCAGTGTATGAAGTTTTCTTGGAGGATGTTGACCAATGGCTATGAGACATGCCTGGAAAGGGCTTTTGTAGCTTCTTTGTTGCTGAGGTGTTGAAGGTCACTTTCAGGGTGTGGAGCACTTAAACTTGGCTTGGTTGTGACCACAGAACTGACCTGCACAGTGTACTTTTTACTCTAGCTTGCAGCTGCTAATCCCCTTGGAGGCAGAAAGGGCTGCACTGTGCTCAGAGGCTCCAGGTTCTCTTGGGTCATTGGCTGGCTGTTTGTTTGTTTGAGAGAGACTGGGTCTCACTGCGGTCTGGAACTCAGAGATAACTGCCTCTGCCTTCCCAGGTGTTAGGATTAAGTGTCAGCCACCAGGCTGGGTTCCTAGGGTGATTTTGAACTCCTTAATTCTCCTGCCTCCACCTCTCTGGATCACTGGCTTGTGACACTACCCCTGACTCTAAAGGCATGGTTTCTCCTGTGTCCTGTATTATCGACAGCCATTCCTGATGAGGTTTCCAGACAAACAAAGCCAACCTGATAAGAGGAAACTATTAATAAGTGACTGAAGAATTCACTGACCCTCCTGTAACCTGCTGGTGGCTAGTGTCCTAGTGTTTTCTAGACCTTGGGAACCCCCTTCCGGCCATACAGCCTCCACTTTTGTTTCTGAGTGAAGTCATTAGAATTGTACCCTGGTGTTCTCCTAGCTTGTCACAGAGCTTGTCATAGTAGTCCAGCATGGCCCCTTGGCTGAGGAGGGGGGCTTTTCCTTGTATTTCACCCTCGCTGAGTTTTGGTTCCACAGGAAACAGTGAGTCAGTTACCATTTAACCTTGTCTGGCACAAACATTCTAGTTATTGAGTTCACACCAAGTGTTCTGGGCAGAAAGGCAGAGAAGCTGGTTAGCTCCCAGTAGATGTGACTGAGCAGGAAATCCCACCAATCCCGGACCTTGCCCCAAAGTCTGCAGACAGAATCCCACTAATCCCTGAGCTTTCCACAAGATCAGGCCACAAAACAGCACACCTGAGTAGACCATTATAACTTTAGGAATTAAAAAGCCTTAATGATCAAATCTGTGTTGTTATGTCCTGTTTTCTATAAACTTTGTTCATGATTTTATCTTCATCTGTTATTTTTCACTCATGGCAAAAAGCATCATACAAAAATCTGTCCAAAATATCTTGAAGGCCTGCTGTTGCCTCATGAATGTAGGGAAAATAAAATAAAACAAACCATCTTGGAGGTCTAGTGTTGCCTTCTGAGTCTAAAAAGGGAAATGCAGTGATAACCAGAGGGCTCAATGGGACTAGTTGCTTTATTGGTGCTGCTTTAGTTGGTTTATACCATGTGGTCACCTTAGCCAAGATGGTAGTAAGGTCACATGGCATGCCCTTTCTTTAACCTTAGTGATGACAGCTGCTGGCCACATGGCCACTTCCATCCTGATGAGGTCATCAGTCAAGATGGCAGCAGGCCATGGTTGCTGTTTACTCCATGTGAGCCCATCACAGACCCTTCCTTCCCCTCCCCTCCCCTCCCTCCCCCTCCCCCTCCTCTCCCCTCCCTCCCTTCCCCTCCCCTCCCCTCCCCTCCCCTCCCTCCCTTCCCTTCCCTTCCCCTCCCCTCCCCTCCCCTCCCTCCCTTCCCTTCCCTTCCTTTCCTTTTCCTTCCTTTTCTTTTCAAAAACATCTATTTTCCTAAAGAAGAGTTGAGTCAAAGTTCAGATTTTATAGATCTTTTAATCCACACCCAATGAATTATAAATCCTGGGATACAGAGGATACAGAAGTTTATACTTTAGCAAACATTTTTAAAGTTATTGTGGGTATATTCAGAGAGTTAAACATTATACTTTGACATTTTTCAGAGCCGGGAGACAAGCAGCAGCAATCCCTACTGGAAATAGTCTACTTTTTTAGCTGTTTTAAGCACATAGTTTGTTTTCCTGGGCCACTCTGTTTTGCTCTCCTTCTCCCTGTCACAGAGTCAGGTGACCAGCCTGACCCAGGACAGAGACTTTGGAGAACACTTAAACAAGCATGCTTGGGTCTGAAGAAGGAGGGCCAAATCTGAGCTCCAGAGTCAGCCTTTTTAATAAAGTAGAATGGCATGGGGGAATTTTTAATGTTAGCTATATCCAAAGACATTTGAATCCCTGTAAAATGCATTTAGTGAAAGAGGTAGAGACTTGATCAGAGATCAGAGAAGGCTCAGAGGTAAGAGGTTTGGGAATCATTGGCTTGTGTGTGGCAGAAGTTGGGAGAAGCTGGAAATGAATGTGCTAGGTTTTGGCCATTGAGGTTGATTATCTAGTTTGTACTAAGGCCGAGCGTTTTGCAGTAAGATAGCGAGGCTCTAATGGAGAGGAAGAGAATAGAGGCGGCGGGTGAGGAGTCATGAGTCTACTTCAGTATGGGAGGGCTTGTGGTTAGAGGCCAGAGCAAGCTGAGAGAGAGAGAGATCGCGTGCGCACGAGCAGAAGAGCATCCTTTGGTGGAAACAGAATGAGGAGGAGGTGGGAGAGGCCTAGGGAAGGGTCACAAACAGGAACTCTGCCAGAGCAGGGATTCCAACATGGTAGAGCCCCAGGAGGGCATAGAGAAGCTGCCTGATTACCTGCAAAACTTCTGTGGAGGAGGCTCCAGGAGCCAAGAGGCAGAGAGAGCAGGCTCCAGCAAGCCAATGAGAGGGCAGAGACAGAGCAGGCAGCTTCTAGAGTGAGGCAAGGAGAGACAAATGGTTAGCTGTGATACAATCTAAAGCTACTTGGGTCAGTCCCGGGTTTCAACACCAAATATATCTGATGATGCGGAGAAACTACTAAACTGGACTGCTCCCTGGGTAGAAAGGGTTATTGGGGATCAAATTGATAAAGCCATTGAGTGGGGGGCAGAGAGAAGAGGAAATTAAACTGTAGGAAAGCAAATATGTCATATGACAGTCAGCAGGTGGGGGGTCTGAGTTAATATAGAGTGTTAGGATTGACTGGGACTAGATGCCCTTGCTAGAGGCAGTTGACCTTTGGGGCAAGGTTAAGAAAGGTTCTTGGAGGATTAAGGGTATCCATGACAGCCAGGAACCCAATTTAGGAAGATCTGGTTTTCTGCTAAACAGAAACCTGCCTAAAGGCTTGTTTATTCAGTAACAATCCTTCTGTTTACCCAGAAATGTTCCTGTAGTCCAGGTTGAGCTTAATGGACTGCCTTTTGGAGTTTGGGGAATTGGAGTTTCCTTTGGATGTAACATTAACCACCAAAGTATCCTCATTCATTAGTGTTTATCCCATCCACAGTGTTGCTATCCTTTGTAATGTGTCTTTCTCTATACCCACAGCCAGCTCCCAAATAACAACACAGAGACTTATTATGAATTCTCCACCTTAGCTTAGGCTTGTTCCTAACTAGTTCTTATATCTTAGATTAACCCATTTATATTAATCTGTGTTTTGCCATGTGGCTCAGCTACCTCATCTCTGTACTGTCCATCCTGCTTTCTCTGTATCCGGCTGGCAACTCCACCTTTCCTCCTAGAATCCTCTCTTTACTCCAGAAGTCCTGCTTAACCTCTTCCTGCCTAGTTATTGGCCATCCAGCTCTTTATTAAATCAATCAGAAGGCACCTTAGGCAAAGATACATCTTTACAGTGTACACAAATATTCCACAACAGTCCCTGCCATCTGCTTCTAGAAAACTCATCACCCAAGAAGAGGCCTCAGTCCCAGCTATGGCTAGCTGTGATAGGACACTCCTGCTCCCTAAGTCAGCATGTTGGTCATGCTGTCTCTGGGAGTTACCAAGTGAGTTAGCCTCTGTAAATGGAACTGAACTACATGTGGCTGAGTCACTTGGCAGTGTCTTCAGGACATTATGGGGCTGTGGAGGTGATTTAGTGGATAAAGGCACTTGCCACCAAGCCTGACAACGTGGGTTCAGTTCCTGAAATCACATATGATAGAATGAGAGAACCGACTTCTAAAATTGTCCTCTGACCCTACATACTCCCTCCCTCCCACTAAATAAGTAAGTGTAATAAGGAAGACTTTGAAAATTCACCTGTGTTACACAAGAACTCACTGCTTGTAGCTGTAGAGTGTCCCATGTGTCCAGTGCTGACTTTATTCTAGATTGTGGGCACTCTCCCTCTTGGCTGTTGTGAATAGTGTTACTGGTTTCTTTTGCTTAAATGCCCAGGAGGGGATAAAGGCCTAGGGTTCCTTAGGGCTTCAGTCTGTATGCTGTTACCAGTGATGATGTCTTCCTATCATCATTGGCTTTTGGTTTGTTTTAGAGTCAGTCTCACTATGTAGCCCTGGCTGTCCTACAACTTGTTATGTAGATCAGACTGGCCCTTGAACTCTGAAATCTGCCAGCCTCTGCCTCCCAGAGTGCTGGGATTAAAGATGTGTGTTACCATACATAATTTTTTAATCATGTAATTTTTTGTGTGCAGAGGGATGGTACATATGCTGTGTGGAGATGAGAAGATAACTTGCAGCAGTCAGTTCTCTCCTTCACCGTATGTGTTCTAGGGATCACACATTGTCACACAACAAGTATCTTTACCCACAGATCCATCTTACCAGCCCTTAAATTAAATAAATAAATAATTAATTAATTATTTTTTGGTTTTTACGAGACAGGGTTTCTCTGCATTGTTTCGGAGGCTATCGGTCCAGCCTGGCCTCGAACGCACAAAGATCCACCTGCCTCTGCCTCCCGAGTGCTGGGATTAAAGGCGTGCACCACCACCGCCCGGCTTAAATTAATTTTTTAAAAACTTAGTTTGGAGAGAAAGTTAATCAGTTAAGAGGACTGGCTGCTTTTTCAGACCTGAGTTCTGTTCCTAATACCCAGATGGGCCAGCTCAAAGCCTCCTGTAACTCCAGCTCCAGGAAAGCTGATGCCTTTTTGTCTTAGGGTTTCAGTTGCTGTGAAGAGACCATGACCATGGCAACTCTTACAAAGGAAAGCATTTAATTGGGTGGCTTACAGTTTCAGCTGTTCATTGTCATCATGGTGGGACATGGCAGCATGCAGGTAGACACGGTGCTGGAGAAGGAGCTGAGAGTTCTACATCTTGATCCCCAGGCAGCAGGAAGTGAATTGTGACACCGGGTGTAACTTGAGCATAGGACACCTCAAAGCCTACCGCAATGACAGCACTTCCTCCAACAAAGTAGAGGCAAAAACATCAGAAATTCAAGGTCATTCTCCCATACCCCTGAACATAACAAGTATAGCAACATAGGCAACCTGAGACCAATGCTTAAAAAAACAAAAACAACAAAACCATGCAGTGGTGGCACGTACTTGCCTCCTGAGTGCTGGGATCAAAGATGTGTTAGTGAGGATAACAGGGTTACATACAAATGAGGACTACATAGTAAGATCCTGTCTCAAGAACAAAACAAAGAACAAACCATTTGTGGGACTGAGGATGGCTCAGTGGTGAAGAGCATTTTTTTTTTCTTTTTCAAAGGACCCAGAGTTCAAAATTCCAGCACCCACACAATGGTTCTCATAACGTCAGTTCTAGGGGATCCAGTGCCCTCTTCTGGCCTCCATTGGATACTGCAGCCCACATGTTGCACATGCATACATGCAGGCAGGCTTTTCTCTCTGTGTGTGTGTGTGTGTGTGTGTGTGTGTGTGTGTGGCGCGGGTTGAGGGTGGGGTGGGGCTCAGCCCTCAGAAGTAGAATTTGCCCTCCTACATGGTGGTCATGGGACTTGAACTCTAGTTATCAGGTTTATCAGAAAGTGCCTTTATCTGCTAAGCCATCTCACGGGCTCTATAAATAGTCTTTTGTTGTTATTGTTGTTGAAACTTGGCACTGGTGGTGCATGCCTTTAATCCCAGCACTCAGGAGGCAGAGGCCAGTGGATCTCTCAGTTCAAGGTCAACCTGGTCTACAGAGTGAGTTCCAGGACAGCCAGGGCTGCACAGAGAAACCCTGTCTTGAAAAACCAAAAAGAAAAAAGGAAGGAAACACTAAAACTATGGCAGTGTTGACTGCTTGCTTGCCAAGTGTCTGTTAGCTGACAGGCCCAGATAGTCACTCAGATAGTCACTGCCCTGAGCTTGCTGTCTCTTACCTGATGGAGCTTTAAACAGTGCTTCTGCTTCTCACAGCCATCTGTATCATCCTGGTGCACCTGCTGATCCGGTACCGACTACACTTCCTGCCTGAGAGTGTGGCTGTTGTTTCTCTAGGTAAGTGATCCTGGCAGTCCATTCCAGAACACTACACCGTCACAGTAGTGCTGTTTCTCTTGGGGCCACCACAGCCCCACATCTGTAAGAGATGTGTGACTTTCCCAATTCTGCCATCCTTTCTGAAGCTTGCCACAGGGCCTTAGAGTCCATTTTACAGTGGGGCGGGGGGGTGGGGGTCTGAGAAGGGTGCTGACACTCTAAGGGTGACAGAGAAGCCCAGCGATCACCAGTGGCTCTTTCTGTGACCTCCTGCTTCTCCCCATGGCAGTGTCCAGCTCTACTGAAGTTGGTGGTTGTTGGTCTTTAGCTTGCAGAGTCACTGTGACAGCCAGAGGGCCCTAGCTTTACAGATGGCAAATGACTCCTGTAGCACCAGAGCCTCCGTTCCCTCCCTCCCTCCCTCCCTCCCTTCCTCTCTCCCTCCCTCCCTTTCTGGGGCATTTCAGAAAAGGATTACAAAGCTACTTCAGGGAATTGACAGTTTCCTGGGTAGTTTTACCATTTATTAAGAATAACTATTGGGGGGGCTGGAGAGACGGTTCAGCAGTTAAGAGCACGGGTTTCTCTTCCAGAGCATCCAGGTCCGATTCCCAGTTAACCCACATGACAGCTTACAACTGTCTGTTACTCCAGTTCTAGGAGATCTGCTGTCCCCTTCTGGCCTCTTTGGGTACTGCACACAGGTGGTGCACATACATACACGAGGACAAAACACTCATTTGCATAGTAAGAGAATAAATATTTGGCTGGGTAGGTTAATATGAGTTTGAGGCCAGCCTGATCTGTGTGTCAAGTTCCAGGACAGTCAGGGTTACATAGGGCTACCCTGTGTAGGAAAGAAAAAGAGAGAGAATAAAAGTTGGTTCAGTGGTTGAGTGTTTGTTAACTGCTTTTACAGAGGGGCTAGATTCAGTTCCCACTACCACGTGGTAGCTCATAATCATCTGTAACTCTAGTTCTAGGGAATCTGATGTCCTTAGGCAGCAGACATGCTTGTAGTGCACAAACATCCACACATAGAATTGTTTTCAAAAAGGCGAATCCTTAAAAATAATTAAAAATTAGGGGCAGGAGAGGTGGCTCAGTGATTAAGAGCGCTTGCTGCTTTTCCCGAGGACACAGCTGAGTTCTGAGCACCCATATCAGGTGGTTCAGAGCTGGCTGTGACTTCAGAGGGTCCACCACCTACCTACTTGTGGGCATGTGCACACATCCATATATAGGCAGAGTGTTAAATGCTGGTGGCTGCCTGACACTAGCACTGCAGACATGGCTGCCTGGCGAGAGCCCTTTGTGGCTGGGGAATGAGCCCAGGGTCCCACAGGGGCTAGACTGGTGGGTGCTCTCTCACTGAGCTATATTCCCACCCACCTTTATTTCCCAGGGTTTCCCTGGCTGTTTTGTAACTCCCACTGTAGACCAGGCTGGCCTTGAACTCAGAGACCCGCCTGTCTCTGCCTCCTGAGTGCTGGGATTAAAGGTGTGCACCACCACCCAGCAGAATTCTCGTTTTGATTGGGCATCTTTTTGTAGGGCCCAAGGAGGAAGGGGTGCTTGATCTTGGCTATAGTAACATCACATATTTCTTTGCTGTGACTGGTTGAGAGGGATAAGAGAATTGGGCCAAAGGGAAGTATGAGGAGGGGCTGGAAAAAAAGACATTTTCCTTCCTGGTAGAATCAAGAAAAGTTAACCCCCACTCCCTTCCTTTGATGCTGCAGTTGAGGATGTGATGCCTGGAGCACTGTAGTCATCTTGCTCAAATGACAAAAGCCAGAATACTGAGTATGGCCAAGGGGACATGGGAAGCCGGTGTCTTGGTGTCTTGTTGTTTTCTTGAACTGATGGCCCACTATAACCTGGGGCTGGGAGATGGTTCAGTGGGTAAAAGTGCTTGCAACCAAGCCTTCAGCCTGAGTTTGATCCCCAGCTTTCCACATGGAGTGAAAGGAAAAACTGACTTTCCAAGTTGTCCTTCGAGCTCCACACACTATAGCATGGACACCCCCGCCCCCACAAAATGAATTGATTATTTTTTAAATGGAAAGACCACCCTTCTCCAGCTGGAGCATTCCTTGTGTCATAGTACTGAGGTGGCCACTTCAAGAACAGCTCCATGTGAGGCTGAAAGGAGTCAGGCCTGTCCCCTTGGGTATGTGTGGCCTGCAATCACTTAGTGCGTATTGAGTGGCCTTTTGTGTTGAGGTTAAGAGGACTTCCGTCCACACTTAAAAAGCATTTCCTCTTCCACTTCACTGTTCTTTGAATAAGAGCCTAGCTGTCTCTTCACTTGCTATAGAAACAGTTCTAATTGTATGTTCAGAAGAGGATTGCTTGATCCTTTTTTTTTTTTTTTTTTTTTTTTTTTTGAGACAGGGTTTCTCTGTGGCTTTGGAGGCTGTCCTGGAATTAGCTCTTGTAGACCAAGCTGGTCTTGAACTCACAGAGCTCCCCTGCCTCTGCCTCCCGAGTGCTGGGATTAAAGGCGTGTGCCACCACCACCCGGCACGGTTCCTTGATCCTTGGTCCTTGGGTATCTCTGTGTTTGGGGGCATCACTCACAGGAGCAGAAATGGCTCAAATTCCACCAAAGCCCACCCCAGCATGGGTGACAACTCACAAAGAGGAAACCTGGGGTACACTTGGCCTGCCAGCAGCTTAACAGGTAGAGTTGGCATTTCCAGGCTGCTCAGCTGATCTCTGTTCCTTCCAGACAGCTACAGCTGCTGGGAGAGGGCAAGGCAGACTTTTTAAAGAGGTGTGACCCCAGTAAAAGGCCACATATCCAAGAGTGTTTACGGATAGCATGTATGAACTTGATGGTTTTGTTTTTCAAGACAGGCTTTCACTATTATAGTGTTGGCTGTCTTGGAACTCACTATATAGACCAGACTGGCCTCAAACTCAGAGAGATCCATCTGCCTCTACCTCCCAAGTGCTAGGATAGAAGGTGTAAGTCACTATATGGCCAGTGAGTTTTTTAAAAAATAGAAGGACACAAAGTTGAATAACATTGCAGAAAACAAAGTGAAAAACAAAAATCAGAGACAGAAGGATCAGGGATTCAAGGCTCTCCTTAGCTACACAGTTTGAGACCTGACTCTCTCTGTTCACCTCAACCTGCCTTCCTTTATAGACCACACACAATTGTGTGTGCTCCTGCTGTTTGCATATGTAGAGGTCAGAGGACAACTTTTGGGAGTTCTCTTTGTAGCGTGTGGGCCCTGGGTTAGAATTCATTTCATTGTGTTTAATGGTAAATGCCTTTGCCACCTGTGCCACCCCATCCCCAACCACCATGTTTAAACAGCAGGAATAAGAATAAGTAGTGTGGGACAACCCTGGCCGATAACCCTCTGCTGTTTTTCATTGAAACTGGCTGGTACAGGGAGGTGACCAGCTGTGTGTCCTCCACACCAGGCACAACAGTGACAGGTAGGTGTTTCTTCTCCCCACAGATCTTAGATTTTGTCATGGTGTGCGCCTGAGATAAGAGTGGGAAACTAACAGTGATTTGCACTGCTTCGTGGTAATTCCTGTCTTTATTCTCAGAAACAGACTTGTAGAACTCTAGGGCAGCCTGCTGGAGTAGAGAGTGCCCCGTCTATAGTATCGCCCAGTCCAGCCAAGTGACCTGGTGCTGTCTCTTCTGAACTTTGCTTTTTCCTTCCAGGTATTCTCATGGGAGCAGTTATAAAAATTATAGAGTTTAAAAAGCTGGCTAATTGGAAGGTAGGTTTGACGTTTTGACATAATCACAGCTTTTGCTTCTGTGTGTGTGTGTGTGTGTGTGTGTTCATGCATGAGCACATGTAACATGTATGGAGACTGTGTTGCATGTTCTTCTGGAGCTTATTTTTTGGAAAAGATCTCTCACTGGCCTAGAACTCATTATGTAGGCCAGGCCAGGAGGCCATGAAACCCAGGAACCATGATGTCTCTGCCTCCCTGGTGCTGGGATTCCAAGTATGCATCTTATCTTTATGTTTAATTGCCAGGGATAGATCCCTCCTCTGTCTCCTGAGTGCTGAGATTAAGTTGCCAACATACTTGGCTTGTTTTGTTTTATTGAAACAGGGTCCCTTTGTACCCAGGCTTACCTGGAATTGTCAGTCCTCCTGCCTCAGTCTCCCAAGTAAGACGAAGGAATGTCATGAACCCTGCTGGGGGATGTTCGCTTAAACTGGTGCTGAGGATGGAACTCAGGACCTTTAGCATGCTAAGCATGGGCTTTTCCCCCTGAGCTGCAGCCCTGCAGCCTACATTTGCTTTATAAGTGGATGAGATGCAAATGGAGTCAGGGACTGCTGGAGAGGCAGAGCCTAGTGTGTGGCCTGGGCTCCAGACTAAGGTGCTGATGGCTGTGGTTAAGTTCTCTATTGTGAGGACTGGATCCCAGTATCCATGCTGGGCAGGTAGTTCACAAACATCCAGTTGCTCTCCAGGAACCTGACCTCTTCTGGTCTACACACGCGCGTGCGCGCGCATGCGCGCGCACACACACACACACATACGCACACCTACTTTTTGAGATTTATTTATGTTTTGTCTGCATGTATATCCATGTTTGATATATGTGCCTGGTACCCACAGAAGCCAGAAGAGAGCATCAGATCCCCTGGAACTGGAATAACAAAGAGTTGTTAGCCTTGATATGCATGGGTGCTGAGACTCAAACCTGGGTCCTCGAGAGTAACCAGTGCTTTTTAACCCCTGAGATGTCATTTTAGTCCCAGGACAAATCTTTGAAAACAAGAAAAGTAAGAAAACAAAATTTGTTTTTTGGTTTTTTGTTATGGGTTTTTGTTTGTTTTTTTTTTTTTTTTTGTGACAGGGTCTCTTATGTAGTCCTGGCTGTCTAGGATCTAGCTGCTTACCAGGCTGGCCTTGAATTCACAGAGATCCTCCTGCCTCTGCCTCCCAAGTGCTGAAATCAAAGGTGTGTACCTGAAAAGAAAGCAAATTTGAAGGGAAAAACCATCCAAGTTTCCTTGTCTGTGAGGTAGTGGTGTTGGACCCATATTGCTCAAGTTCCAACCACAGTCACCTTAGACCAGTCTTGGGACATGGCCAAAAGGTGCGTGGGCCCTTCCCGTGGGGTCTTCTGGTCTGTCCTCTGACTTGCAGGAGGCTCCCTTAGCTCAGTGAGCATAAGGACTTCACTGTAATCCCCAGCACCAAGAAAACATGAAGCAAAGCAAACACATTGTCTGTGGGTCTGTGCCTCTGTGGTCTGCTTCCGTCCTTTCCTCATTTACATACTTATCCTGACCCTCAAAGACCTATTCCAAGTCAGATCACAGTCTGAACTTCCTGGTGGACTGGCCTGGAGGAGGGGGACACTGCAACCCCACTGCAAACAGCTCCTCCTTTCCCAGGAGCTAGCTGCTCACCCTCAAAGCAGGCGGTGCCCTTCACTGTGGTTCTGGAGTCAGACTCAGGGCCAGTGCCTCAGCCCCTGAGCTGTTCTCTAGCCCTGTGCTGTATGTCAGAGGCAGTCAGTGACTTATTGTTTGTGCTTGGTTTGTCACCTGACTGCTGCTTCGGGGTTACGCATTTCTGCCAAGCTAGGCCCTGAGCAAAGGGTTCCTCAGCGTTCACTGACTGGTGGATAGGTCTCATGGTTGTACAATCCCACTCCTCTGAGTGTCCTCCCTTTTTGACTTCACAGGAGGAAGAAATGTTTCGCCCCAACATGTTTTTCCTTCTCTTGCTCCCACCTATTATCTTTGAGTCGGGATATTCACTGCACAAGGTAAAATTCCCCGGGAGCGGTGCTCAGGTGGGGACAGCTGCTCCTGTCCATGGGGCAGGCTCCTTTAACAGCAGTGGCCACCCCTTCCTGGGAAGAACTGAGACTGCCTTGCTGACCCTGCACAGGTGATCTGAGCTTCTGGGTGAGCATGAAGGTTGAGGACTATGGACGGGACAGCAAGCTGCACGAGATAAGATCTCACTGTGTAGTTACTGAACCTGGGTGCTAGGATTAAAAGTGTGTACCACCACACCTAGCCACAGTGCATCCTCTTACTGTTAAGCCATGTCTCCCCCCAACCCCGAGGATATTCTTGAAGTAAACCTTGTCCCTAAAAACAAGGAACAGAAACTTTGATTGTTAAAAATCTTGGTGGTGCCTCCTGAGTGGAGTCTGTGAGGGTCTATAGCTTCATTTCCTTCATCATGTGGAAATGTGGAATTTTCCATGCTGCTGGAACTCAAATATTTTCTCTCTTTTATGGTTTGGGTTCTTTTGAGATAGGGTCTCATGTAGCCCAGGCTGATCTGGAACTTTCTATGTGACTGAGAACTGCTTACACCTCCCAGGTGCTAGGATTATAGGTGTGTGGCCCAGGATCTGGTGTATGCGGTGCTGGGGTTAAACCCAAGACTTCATGCATTGCTAGGCAAGCACTCAGCAATTTACACACACACATACACACCCCACCCTCATACACACACCCAGCTGAGCTCTCTGCCTGTCTATTTGATGATGCTGACACAGCATAAAGGACCTGACTGACCTAGGAGCAGTATGGCTAAGGAGAAGGTTTTTACTGTAGATATGAGGGAGAGAACAACCAGAGGCTTCTAGAAAGGCCCAGACTGAACATGGGTAGCAGAGTAGACTGGGTCATGAGAGGAGAGAAAAAGGAGAGCAGAGAGGAAGAGAAGAGAGGGGCAAGCTGACCAAGAGCAGAGCTGAAAGAGCCTGTGACTGAAATGGCTGAGTTCACCAGGCAGTGGCGCACACCTTTAATTCCATCACTCAGGAGACAGGCAGGCAGATCTCTGTGAGTTCAAGGCCAGCCTGGTCTACAGATAGAGTTCCAGGACAGCCTCCAATGCTACAGAGAAACCCAGTCTCAAAAAAAAAAAACCAGAAAGAGAGAGAGGAGGAGGGAGGGAGGGAGGGGAGAGAGAGGGAGGAAGGAAGGAAGGAAGGAAGGAAGGAAGGAAGGAAGGAAGGAAGGAAGGAAGGAAGGAAGACAAAATGGCTGAGTTACGTAGGAAAGAGAAGCTGGGGAAGGGAAGGGAAGCTCAGGGACTGGATGAGAAGTACTGAGAAGAGCCAGCTTCTGCTTTGATGTAGTAATAGGCACTGAGCCATTTGTCCCAGGTTTCTTTGGTACCTAACACTGACCATTGTTCTGATCTTAGAGCTTGGGTACCTTTTCAAAGTGCACCTTTTAATTAAGAAGAAAACTGGGATAGCGTGGGTTTTTGACTGAGACCAAACATGGACATGGTTGGTTCTTTCCACATGTATGTATTGAGTTTCCCTGGCTCACCAGTTACCTCTTGTCCCTCTGCTCCCGCCTCCCAGGGGAACTTCTTTCAGAACATCGGCTCCATCACTCTCTTTGCTGTCTTTGGAACGACCATCTCTGCTTTTGTAGTAGGTGGAGGAATTTACTTTCTGGGTCAGGTAAGAAACGCACCCCTGATGACCTTAAAGATCTTCTTCTATTGGAGGGTGGGGCAGGAGCTGCCTGGTAACGTGTGCCCTCCTAGGAGGACATCCCCACTCATGTATGTGACTAGGGCATCTCGATTTGAGGGGACTATAATCACCCGAGTAGCGTGCAGTACTGCAACTTGAAATGCTTCAAGTGTCAGTTGTGTTCTCAGGGTGATTGAGGACTGAAAGTTGTTTTTGGATGAAGATTTGCATTTAAACCAGAGCTGGCTATGAATCTGTTCTCTCAGTTCCCATGATACCCCATGCCATTGTCAGCCCTTTGATGGGGCATTAGTGCATGCTGTGGGCTTGGGCGTCACGTCAGTGTACTTCAACCAGAGTAAGGCTGGGAAGCTGGCACTCAGACCCCCATGTGCATCGCCCGTTCTTGTGTTATTTGCAGAAGCTTAGCCACCCCAGTGCTGAGAACAAACCAAGCTGAGGGTGAGACAGATTGCTGCTCATGAGGCAGCCTATTTCTGCTGATTTTGTCACCTTCATGGCTGGCTCAGCAGCCAAAACCAAGTCTGCCCTGCAGCCTTCCGAGATGCTCATCCTTCACAGTGTCCCCTTGGGGCCAAGGGGAGTCACCTTTATAGCAGAGGACTACAGTGCCAGGCTGGAAGAAGGAGAATGGTGCCCACGCTCGGGTCTAGATGCCCACGCATGCTCACAGCAGCCCTTAGGGGGTTTCCTTGTTTTCAGTGGGGACTGAAGATGATGTCCTTATTAGTTGATAAGAAAGCACTGATGGACATTTTAATCTTCTTGGCTATTCTCCAGGGAATTTTTTTGTGTGTGTCTGTGTGTTTGTGTGTTTTATTTTACAGGCTGATGTAATCTCTAAGCTCAACATGACAGACAGGTAAATCTTCCACACTGTAATTCCCTCATGCGACTGCTGTTCAGGCCTGGGACAATTTCTGCACGTGGCTTCATGGGTGTGATCCTTTCCGCTCCCCCTGCCTGGCTTGCCAATGTTTGCAGTATAAAATCTATTGTGAATTAATTTGTCTCTGAAATGAATCAGAATCATATTGAGACTTTTGAAGACCCCTGGTCACAACATTGCTGATTGAAATGACTGATCTCATTTGATCTTTGGAGAGAATGACTGGCCAGCTGACTACCCGCCCGCATCCCGGTCACATCATACACTCCTGTCCTTTCCTTAGGAGTTGTCTCCAGAGCTGGGGACTTATGTGTAGCTCAGTGGCAGAGCCCTGGCCTGACACTTACAAGACCCTGGGTTCGATCCCCAGCACTGTAAAAGCAAACACAAAAGCTCAGTTTTCTCTATAGCCATTGTGGAAGGAGGTTGTGTTCCCAGTAAGTGTGGAATGGGAGAGAGTGAGGTGAGAATCCTGACTCTGGAATTCCCACCGAGACTTGAGGAAGCAGGCAGGACCTGGCCTGGGATTGACACCTTCTTGCTCTGAAGCCACTGTAGTAGACGCTGTAGTGACCTTCTGCTCAGGCGGCTCTTAGACTCTTAGTCCACTGGGAGCAGCACCTTGGGCTTCTCTCAGAAAGCACCAGGTTAGAGTTCCCAAAGGACCCTAGCCCACTGCAGCCAAGAAGTCTGTACTGTGCCTTGCTCTGTGTCCCTGTGTCCACTCTGAGCACCTGTCTTGTGGCTTGGTGGGAAGCTGAGGAAAGGGCCAAGCACTCAGTTCTAGATCATTCCTATGAACTGACAATGTCAGACTTTAGCTGCAATGTAGCATCTCAGACCATAGCCTCAGAACCTGCTCATGGAAATGGACTACTGATAAGAAGCTTGGTCCACAGTGCCCATCCTTCACCCTCCCCAGGCAGGAAAATTGAAGCTTTTGTTGTGTTTAAAAAAAAAAAAGTATTCATTGTTTGTGACAAGGTCACACTGTAGCCCAGGTTGCTCTGGAACTCACTATATAGCCCAGGCTGCCCCCAAACTTGAGGCAATTCTCCTACCTCAGCCTTCCAAAAATGTTGGGATTATGGATGTGTGAGCAGCCTAGAAAGTCTGATACATAGACAAGCAGCCTGAGTCACCTTCCTTCCTACAGGAGCCTGAAGGACAACAGAACTGGGACCTGGTGTTTTCCAGGTGTGCTGTAAGGGAAAGAAATACCCAGAGTGCTGTTAACATTAAGGAAGGTGTAGGGCTCTGTGTGCTTTGGAGGATACTTGTGAAGAAGCACAGTGTTGATCATTGTCTGGAGTGGACTTAAAGCCTGGAACGGTCATTTGGGTGGAGAGACAAAGCAACGCCTATGGCTGAGTGGGTAGAACTCTGGCCAGCACACCCTGTGCAGAGGCTCCCTTTCTGTTGGAGGCCCTGTCCATCAGATGGGTAGGACAGCAGAACCTTAGCACAGGGGAGCTGTCAGGGGAATGGTGGTCTAACGGTGGCCACAGGATAACACTGCTCTCTCTGCAAGGGACAGCACTCCTCAGCTCCTGACTGCCATGTGAGCACGTGGCCTGCAATTACTAGATGTTTACAGTTTTCTTTGCTGGAGGTGGGGCTCAGGACCTCTTGTGCTAGTTGGATGCTACTGCTGTTTTTAAAAAAAACCCTCCAGCTGGACATAATAGCACATGTCTGTGAGTTTGAGGCCAGCCTGGTCTACAGGGAGAATTTCAAGACAGCCAGAACAGAGAAACCCTGTCTCAGGGAAAAGATCAGACAGACAGACACCTTCTATGTTTCTTAACCAAAAGACGAGTCAGCTTGCCTCGCTCTCACTCTCTGTCTCTATCTCTGTGTGTCTCTCTCTCTCCCCCTTCCCCTCTCCATCTCCCCCTCCCTTCCTCTCCTCTCTCTCCCCTCTCCCCCCCCAAAATGGATTTTAAAAGCCAAATTATAGATGTTTATGGGAAGTTTTCTAATTTTGTTTCAGTTGGCTTCTTTTTTTAGGTGATTTTTGATGTTGTTAATACAGTCTGTCGTGTAGCCCAGGCTGGCCTCGAACCTACTGTGTAGCTAAGGATGACCTTGAATTTCTGATCTTCCTGCTTCCCACTTCCAAGTTCTGGGAATATAAACATATACCACTGTGTCTTGTTTCAGTTTTGTTGTTTGCTTTGTGAGACAGGGTCTCACTATGTAGCCCTAGCTGGCCTAGAAATTACTTTATACAGCAGGCTGGCCTTGAACTGGAACTTATGGAGATAGTCTGCCTGCCTCTGTCTCTGCCTCTGTCTGGCATTAATAGTGTGCCATACTCAGCCCATTGCTCCATTTTTTGAGTGTTGATAACACCATTTTCCCTACAGACCCACACTGCCCATATCCTCTCTGCTCTTCAGAGAACACAGCCATGCCTCATGGCATGGACCTGGCCACAGCTATTTCTGCTGGTGAGGGTTTGTCCTGAGTAGGCTGCAGCACCTCACCAGCTTATCCCTGCTCCTCCCCAAGTCCCACCCTGTCCGTCTTTTCATGTTTTGGTAGTGTTGCTAGCTTTGAGGGAATAAAGAAACGTATTTTTAGCATGAGTCAGTTGCTTGAAGTCCTTCAAGGACTTGGTTCCAACAGCGACTGTGGAACCACTGCTGGCCAGGCCCAGACCTCTTGAGGCTTTTGGGATCCCTGACAACCGAGTTTTCCCGCCAGGTCCCAGTGTTATACACTGGCTTTTCTCCACAAGGCATCTCCTCAGTTTTGTGTTCTGAAGAGTGTAACTCAAACGAGATCCTGTGTAGTGAGCACCTGCAACCTTCCCCTCCCCCCTGCATCTCCAGCTTCTGTGTTAGCTTTCCCTCTGTTATCCCTCTCCAGGCATGCCTGTGGACCCTGATCCCAGAGTTCTGGCTAAGAGGCTGCAGTAGCTGCAACAGAGTACCTTGGCTAGGCTTCTCACTGTGCATCTGCAACCCAGTAGGGAGGAAGTTCACAACAAGAAGGGTTGTTGGCTTATAGGGCTGAAGTGTCTGAAGCATGATGGCTCCTATCACAGCACCCTCCGGGACACTCTCCTCAGGGGTCTCAGACCAGCTCTCCCCTCGCTGCTGTCCACATCCCCTTCCTCACGTGGAGCACAGACAGCTCCAGGTGCTCCTCACTAAGGGTTAGTCCTCTCCCTGTGACCTGGTAAAGCTAGTCCAATGGCATGCACTGTGCCTACACCCGGAGCCCCTTGCCACATAAGGAGAGAAAGTAGAGAGCAGCTTGAGACTGTGGGTGCTGGGCCGTGAGACCAGAGACTGTCTAATGTACTCCATGCAAACCCTCTGCAGAACACAGCCCATTGTGGCCGCCTGCGGCACAGTTGAGCTGTTCCTCTTCCTTTTGTTCCTGTGGGACAGGAGGTGGAGAGTCTGTCTAGGTCTGGTGGCAGTGAAGGGCCTGAGGGCCTCTTCCACTTGGCTGCTGGGTGGAGCTACCTTCCCTCATTCCTCTTCCCTACCCCCACTTACCTTCTGTCTGTGGCCCTGGCTTGTGCTTGGCACAGATCCTGAGAACACGGTCAAGGGGAAAACATGGCATCCACCCTGGGACCTTAGAGCGGGGACAATGGGCAGCTCACATGCATGTGGTTGCTTTAAGGAAGGAACAGATCTGGGAGCTGGATACCTAAGGGGTCTGGTTCTCTCCTGGCTGCCTCACTCAGACTTGCACCCATCACTCCGAGAACAGCCACCTTATAGACTGATAACGGGCGAGTGACTAGCCTGCTTCATAGACTTCCTCCTACCGGCAATACTTCTGAAGGGCTGCTGGGTGACACCAGTCAGATGACTCCAGTCCTGCCTCTTCCTAGTGGTCACAGTTCTACTCGCTGGGTTTCCTTCCTGACTGTACTTGCCATTTTCTTATGTCTTTGGTTTCCTGAGACAGTCTCACTGCTCAAACTGGCCTGGAACTTGCCGTGTGCTCCCACACATGGTTTGTGATGCTTGGGATCAAACTAAGGGCCTCTAGCATGCTTAGCTAACACTCCAGCGCAGCCCAGGAGTGCGCTTCCTAAGGTGACCTGGGCCCTGCTTATTCCTGCACCCACCCTCCAGGCCAGGGGCACTGGCTCTGAGCTAGACAGTCAGTGGTGAAGGAAGGGCTTGGGGCCAGAGCCCCTGTGCTAAGGGGATGCTCGCTGGTGAGCTCCAGGGGCTGAAAAGCTGGCAGGCAGGTGCCCACTATTGGTGGCGGTGGACCATAGGATCAAGTGCTGCCTGTGAGGCCCAAGGACCCAGCTTCCAGGCAGCATCCTCCACTGGCTGCTGGCTTCTGGCACAATTGACCTGGTGGCAGAACAGAGGTCAAGGCCAACAGTCTGTAGGCTTTTCTGGCTGAGAAAGCTGGACAGTGTGTGCTAGGGTAAGCAGTCTTCTGGGCGGTGTTGGACAGAACAGTGCAACACTGTTGCCGGGCTGCGGGCACTCTGAGCACTGCGTCTAAGCCTCTCCGTTCCTGTGCTAGGCAGGGGTCAGTGGCAAAGCACACCCTCCCTCCCGGCCCTTCAGCTGCCGTCTCTGCAATGTGGACCCAGCTCCATGCTTTACAGAATCTGCCTGCTTCTCTCCTTGCAGTTTTGCATTTGGCTCCCTGATATCTGCGGTTGACCCAGTAGCCACTATCGCAATTTTCAATGCACTGCACGTGGACCCTGTGCTCAACATGCTGGTGTTTGGAGAAAGCATTCTCAACGATGCAGTCTCCATTGTCCTAACCAAGTAAGTAGGAGAGCTTGGAAGGTTCTGGCAGTACGTTGATGCCAGTACAGAGGTTGGTTCCATGTGATCGGCTCTCTGCTGTCTCTGCATATTGCCACTCTGACAAGGGTCTGTTCCACAGGACTGTGTCACAGTCAGGCTGCTGCAGGGAGTTGTGTCTGTGTTTTCTGACCTGTGTTTCTCAGCATCCTTGAAGGGCTCCTCACAGCCGACTCCCAGGTCCCACCTCACAGTCTCTTGTGAAGTGGTGTCTATGGTATGCTCCCTTGATGACCAGTGGCAGCCAAGGGAGGGATTAGTGTTTGGGCAGCATTGCTGCGGTAGCGAATACAGCGTGGTCAGTGTTGAGGGCTTGCTCACCCTGTTAGAGCCCATGGTGACGTATCTAGTTCCAAAGAGACAGACAGCTTATGGAAGGCAGAAGAAGTTGAGTTACAGATGATGGTGGACTGCAGTACAGATACTGAGAATCAAACGAGGGTCCTCTGAGAGAGCAGTAAGAGCTTTTAACTGCTGAGCCATCTGTCCGGTTCCCCCCAGCTACGAGATAAAGTCTCACCCAAGCAAGCATCAGATTCACTATGTAGCCAAGGATGACTGTGAACTCCTGTTCCTCCTGCCTCCACCTCCTAAGTGCTGGGGTGAAAGTCCTGCTCCACCACAAGGCTTAAAACTGTGAGGCTTTTTATGTTCACTGGGGTTGCTGCCTTTGATGGGATCCAAGGTACTACAGATGGATAATAAAACTCATGCTGCAATGCAGAGCACAAGCTTTCCTGTCCACCTCACCCGGCCGTGTGACTCTGGACCTGCTCCGGCCTCTCTCTGACCTCCCCGACAGAGTGTGTCCCGCAGTTACAATGTGAAGGACCGACTGGGTGGGTAAATGGAGTGCCCTTTTGAGGCGGCCTCCACCTCTAGCCCGTCACTGTGCTTACAAGGTCACCTTCTTACCAGCTGCTGAGGCAGAGCTCGCCAAGCAGTGCTCAAGTGCAAGAACCCTCCTTCCCTTACAGCAGAGCCAGACTTCAGAATTATTCTTATTCTAAGGCCAATACATATTCTTCATATAAAAGATAGAAACTGTTGGCACACACCTGTAATGCTTAAAGTGGAGGCAAGAGGGTCAAGAGTTCACTGAGTTCGAAGCCAGCCTGGTCTACAGAGCGAGTTCTAGGATAGCCAGGGCTACACAGAGAAACCTGTCTCAAAAGACGAAATTAAAAAAAAATGTCTAAGGTAACATCATTTACTGGGTATCACCTTACAGACATGTTCACCCACTGCCCTCTCACTGACTTGCTCACACCACTCTTGATAGGAATGTCTGCAGTTTCAGTTAGGAAATCATTGAGCATAATGCCTAAGACCTTTAGAACATAGACTGCAGCTGGTTTTCTTCTGTAAGCTATTTCCTAAAAGTTTAACTTAGTTGGTACAGTGCTTGTCCAACATGTACACAGACGTGGGTTCAATCCAGAACACCACATACAACTGTGCATGGTGGCACATACCTGTAATCCACATACAACTGTGCATGGCAACATACACCTGTAATCCCAGCACTTGGGGAATACAGGCAGGAGGATCAAAAGTTAAAGGCCATCCTTTACTACATAAGGAGTTTGAGGCCAGCCTGGGCTACATGGTTCCCTGTGTCCAAACACATTCTTTTCTGAAAACTTCTTAGCTCTGGATTTTGCTGGCATCTCATCTCCTGGTTCACACTAACATTGTATAAAGAATTGCCTGCTTGGAGGTGATGGCAGAGCTATTTTTATGGTTAGGAGCAGAACTCAATTGCTTTGCCTCTGATTTCCTTGAAAAAAAAATCTGTCGGTAGGAAAATGTCAGTTTTCTGAGGCTTCTGCCACATTACTGCCAAGTTGAAGAGATATTTTTGAAACAAATGGGAAAAGATGTCATCATTACACATCTTACTGGAAGAGTGGCTTCGAAGGCCACCCACAACGCTTCCTGCAGGTGGCTCTGGATTATGTATGTCTAGAATGGGCAGCCTTTTCCATTGTCATAACCACCTCCACTACAGTCAAGCTCTCTGGACTACAAACGCTCTAAGTAAGGGTCGCCCATGCCGTTTCAATTCCAGTTGTATCTGACTTTCTTGGTCTATGGTGGGCCAGAGAGAAGTGACATGCAAGAGAGAGGCAGGAATGCCATGGAGGATTCCAGAAAGGCTGTCTTATGCTCCAGACCAGTGAGCATTTTCAGACAGAAGCCAAAGTTTAACTTAGTTGATAACAGTGCTTGCCCAACCTGTACACAGTCGTGGGTTCTATCCAGAGCACCACATGTAACTGTGCATGGTGGCACATACCTGTAATCCACATACAAGTGTGCATGGCACCACACACCTGTAATCCACAAAAAACTGTGCATGGCACCACATACCTGTAATCCACATACAACTGTACATGACATCACACACCTGTAATCCACATAAAACTGTGCATGGCACCACATACCTGTAATCCACATACAACTGTACATGGCACCACATACCTGTAATCCACATACAAGTGTGCATGGCACCACATACCTGTGATCAGGATAGAAGCGGGATAAAAGACCTGTCCCCTTTTTCAGTGGCCTCTGAACTACCAAAACATAGCTGTTGTCTGTCCTGGGTTCTGAGGGGATGCCTGTCAACAGTTTTTTTCCAAAATAGTCAGGCATCTCACCTATACAAAGGACGTTTGCAAACGGAAGTATACAAATGAAGGGCCTACTTTTGGATGTTGCCAGAACTTTAACTCCTGGGTTATTTTTAGCTTTATTTATTCACTTAGTGGTTTGATGATTTTGTTGTTTGTTTTTGAGACAGTCTCCTGTAACCCAGACTCATCTTGAACTGCTGCTCTTTCTGCCTAGACCTCCCAGTTGCTGGTTTCTGGCTTTAATTTGCTGCTATCAGTTTGTTCTTTTGTCAGTTGCTGGGGAGGAAACCCTGTCTTATGCCCTGAGGGTATAAGTCTGCTTTAATTTCTTTGGCAGTCCCAAGCCACCTGCTGGTCTTCAGCTATGACAACCAGTTATTCTGTAGAACTCCACTGCCTGCTCTAGTAAACAGGCAGCAGGATCAGTGTGTTCCAACCAGAAGTAAAGGGTGCTGACTGCACATTGAGATTGGAAATGGGATGTGTCCGTGAGGTATGCTGAGATGGATCACTAGGGGAATAAGTAGTTTATTGAGAAAGCTATTAACACCATGGACAGAGAGGCAAGTCCATGATGGAGGCTCCAAGGACATTTCAGGCTTTAGCATCAGAGAGGCCATCGCAGGGTCAGGAGGAGTCAATGCATGGGCAGAAGTTCTGAGGATGGGGAGGTTTCACAGCACAAGCCTGCATAAGGTTCTCTGATTCCCAGACAGGAGGCAGAGGTGGAAGTGGGAGCCACCAATACCTCTTTGATGTCAACTCACTTTCCAGGTTACAGGCCCTGGCTCAGGGAAGTCTGCTATCTAGGGACTTCCAGTGTCTCGGCAGGGTGTCTGTAGGTGATTGTGAGGGGAGAAGCCACTAGCATGTCCTGAGCAGCAGCTGGACTCCCCCATTGCACTCCTGCACACCCTGTGTGTTGTAGTCCGCTGGGGATTGGGTCAGCTAAACCAGCTTCCATGAGATCCCTTGTTGCTCCCACGTTCCCCAGTTGATCTGCTGGGAAAGAAGGAAGTGAAGGCGATGGAAGTCAGGAGCCCAGGAAGCTCGTGTGAGGAGAACCCGCAGTTAACTCTTGTGTTTAATGTGTGTGTGTCTGTGTGTGTGTGCACGAGTGTGTGTGCGTGCGTGCGTGCGTGCGTGCGTGCGTGCGTGCGTGCGTGTGTGTGTGTGTGTGTGTGTGTGTGTGTGTGTGTGTGTGTAGCTCAGAACACATCCTTCAGCAGTTGACCCTCAGGTTTTTGCTGTAAGCACTTTTGTCTTCTAGGCCATCTTGCTGGCCTCTGAGGGCAGATTTTTTTTATTTGTGAGACCTCGCAGAACTGTTTCATTATGTCACCAGGGATCTGAGGTCACCTGGCCAAGTTGTCTCTTCATCACAGATCCTTCTCCTTTCAGATGGAATACCAGTTAGTGAAGCTGAATGGTTCTTAGTTCTGTACACTGATTCCACAGACATGTATGAGTGTCTGATAGGCTGGGCTATGATTTGGCCCGGGACACTCAGAGAACAGGATGGAGAGAATGCCTCTGTGGTTGCCACCCACTCTGAAGCAGGAGCTGGCTCATAAGGACCTGGAAATAGGTTGGCCTGTGTGACAGCTCAGGATAGGTGTCTGAGGGACGTAGGGTACTATCCTAAAGGACAGGAGGGACAGTGAGGAATGGCATGCACAGAAACGCCTGTGTCCATGTAGGCCAGCACAGACGGCAGAGCCTGGGCAGAGAGGCCATGCAGAAGCTGTGGAGCAGCTGTCCCTTGGCCAGTGTGTAGGGGTCACCTCTACTGCTGGTGCAGACCTGGAAGGGCTTGGAGGGGGCTGGAGTTGCAGTCTGAGAGTAGATGGATCCAGGACAGAGAGTGTGATGTTATCAAGAGCAGCTCTATTAATGATACTCTTCCCTCTGGGGACAAAGCAGCTTTTGACTGGCTTCCCATACCTGCTTTGCAGGCAGTGAAAGGGAGGGACCTTCCAGCTCACCTCAGGGCTCCCTGCGTCCTCCTCTCAGCCCAAGGCCCCGCCTGGGGTTTTATGGCAGAATCCCTATTCTCAGAACTGTTGACAGGTGAGACCTGCAGGGTGAACCGCTGGCCCCCCATCACCCGTGAGCCCTGCACTGGCTGCTGCTCCCACATCCTCCCCAACCTGTATCCTCCATACACTTGAATGTTCCCACTCAAGCTCCCCACCCCTGGGCACTGTTTCCTCAGTCTGAGAACCCTTTCTCCTAAATGGAAACCCAGCCTGTGTTGCCTTGAGAACCTTCCTCAAATATCTCTACCCCGGTCTGAGTTAGATGCCCACCCTGTCTTCACAGCCCTTGGCCCTTCCCCCTCATTACCCAGCTCCTGAGGACATTGCCTTTGCCCTCGCCTCTGAGCTCCAGAAGCTACCTCAGTGCCTGGACAAGTAGGTGACCACAGAAGCCTGGGGTGATGGACCAGATGGCGGGAAGGAGGGGATTCTGGATGGAGCAGTGAGTTACGCTCAGCGCTGATTCTAAGGACTCAGCCTATAGCCCTTTAACTTTCTCTGTTTTCTCCTTTCCCAGTACGGCTGAAGGTCTATCAAAAAAGCACATGTCGGATGTCAGTGGGTGGCAAACGTTCTCACAGGCCCTCGGCTACTTCCTCAAAATGTTCTTTGGCTCTGCGGCACTTGGCACACTGACTGGCTTGATTTCTGCATTGATATCCTTTAACATGGGAGCTTAAGGCGCAAGCATCCACTCTCATTATTTTCTCCTTCCTCAAGGGCCCAACTTTAATCTCAAGTTTTGATTAAAGGAAAGTTTTGTGCTAAGCTGTAGTTTGAGAAATGTTCTAAACTCAAGGACTCCTAAATTCAACCTCTAACGTGTCAGAAGACACTTTCTCCTCTAGACAGCAGGGTCCTCTCAGATGGCCTTGAGCTTTTTGTCCTGCTGAAATGACAGGTCCACCAGTTTTGTTTGATTCTCTCTCTCTCTCTCTCTCTCTTTTTTTTTTTTTTTTTGAAACAGGGTCTCTACATGGCCCTAGCTATCCTAGAATTCAGTATATGTGACCAGGCTGGCCTTGAACTCACAGAGATCCACCTGCCTTTGTCTCCCAAGGGCTGGGATTAAAGGCATGTGCAGGGATGCCATTTTCAAAGCATGCTGTTGGGTGGAAGATTTGATCTGATATCCTGTGCTGCTGCTTTGGGGTGAGAATCACAGACAGATGACATCATTCCATCACTGCCTTGGTTCTCACACCCAGAAAACTGGCAGTTTTCTTAGACACTGTAGGTTGCATGTGGGTTTTGTTTGGTTTTTGTTTTGTTAAGATTTTGTAGCCAGCTGCTGGTGGTAGTGCACTTGGGAGGCAGAGGCAGGAGGATCTTGGAGTTCGAGGCCAGCCTGGTCTACAAAGCAAGTCCCAGGACAACCAGAGCTATGTAGAAAGACCCTGTCTCAGAAAAAAGAGAGGAAGGAGGGAGGGAGGAAGAGGGGGGGAGAGAGAGAGAGAGAGCAGTTGTAGGTGCTAGGAACTGAAGTCAGTGGGGCGGCTCTTAACCACAGAGCCATCTCCAGCCCACAAGTGTGGAGTGCTGGCAGTCCGTCCCTAGGTGAGCGTTTATCTGGAAGGGTGGCAAGGGCTTTCAGGAAGTGCCACCCACATGGTTTGCACTGTGAACTGCTTACCAGCTGAGGCCTGTCAGCAGAGAACGAGGTATCAGACGGAAATAGGACAGGCTCCAGAGTAGTTCTGCAGCTGGCCGGCCCATGTCCCCAGAATGGCCACATGGCCCTCCTGGGGCAGTTTTTCTCTCAGCGAGCTGGAACTCTCTTGCTGGTTCTGAGTATGTTTCCCACCACCCTGGAGATGTTCTGCTCTGTTCCTTTGTCCAGAGGCTGATTGAGTTAGTTGACAGCTCTCAATAAGCAGAGTGAGGATGACATTGTCTATCCTCCAGACTTACAGCTCAGCAGTTAAGACACTCACTGCTCCTACAGAGGATCCACGTTCAGTTCCCAGCACCCAGATGACAGCTCTCAACTACCTGAAACTCCACTTCCAGGGGATCAGACGCCCTCTTCTGACCTCTTTGGGCACTGTACATATGTGGTACACAGACATACAGGCAAAACACTCATACACATAAAATGTAAAAATTTAAAAAAAGCATGCCAACAGCCAGGCGTTGGTGGCGCACGCCTTTAATCCCAGCACTCGGGAGGCAGAGGCAGATGGATCTCTGCAAGTTCGAGACCAGCCTGGTCTACAGAGTGAGTTCCAGGACAGCCTCCAAAGCCACAGAGAAACCCTGTTTCAAAAAACCAAAAAAAAAAAAAAAAAAAAAAAAAAAAAGCATGCCAGAGATAGTGATGCATGCCTGTAATCCCAGCATTCAGGAGGGAGACCGCGGCAGAAGGGTTCCCACAAGTTCGATGCCAGCAGGGCTACATAGCAAGACCCTGTCTGAAAGAGAGGTGAAAGGAGGAGGAGGGGGCAGAGAAGAAAACAAGGTCAGAGGCAGCGCACGTGGCTCCCTTCTGACAGCACTGCAATGATGCCAGGCCGTGGGAACATGGACCCCTGTTCCCAGGGGCATGAGTGTGGTGCTCTGCAGGGACAGGAAGGCAGGCCTTTCAGCAGGGCAAGGAGTCCCTGGACAACAGGCAGCTAAGTCAGTGTTTCTGATGTCATGTCAGATTCTTGTTTCTACAAAGAAAAAATTCTGTAGTGAGAAATGCCGCCCTGTAACTGTGCCAAGTTCAGTGTCTTCTGTCCTGCTGTCTGCTCTATGTGTCTTGTCTTGCTACACGTCCATCCAGTGCCCTTGTCCTCCTTCCTTGACATCTGTGCCACGTGCTGAAGCACATTGACCTGAGGAAAACGCCTTCCCTGGAGTTTGGCATGATGATCATTTTTGCTTACCTGCCTTATGGGCTGGCAGAGGGAATATCACTCTCAGGTAAGGGACAGTAACCTGCACTCTGTGGCCATGACTAGAGACAGTAGCCAGCACACTGTGACCGTGGTTAGAGATGGTTAGAGACAGTAGCCAGCACACTGTGACCATGGCTAGAGACAGTAAGTAAACAGCACATGGTGACCGTGGCTCAGTGTTTTGCCTGATGATAGAGGTTTTGTCAGTTGAGTTACTTTCTCTTGGCAGAGACAAAGGTACTGTGATGGCCTCTGTTTTACCACAAGGAAATCTGAAGTTGAAGAAGAGCAATATGCTTGGGGGGGGGGGCGGGTGCAAGCAGACGTCATCTTCTACCGTTTAGTATATTCAAGGTTAGCCTGGGCTCCATGAGATCCTGCCTCAGAAACAAAATCAAGCTCGTGAGATGGTTCAGCAAGTGGAGGCAATTGCCACCAAAACTGATGACCTTAATTTGGTCCCCAGAATTTCCATAGTGGAAGGTTGGGAACTAACTCCAGCATCTGTCCTCTGCCCTCCACATGTACACATACTCACATACACATAGACAAAGGACAAAGTAGCTAGATAAATGTAATCTTTTTTAAAAGGCAGGCTTGGGGGCTGAAGAGATGGCTCAGAGATTAAGAGCACTGATAGTTCTTCCAGAGAACCTGGATTCAATTCCCAGCAACCACATGGTGGCTCAGAACCATCTATAATGAGATCTGGTGCCCTCTTCTGGCCTGCAGACATGCTTTCAGGCAGAATACTTTATACATAATAAATAAATCTAAAAAAAAAAGGCAGGGGCTGGAGAGATAGCTCAGTTAGTAAAGTGCTTGCTGTGAAAGTGTGAGGGTGTGAGTTTGTAGCACATCGCTAGGCGTAACAGCATGCTATAACTCAGGTGTGCTGAGACATGAGGATTCTTCGAGTTTGCTTGTCAGCCAGTCTAGCCGAATTGATGAGCTCCAGGTTCAATGAGAAGCCCTGTCCTAAAGATGAGATCAATAGAGGAAGATACTTGGGGTCAAACTCCAGCCTCCACATGCACGTACATGCAAACATGCGTGCAGATGCTCATATGGAGCATGCATATACAGTGTACATAGCACAGAAGCAAAACAAAACATTTGCCGCTGTCACAGCTGGAATTAGAGCAGTGATGTCTGAGGCTCAGAACCCTCCTAACCAACTTCCTCCAGGAGCTTCTCATGAGACCACACACTGCAACAAAGTGACTGCTCCATAGTCTAGGGAAGCTTCTCAGACACAGTGAAATGTATTCCTTGTCTTGATTTTAGAAGTGGGAATTTAAACCAGGCTAGCTTTGAACTTGAAATCTTCCTGTCTCGGCCTCCTTAGTAGCTGAGTTGACAGATGTGTGCTCCCCACTGACTGGCACTCAGGTTCTAACCTCACTATCCCCTGGAGTGAGCACCCAGCTGACTCCTTACTCAAGGGTAGGAGGTTTCCCTGCACCCCAGGGAAGAAGGTGCACACGTCACAGCTGTAGGAGGACGGGCTGCCCACTGAGCACTGGTTCCTACAGCCTTCCATGCTGTGGGCCCAGTCAGCAGCCCATCTGTCAGCTACCTGTCCCAAGTTTACAAGGAAGTTTCTATCCCACCCGGTCCAAATAAACACACAGACTTATATTAGTTATAAACTGTTTGATGGCTCAAGCTTCTATTTGGCTATCTCTGTCTTAATTGTTAACCCATTTCTATTAATCTGTGTACCTCCACGTGGTCTTGGCTTACCGGTGATGTCCAGGTCTCTTGCTTCCTCAGCTGCTACATGGTGTCTCCTTAACTCTGCCTACTGCCTTTCTCTATCCCTGTTTGGATTTCCCACCTGCTTAAATCCTGCCTGTCCATTGGCTGAAATAGCTTTATCCATCAACCAATAAGAGAAACATAATCACAAGCATACAGAAGGGCATCCCCCATCACTCAAGTGGTGTGGATCCTGTGCCCACTATTTGTCAAGTTGTAAGATCACCAGCATTACAGGTCTAGAGCAAGCTCCATGCCTTGTTCCCAGGTGCAGTTACAGCTGAATGGGGAGGGCTCTCCTTGACACCAGGACTCCACCCTTAGGTAAGGGCTGTAGACAGAGACCTGTTGAAGAAGAGAAGTACCATACAGGCCAGGCTGAGCTCTGCTATGGGAAGGCTTCTCCTTTAAACTGCAATAGGATTGATACCCTACAATAAACAGCCATCCATGTGTGGGGTTCTCTTGAGTTTGACAGCTGGGTGCAGTCACAAGGCCCTGGTCAGATCCCTGTGTCTTCTGTGGTCACCATGATCTTCATTGTTAATAGTTCTTTCCCAGATGTCACTAGATGAAATTGTGTGACATGTAGTCGTTGGTACCTGATCTGTCTGTGATAGTGGTGCAGAAAGCACTACCACACTCCCTTCTCATTCGAGGGGGTGATCAGGCTTTTCCACTTTTGGCCTGTGAACGTTCACAAATGTTTTCAGTTATGTGGGGTGAATACTTAGGATGACATTGCTAGGTCATGTGATACTTACCAGTTTTACTTTGTAAAGAACTGCTGAGTGTTTGAAAGTGAGCAGTTCTGCCAGAGGGTAGCGGCACCTGCCTTTGGTTGCAGCACTTGAGAGGCAGAAGCAGGCAGCCTGGTTCAGACCAAGTTCTAGGACAGCCAGGGCTACTTGTGTTCAAGTATTTTTTTTTATGTAGCTAATTCATGTATTTTTCCAAAAGTGAGCCTCAGTGGCACCATCCCCGACCTCTGATTCTTTAGGCCTGTACAGGTGATGGATGATTCTAGTAGGTGAAGTTGTCTAAGTGTCAGGTGGTGGCCTTTGTGTGGAGAGGCCTCGTGGGTCCCTTGGAGTGCCCATCTGGACTCTCCAATAGCCCCAGAACTGGCCAGGTGCCCATCCTCTCCCTTAGGCCAGGGTAACATGCTTCTGGGCCATTTCCAGCATTAGGAATCAAGTGCACAAGGAACAGCTGTTGTCAAACTCAGCATCCATGTGTTTGTCCACACAGACAAATTTGTGTCAGTCACCATCATTAGAAGTTTAGAAGTTGCTCACGCCTTTAATCCCAGCACTTGAGCACTCAAGAGGCAGAGGCAGGTGGATCTCTGAGACTGAGGCCAACCTGATCTACAAAGTGAGTTCCAGGACAGCAAGGATTAAACAGAGAAACCCTGTCTTGGAAAAAAAAAGAGAGGAAGGAAGGAAAGAGAGTCCGTCATCTCAGAAGTGAAGGCAGGCCTGCCTAGCATGGTTGCAGCAGCCTAATGAGCTGTGCATTCATCCTGGTGGTCACTGCCCTGTACTCTCCCATACCAAGTATTCTTGGTGTTCCTCCCTGGCCCAGTGCACCATGGCTACCTGCAGCCCTTTGTCTAGACTGCCCCCTGCTGGAGCTGAGCAGCACTGCCCTGGTACAGACCCCAGAGTTTCCACACAGGCTGCCACCCGGAGCCTTTGCTCTCTGGAGCAGTCACAACAGCTTGTCTCTTTGTAGGATGGCTGGAGTGGTGGTTCAGCTGATGATGGCACTGTAACTTGGTGTCCTCTTGGGTTACATCAAGATGAAAAGCATGTTGATGTCCCTTGTCTAAGGCAGCCCTGTGAGCACTGGACTTAGGAGGATCAGAGAGCTTGACTATGTCCTCCCTCCTAGTCTGCAAGTGCTTCTTGGTGCTGGCAGATGCTGCAGTGCTGGGCATCAGGCCCAGGGCCGCACTTTTTGTAAGTTTTTATTTATTTATTTTTAGATTATTTTTTGCTTGTTTTGATTTTTTATTTGTTTGTTCGTTTTTGTTTTTCGAGGCAGGGTTTCTCTGTATTGTTTTGGAGGCTGTTCTGGAACTAGCTCTTGTAGACCAGGCTGGTCTCGAACTCACTGAGATCCGCCTGCCTCTGCCTCCAGAGTGCTGGGATTAAAAGTGTACGCCACCAACGCCCGACTGTTTGTTTTGATTTTTGATAAGAGGATCTTTCTAATATGTAGCTCTGACTCTCCTGAAATGCCTGCCTCTGTTTCCCAAGTGCTGGGATTAAAGATGCTTGCCACCATGCCTGGATAGATTTTATTTTTTGTATATGATTGTCCACCATGTAAGTGCCTGGGAGTTGTGGGTGATTATTAGCTACCATGTGGATGCTGGTACTCAAACCCAGGTCCTTTGCAAAAGCAACAAGTACTCTTAAGCACTGAGACAGCCACCTTGCCAGCCTCCTAGTGTCACCTTTGATGGTTGTGGTACTTCAAGGTTAGGGAGGGTCAGCCACCCTGGAGAACACCTGTGGGGACATGAAGAATCTAGGGGAAGCTGGGCAGCCCTGGGAAGCCCACTTTGTACTCAGGAAGCAAGTGAGCTGGCCGGCCCTCCCTGACCATCTGCTCTGAGTACCTCTTTACTCCTTTGCAAGCAGAATGGGAGCATGAAGGAAAGGGCTACTTCCCAGGAAGTTGGAGATAGAGCATTCCAATCCTTCTGTCATGCACACAGCAGACCCTAGTGTGTGGCACAGCTATGTGATCTTTCCTTGTACAAGTGCAGTTAGCCAGTTTAACTGTTTTTCCAAAGTTGTGCAAGTGAATTAAAATTTGGTTATAAAGTTGGCTTGCCGTTTCTGTATGTTGGTATCTTGTTCAGTGGCTTTTTTAAAAATCTCAACTTCCTTCTGTTGAGATGGGGCTCTGCTAAAAAGAACTTGTATGGAGCCCCCAAGTGGTGAGGGGAGGCTAAGAGCACTGACTGTTCTTCCAAAGGTCCTGAGTTCAATTCCCAGCAACCACATGGTGGCTCAGAACCATATATAATGAGATCTGGTGCCCTCTTCTGCCCTGCAGGCATACATGCAGGCAGAACACTGTATACATAATAAATAAATAAGTAAATAAATAAAATCTTTAAAAAAAAAAGTGGTGAGGGGAGCGGCTGCCAGGCCTGATGGGGGAGCACAGACAAGTGCATCCTGGAAGAAACAGTAGTATTTGGTGACTATAGGGAAATTACAAGAGTATCCTTTTTATGATTTATTTATTCTTATTTATATATATTGGTGTTTTGCCTGCATATACATCTGTGTGAGGGTCCCAGATCCCCTGGAACTGGAGTTACAGACAGTTGTGAGCTGCCATGTGGTTGCTGGGAATTGAACCCAGGTCCTCTAGGAAGAACAGCCAGTGCTGTTAACCACTGAGCTATCTCTCTAGCCCACAACCAAGAAGAGAGTCTCTTAAAGGTCCATGAGACCACCTCACCCTTTACATCCAGGTTATCAGGCTCTTTACCTGTGGATGACAGCGACAGCTTCTCACCTCAGCCTTTAAGCTAAGGGTCAGTATACAGTGACTGCTCACAGCTGTAGAGCCTGGTACTGTGTGTTCTGAGTCTTCTCTGTCCGGCCAGTCAGCTCCTAAAACATAGCAAGGAGACTTCTTATTAATTATGGAAGTTCAACTGATAGCTTAGGCTTGTTTCTAAGTAGCTCTTATAACTTAAATTAGCCCATTTCTATTAGTCTATTGCTACCCTTGTTGTGCCCAAGTTGCAAAGTACCCAGAGACCTCCAGGAAGACCCACCAAACTGCAAAAGTACGGTTTAATGATTGCTTATCTAACCATGACAGGGACCCCCTCCAGCAAGTTGACGCAGCAGCCTCCAGAGGGAGTGAAATTCCTTATCTATTGCTAGGTTTTATAGACAAAAGTTACAGGATTACATCAGTAGGTACGGGACGTTTTCGGATTGGATGACATTTGGGAACAATCAGGAGAATTTCTCAAAGTCATATTTTGGCATGAAATACCTATATACCAATTATTTTCATTGGTCAGTGCTGAGAAGGAACATTCTGTAGTTTCTATGACCTTGTCTTGTTACTTGCAGGTGGCCTGTTGTACACAGATACCAATAGTTATCAGAACTATATCCTGGAGACTACATGGGAGGTTTTGGTCCTCCCTGGAGTATCTTTTGTGGCTAAACAGTTCCCAGGAACCCAGCATCTAGGAGGCAGGGGGCGGGGGTATCTGGAGTTTCTTTGTGTTCAGTTTTGGCCCTAGACTCCAGGAGGCCAGAGGATCTGGAGTTTCCTTATGTCAGAGGCCTATGTGTCTTTTCTGTAGCCTGTCATGGCCACTAAAGCAGGGGCTGAGTGAGGGTCTGGTCCCTTTATTTCTAAATTATTAGAAGTGAAGCTTTTGAGTTTAGTTTACCCCATTCACCCTGAGGCTCACCCACCTCACCCACGCATCGTCCATCCTGTCTGTTTCTGTGCTCTTTTCTCTCCTTTTATATGCCTGGGTGTCCTGCCCGAGCGTATGTCTTTGTACTGGTGCTCATGAAGCCAGAAGAGGGTGTAGGGTCCTCTGGAACTGGAGTCACACACAGTTGCGAGCTGCCTTGTAGGCACTGGGAACCAAACGTGGGTCCTCTGGAAGAGCAGCCGCTGCCCTTTACCTTTGAGTCATCTTCCCAGCCCCTTCCATTTTCTTCAACTGTTAATATTTGGGGTTCTGGAGTTTAGGAAGTGTGGTCTGATTTGCATGCCTGTCCCTGTGCTTTCTGTCACATCTGCCCCCTATCTCTAGGTATCATGGCTATCCTGTTCTCTGGTATCGTGATGTCACACTACACACATCATAACCTCTCCCCAGTCACCCAGATCCTCATGCAGCAGACCCTCCGGACTGTGGCCTTCCTGTGTGGTGAGTTCCACCTTTGAGTGCCCACACAAACTGGGACTCCTACCCTAATGGGGTGTAGGCTAGGGTTTTTCCTTGGCATCATGGCTCAAAATCCTTCCAAGCCCAAGCAAGTACCACACTCCCACCTCCTGAGCTGGCGTCTATGGTTTTGGGTTTCCATACAAGATGTGCAGTGCTTAAGAAGTGGACGCTTGGTGCCTGAAGTTTATGGGCAAAGACAGAACTACTCCTAGACATCCTAGATGTTAATGTGGAAATCTCCACAGATGTTCCTTGGAAATGATGCTGAGGATGGTTAAATGACCCCACCCCTGTGGGATATCAGACTCCATTTTAACATGTCTCATCTAGGGCACTGTGAGTTTCTAAGTGAGGGTGTCCTAGCACTGGGGGAACTCTAGAGCCATGTCCCCCAAATGAATATGAGGTCTTTCTATTAAGCAGTGACAGAGTTTCCTCCCTTTCTGTTTACCATGTACCCACTCTGGAGTAAAGGTGTGTGCTCACGCACACTCGCGCGTGCACACACACACACACACACACTTACACTTATCCTGGGTCTAGGCCTTAGTGGCAATCTTAGCGTCTGGTGATAAGGGACCCTGTTTCACTTTGGAGCCTGGATGGCAGGGCTATCTGTGCAAGGTAGGGAGGGGCTGGGTGAGGAGAGGCCAGATAACCCATTGCCAAGGAGCAAGCTAGAAGACAGGCCTCTAGTGCCGCATGGCTGTTTGATCCACAGCTCATACCAGAAAAGCCTTGGCCAAAGGCTCTGCTTGGCCCTCACAGGGTGGAGCAGAGAACGGCTTCTGTCCTGTGTCCCGGACCAGCTCTAATTAGCATTTAGTTCTGGGGCTGCACATTATCCATTGCAAGAACTTTCCAGAAAATAAGATGGCTATTGGTGTGCTTTGGGGATGCTTGCTTAAGTCACTACTGAATTGTAAGAAAGGAACTGGGATGAGCAACCCGTTCTTTGGTTTCTTTCAGAAACATGTGTGTTCGCCTTTCTTGGCCTGTCCATTTTTAGTTTCCCTCACAAGTTTGAAATTTCCTTTGTCATCTGGTGCATAGTAAGTATTTTTCTCGTTTTTTTATTGAGTGCTTATTTTTAGAATAGCAACTACATGGTCTGGAACCATTTATGTAACTATTACCAGTTCAGAGTCAGCAGCTACAGTGACATGCTTCTGTTGAAAGTTTCTTTCATTTAAAAGATCCTAGGCATAAGGATCTAGACATTTTACATTTTCAGTGTTCTTGAATGGTGCGGTCACCTTAAAACAGTTCTAGTCAGAGCATGGCAGTGGGTGCCTATAACCCAGCACTTGGCAGGAGGACCAAGAGTTTAAGCTAGCTGGGTGTGATGGCAGACTCCTTTCATCCCAGCACTTAGGAGGCAGAGGCCATTGGATCTCTGTGAGTTTAAGGCCACCCTGGTCTATAGAGCAAGTTCCAAACCAACCGGGGCTATACAGTGAGACCCTGTCTCAAAAAAAGACAATAAAGTTGTTTTTAATAATTTATTTTTATTTTATGTGCATTGGTGTTTTGTCTGCATGTATGTCTGTGTGAAGGTGTCAGATCCCCTGGAACTGGGGTTATAGACAGTTGTGAGCTGCCATATGGGTGCTGGGAATTGAACCCAGGTCCTTTGGAAGAGCAGCCAGTGCATTTAACCACTGGGCCATCTTTCCAGGCCCCCAATAAAAAGTTTTAAGGGCAGTTTTAGCTACATGGTGAGTTCAAGAACAGCCTAGGCTTGCACAGCAGAATCCTGCCTCAAAAAAAGCAAAGGAGAAACGTGATCACCTGAACCCAGTTCTCTTAGGTCCTCTGGAGTCCTTTCCCCATCTGCATGTGGCCTCCATTCAAAGTGGCTGCCTGCCTATGTCAGTTCTGTCCTGTGAGCACAGGGCTCGGAGAAGCCTTGGAAGTTTGACATTTGTAGTGGTTTTTGAGTTGCTGGGGTCTAACCCAGGGCCTTGTGCAGATGCTCTGTCCCCAGCCCCTCCCTCAACCCCTCCTCCACCCCTGGGAGCTGTGGTTGGTTTAAGTGGGAACCCTTTCTGGAGGCTTTACCCCCAGCAGGCCCAGGCCTTGAGTCACCTTTGTCCTCCCAGGTAGCCCTCACTCAGCCCACCCTCCTTGCTCTGAGGAGCCAGACCCCAGAGCAGAGGACCTGTGTGTGGTCCCCTCTCCCTCACAGTGCCCCAGTGGGGAAGATTAGCATAAGCCCACCCCATTCCACCCCATTGTGGAGTCCTGGTTGTCTCTAGGCCCCTAGGAGCTGAGTGCGGCTGCCTTTGCTCTGAGGCTATGACTAAAGCCCAGGATGATGCTTGCTAGTCTCTTGTAGCATCTGAGACGAAAGGTCAGGCCAAAAAGCTTCTCAGGCAGAGCCAGGCAGCAGCACTTGTGTGAGTCTCCACCCATGCCGTGCTGTTGGGTGTCTCTGGCTGAGGGCAGGGTTGCCTGAGACAACAGTGGGACCACCTATACTGTGTGTTGACACCAACAGGTGCTGGTACTGTTCGGCAGAGCCGTCAACATCTTCCCTCTGTCCTACCTGCTGAATTTCTTCCGAGATCACAAAATCACCCCCAAGATGATGTTTATCATGTGGTTCAGTGGTGAGTGGCAGCCGGGGGCGTGGGTCTGAGCCTGGGCTTGTGCGCATGGGCCCCTGGGAAGCCAGGCTCCAACAGGTACTACCACATGGCGCCCTCATCACAGCATCAACCACCAAGTGGTTGGCCCTTTTCTATCCCTGGGATCAGGATATCAGGTTCTGGGACAGCAAAGGCCATGTCTAGCATTCAGGGTCCCTTGGAGACAAAGCAAGGACCTGTCCAGCTCCATGCACACCCCTGGCAGACCTATGTAGCATGCTGTGTGGGGTGGTGCTAAAGACCGCGATTCAACCCAGGCTATTTCTCCTTCCACTGCACAATCCTGGAGCAGAATCTGAGCACTGCGACATCTGTCAGTCACGCCTCTCTACTTTCTCAAGACGGGAATGAGTTTGTCAATCTTCAGCTCTAAAGAACCAGCCCTTTATGATCTTAACTCTCCATACTCTTCCTATCTAAGTGTCATTAGTCAGGTGTGGTGGCACAGGCATTGATCGCAGCAGAGGCAGGCAGATCTCTGAGTTCCAGGCCAGCCAGGGCTACAGATTAAAACCATCTCAAAAAATAAAATAAATAAATGAATATAACTGCATATTTCCATGTGGGATGAAGTGCTCCGTAATGTTCACTACAATTTGCTTCATAATCCTTTTCTTCAAAAAGGCCTTATTCTAAAAGTTGTAAGCTAAGAAACCCTGTCTTGCCAAAACAATACAGAGAAACCCTGTTTCATAAAAACCAAAAAAAAAAAAAAAAGAAAGAAACCCTGTCTTGGGGAAAAAAATTGTGAGCTAAGTACACTGGTGCTTAACTGTAATGCCAGCTACTTGGAAGAACAGGGCAGGATTCCTAGCTTGAGTCCAACGTGGACCCTGTCTCACATAAACATGTAGAGGTCTGGCTGACCCGAAACTGGCAGTGGAGTCCAGGTGTGAACTTGCAGCCATCCCCCTTGCCTCTGCCTTGCAATGCTGGAATTACCATTTAAACAGTCAGTGACTCCTCCCAGGAGAGACCAGTGCTACTTCCCCTGCCCTGGCTCCTTCCCATCTCTCACCCTGTCCTCATTTCTCCACTGCTGCTCCCCTCTGCCATGGTGGCCTTGGCCCTGATCAGCTCATAGTGGCTTCTGCGGCATCAGCCCTAACCTAGTGTATCTGCTGGGCCTCAGACTCCCTACTACTACTACTGTTGCATACATCTAAGACACTGCCCCTGGGGCTTCCCAGACTCCCACCCAGAGCCTCCCACTCTGACCCCAGACAATGGCACCCTGGGTCCTGGCCCCACCTCCTTCTGTACCTGTGTTCTGACAGTACTGGTCCCCTGATCTGGCCTTTCCATCCATCCAGCTCTCCATATCAGCCCTTCCTCTGTTTCTGGGGGTATGGACCACAGCAAGTTCTTGAGCCAGAGCCCACTGCCTGCCTACTGCTTGACTTGCTCTGCCTTTCATGGGAAACAGCATGGTGGGTCAGTTATATGGCTCCCTTCACTGGCACTCCTAGGCATATGTGTACACTGAGCCTGTCACACATGTCAGGTCCCCTCATGGGTTTGGAGAAGAGTAGCGCCCCTGCTCATGTCTCTGAATCCCCCACTCTAGCCTCCCTGACATCTCAGGTCTGGACTGCTGCAGTCGCCAGGCCCTCTCAGAGTCTTTCTCGTCACCCATGTCTGAGCCACCCCGCTGTGGTCTCTGTTCCCAGTGACTCTTCTTAGTTTAGTGTTGTATTTACTGTCTCTCCTAGCTGCTCTGGAAGCTTCTAAAAGCAGGGCTCAGGATCCCCTGCTCTGTTCCCCAGCTCTGTCCATACCCTTAGTCACCAACAAGGAGGAGAGTCACAAGACAAACCATACCTCACTACTGTCTGTGTCTGCTGCATGGCCCTGAGCAGGACACAGGTTTCTGGGCAGGTTTCTGTGGCAGGCAGCCCTATCTATGCACAGAGCACATAGTTAGGGGCCTGAAGCACCAGGGAGGACTCAGCTACCATAGCTGTTACATGACAGATCTGATGGGTCCCCAAATACACGTGCCACACAGCAGCATGGCCCAGCCCATGCAGAACATGCAAGGGATTCATTCTGTCCAGCCGCTGCCTGCTGTCACATCCTAGGTCGTTTGTCAGGTCCAGGTCCTGCTGTTAGTGGTGCTGAGCTGCCGCCACTCTCTTCTCTGTCCCTCTCCCTCCTTTTTTATTTTATTTTATTTTTTGGTTTTTCAAGACAAGATTTCTCTGTGAAGCAGTTTTGGCACTCACCCTGTAGACCAGGCTGGCCTCAAACTCAGAGATCCATCTGCCTGACTCCCCGAGCGCCAGGATTAAAGCCATGTGACACTGCTGCTCAGCTCCCTCCTCCTTGCTTGGCTCTGAATCTCCTTTACCGTCCCAGGCCTTCGTGGAGCCATCCCGTATGCACTGAGCTTGCACCTGGGCCTGGAGTCCATGGAGAAGCGGCAGCTCATCGGCACCACCACCATTGTCATTGTGCTCTTCACCATCTTGCTGCTGGGCGGCAGTACCATGCCCCTCATCCGCCTTGTGGACATTGAGGATGCCCGGGCACGCCGCAGGAGCAAAAAGGACGTCAACCTCAGCAAGACTGAGAAGATGGTTAGTGCAGCTGTGGGCCCTGCCGCCTGTCTGCCCAGGCGAGCAGCTCAGGCTCCTGGGGGCTGGGCTGCATTGCATTCCCTCATCTCAGGGCCAGCAGTGTAGGCCTGAGAGCAGGTGCTGCAACTTGGCTTCTGAAGCATGGCTCTCTGGGGTAGGGTGTGTGACAGCCTTATGACCTGCTGGTGCCATCTGTAGCTCAGAACATTTGAAGTAGAGCCTGGTTTTATGCCAGAGTCCTGAAAGAGTGCCAGGAGCTGAGCCAGAAGGCCAGGTAGGAACTAAGAGATTTCAAAATGAGGGATTCTTCAGTGTGCATTTATACCTCGTGATCAAGGCCAAGAGGATGGTAGCTTCTGGTAGCTCTGGCAGCAATGAGGGCTGTAAGCAGGGTGGCATCCTCAAGGACAGAGGGTCATGGTTTAGGGATAGGTGTTCAGGGCCCAGCCACACTGGAACCTGAGGCTGCTGTGCCCCCTTGCCCACCTCTACTTTCTGTGGGCCGGCTCCTCTCAGGCATTGGCTCCCTGTCCCTCCTCCCCTCCTACAGCAACCCTCGCTTCTGATCCACCTCTCTACCCCACCCTCCTTCATTCTGAGACCAATTGCCTTCTAGTCTCCTTGTTTGAGATGTCAGCAACTTGGGTCAGTCACCAAAGTGCCATCTGAGAATGGGAGAGGCAGGACCATTGGTCCAGGCCTTTCTTTCAGTAGCTAACCTCAGGCTGTGCAGGTACTTCCCATGCTCAGAGCCCTCGCTTCCCAGCTCCCAGCTAACCAGTTTGTTTGATGTTGTGTTGTGATTGCTTTGTTCTTGTTTCCTTATTTTTAACCTTTTTTAAGTATATATGTGTCTGTGTATGTGCATGCCATGCTATACGCATGCTAGGTGTGTGTGTGTTGCATGCATGTGTGCTGTGTGTATGCACATGTGTACCCATGAATGCAAGAAGAGAGCACTAGATTCTCCAGAACTGGAACAACAAGCAATTATGAGCCTAACATGGACACTGGGAACTAAACTCGAGTCCTCTGGAAAAGCAGCAAGTATTCAGAACCACTGAGCCCATTTTTGCTTGTTGAGATGGGCTCACTCTGAAGACTATGTTGTAGCTCCAGCTGCCGGCAATCTTGTTGCCTCTACCTCCCAAGGCCTGGGAGTTACAGACGGGAGCCCTGTGTAGATTGATATTTATGCCAAAGCTACAGCCACTCTTGGACAGTCATAATGCACCACTGTGGCCAAAGCCCTTGGCCTCCATAGGAAGCAGGGACTTTTATAGTCACCATCCTGCAGGTGAGGAGAACCCTGAGGCACAAAAAAGGTTCCAGTCAAGACCCTGCACTCACAGAGACATCAGAGGATGGTCGCCAGAGTGGCGGCAGTATAGGCGCTTGTTAAGTGTGTAGGTTTGGTGGGCCCGCCATTGACCTGTTGTCACAGACATTACAGCTGTGGCTAAAGTGTGTATCATCAGGCTTCTCAAACCCCAGACACTGACCATGCACAGCCTCCATTTTCCTCTGCACTGCAGGCCCAGGCCAGCAGGGCTTTGCAACTTGGGAGACTCCTATGCTCCATTCTTGCCATTGGAGCTCCCTACAGAGGGTAGGCTTTGGGGGCCCAAAAAGGTCTGGGCCTATGATCACCTCTAGTAAGGTAGAGTGTGTTAGAGGTGGCATTCTGACAGGAAGGCAGAGTGAGGGCTCCCAGGGAAGTACCTGCTGACATGGCCAGTTCTGTCATGCAGGGCAATGCCATCGAGTCAGAACACCTGTCTGAGCTCACTGAGGAGGAATATGAAGCCCACTACATCAGACAGCAGGACCTCAAAGGCTTCATGTGGCTAGATGCCAAGTACCTGAACCCCTTCTTCACACGGCGGCTGACACAGGAGGTGAGCATGTAGAACCCCTTTCCTCCCCTCAGGCCTGCAGTGGCCAGGAGTGGGGAGGGAAGCCACTTCTGAAGGCTGCTGAGGAGCTCAGCTCTGCCCCGTTGCCTTTCCTTCCCCGTACACCGTGGGAAATGGCCAAGAAGTCTCAGATCAGCACTCACTGTAGCTGCCTCCGCCAGTGGGCAGGGCTCTTCTGGCTGCTCTACCTCTCCACAACAGCCCCTCACACCCCCGAGACCATGTCCTCCAACAGCTAAGCAGCAAAACATGTTATCTCACTTGACAGCTGGGGAAACTGAGATCCAGGGGAAAAGAGTTCCCTCTAACCCCCTCAGTTCTCAACAAGCCCTCCTGTTACCTCTGACCCATAGGCTCACAGAAGCCTCTTGTCCCCTGACCCTGTCACTGATGACCCTGTCACTGATGACCCTGTCACTGACTCTTACGTGTCTTGCTCCAGGACCTCCACCACGGGCGCATCCAGATGAAAAGCCTCACCAACAAGTGGTATGAGGAGGTCCGCCAAGGTCCATCGGGCTCTGAGGACGATGAGCAGGAGCTGTTCTGAGCCCACAATGCCGTGGGCCTGGTAGAAAATGCCTCATGCAGCCTCCTCAGAACATGAGATGGTAGGTGGAGGGCTAGTGTTGGCTGGGAAGCTTCAGGCCTTCAGAGCACGCTGGCTTCAGAAGTGTGACCTGCCCCGCCTTGTTTCTGGGCCTGCAGAAGAGGGCGGCAGCCAGCCTCCTTTCTGCTTCTGTGCCAGACCAGAGAACACCATGACTGGACCATGCCTTCCTCGCAGCTGCCAGCAGGCATATCTGCCGCTTGTCTCTTCATTGTCAAGGTGCCTTGGCAGCGGCGGCAGCCTCTACCTGGTGCCAAGGCCAAGAGCCTTTGAAAGACTCACAGTCCCTGACCTGTGTTCTCAAAGAGGAAGGCTGAAGGACCTTTTTTCTTGACATGGAACTGGCCACCTGTTAGCCTGCTTTTGGGCAGGCAGCTGCAGCCCTCTGTGGGCACACTGCAAATGTTTACACTGGTGTCTGGCAGGGGTCAGCCTGCAGGCTTCCAGGGAAGGTGGTGGCCTGAGTTTGCAGTACTCTCTGAAGAGACAAAGGGGGTCTTTAGACCCTGGAAGCACAGAGTCCTAGGGGGTACTTTTCCCAAGTGTGGAGTCACTCCATATCCTCTCTGCTCTCCACCACAACCTCCTCCCTCATTCCTGTCCTCTGCCCACAGGCCTTTTAGACCCCATAGTGTGAAGCTCCTTCCACCCAGCTGCTGTTCAGAGCCTTTTACCAGTTCCTGGAACTTGGGTCCTCTGCCCTCTATGCCAGGCCCCAGCTCTCCAAGACACTGGGCCAATGGCCAGGGCACAGGAGCCAACGCCAGTGCTCCCCACTCCAGCCACTTGCCACTTAGGATGCTGGTGACTTTGGGTCACACAAACACTCGCATGCATGTCTCAGGCTGAGGCGCCAGATCACACCACAGGCAGTTACTGCCTAATGTCCTCACCTGCCCTTTTATAAATGCTGCAGTCTACCCCACCACGACCCCAGAGCCCTAGACTCTCCTTGCACCCCAGGCGGCTTTGTTGTGTGGCCTTGGCTCATGGTGGGGACACTGGGCCTAAGTGCGAGTCACAGGTGTTTCCCACCTCAGGTGCTGTGGCTCTGAGGCCTCACCTCGCTGTGCTGCAGAAGGCGGCAGAGTTGGAAACATGTAGTTTGCTTCTATACATTAGGTCACTTATCCTTGGCACAGCCAAGATGCAGTCAGGTCCTCTTCCCTGTCTCTCACCTTAACCCTGGAGCTGGAGTCACCCGTGGCCTTGTGCAATTGGGGGCAAGGCTGGGGTCAGGCTGGCTTGTTCTCTTGTGCTCCGTCTCTGAGATGGAGGTTGCTTTCCAAGCTCAGTGCTCGCCAAGATTCCTTTCTAAACCTGAGATTCATAGATTAAGCAGTAAACATCAGGGTACTGTTCACTCAGCCCCTTGTCACCAGGCCTTATGTCCCTGACACATCACTCTTGGTCCCTTGCTTTAGCTGGAGCCTGAAGTGAGCTCCCAGAAGCTTGGTGAGAGGGAGGGAGGGCTGCTGTGCCAGCCCTGAGCGCCAGTAGGCACTAGCTCTGCCCTCTCCTGGGGAATGTGGCCTTAGTACCTGGGAGAGTGCCCAGCTCTCCAGAGCCCATGGCCAGAGAGCAAAGCTCTGGAGGGCATTTCTCAGATGAGAAACCAATTGCTGCCGCCACCTTCTCAGACCCTTAGTCCTGTTGTGTGCAGTGATAAATGTGAAATGGTAGTGACCCAGCTGTGCTCCAAATTTCAGGTCTAGGCCAAGGGACAGGCCAGCTGGGCACACAGAAGGTAACCTTCAGAGTGAGGGGCATGGGTGCCCTTGAGAATCTGGCAGTTTAGCCAGTAAGCAGATCCAACCCTGTAGTTCCCGGTGGCCCATCCCTGCAGTCTATGAGCCAGTTCTTGGAGCCGGTGACCTGATTTCTGCAGTGCTGTGGTCACAGGGTTCCTCCAAACAGTCACATCTAGCATCTTGGGGTAAAACCGGACAGGCTGAGGACTTGGTGTGCAGATTCCTTTCTGTGCAATTGAATGCTAAGAGACTAAGCAGAAAGCCTTCTTAAAGCCCGCCCTAAGAATTACCAGGTCCACATGCCCATGGTAGGTTCTGGGCTGGGTGGCCACTGCCCAGCCCTTCCCCCCTTAGCTATAGAGGTATATATGGTAGAGGTCAGCTGTTCCTGGCTCCCAAGTGAGGAGGAATTCAGTAGCTGTCTACCACCCATGAGGCTTCCAAGATGCCGCATGGAGACAGGAGCCCTCCCCAATTCTCTCAGAAATAGCAGCTTGATTCCTCTGCTGGCTGGTGCCCAGGAAACCTGGTACAAGCAGCAGTGGCAAATCACTGGGTTCTCTCAGGGCCCTGGGGCCACACTGTTAACTGAACCCGCATGGTGGGAGGAGGGTCTCCAGGTGACCGTGCCTCTCCACCCTGCCGTCCCACCTGTTCACCCCGTTTCAGAAGGCAGAAGTGCCATGGCCCCCTCACCCGGGCACAACCGTGTGCAGTGGTGGTGGGACAGGCCACCCTTGGTGGCTGTAACCCTGCTCTAGAGCCATGGTAACACAGCCTGGAGACTGGTGACAGCTCCCTGCTCCCACCAGCCTGGGTTCCTTTCTTTGACAGTGGAAGGTTTTGGAGGCGCTTGTTTTCTGTTGTGATTTAAGGAGGCTGGCTAGGAGCCATCTGTGTAAGGTCCCAGGGACCTGAGCACAAGGGAAAACAAAAAAAGGGTGTCACTCTCACTCTTCTGGAGCTTGCCTGCCTGCCTGTCTCCCTCCCACTCACCACTGAATGGGAGGTCACATCACTGGACAGCTAGAAATAAAATGCTGTGGAATCAGAGCTGGCCTCTATTGCATCAAGTGACTTTGCAAAGCTGGGTTTGCACACTCCTGGATGTGGCTCTGGTTGCTCACAGCTCTCCAGAAAGCAGTAGACATATTCCAAGAAATGCGATGGCTATTAGGAAGGAGTACAACTCTGGCCTTCAGTGAGCCACACCTGAGGCAGAATGCTCACGTCAACCATGACTGCCTCCCAGGTGCCAGGAATCCAGAGCTCCAGGCCTCTCAGGACCTGCTGCTGGTTGGCTGCACATTGTTTTGACAGCTGTCTACCTGCAGAAAATGGAAAACTTCTCCATTAAATCCACGCAACTGGCCGGGCGGTAGTAGAACACATCTTTAATCCCAGAACTCAGGAGGCAGAGGCAGGCGATCTCTGAGTCAGAGACCAGTTTGGTCTACAGTGAGTTCTGGGACAAGCTGCAAAGTAATACAGAGAAACCAGTCTGGGTGTGGGAGGGCAAAAATCAACACAACTAAGGAGCCAGAGCCTATCTGGTCCTCAGCTCACAAAGGGAGACCTTATATAAGGTTCTGCAAGCACATACACAGTGCAAAAGCCAGATTTCCTAGTTTCTAGCCCTGAGACACCCACACCAGCAGCCAAGAGAGTGAAGTGGCACCGGTACCAACCTGATGCCAGCCGCAGGCTGAAGATGCACCGAGGATGCAGGACATAAGGCTCCTCTGTGTAGCCTGGGCCCGTCAGGGAGAGCTGTCTGACTGACATGTCCAAGTAACTAGTTGAAGTCAAGGAGCACGCTCATGAACAACAGACACCATACTCAGGATGCCCTGGCCTTGAAGACAGCTGGGAGTTTTCTGAGTAGTGCCAGCCTGGAGGAAAGGACTCAGTCCCATTGACGGACATGACCTGGGTGGCTCCAGAAAAAGTCCTCAAGGTAGAGGGATAAAACAGGAAGAAATAACTTCCTCAGAGACCAGAAGCTGTGGAGAAAAGAGTGGGTCCCAGAGCCCCAACCCATCCCATCAAGGAACTCACTCTAAGGAAGAGACATTTTAGTACACACTAAAAACATGATGTGTTGGGTGTAGGGACGCACATCTTTAATTCCAGCACTTGGGACGCAGAGATGGGAATCTCTTGAGTTGGAAGCCAGCTTGGCCTACATAACAAGTTCCAGACCAACAAAGGCTACACAGTGAGACCAAAAATAAAAACACTTGCGGCCATGTATAGTGGTATATAATCATAATCCCAACACAAAAGAGGGTGAGACAGGAGGATGACCTCCATTTTGACCCAGCCTTGACTATAGGCTAAAATTATTAAAACACACACACACACACACACACACACACACACACACAACACCAACAAAAATCCGAGGCATACTACAAACACTTGAGCTCTCCATGGTGCCCACCAGTGCTTCCCTGGACATTCAGCTTTGATAGGTGGGTGACTTGACTTGCTTTGAAGAGAGCTAGGCCCATTCCCCATCAGTCAGTCCCTTTACTTGTTGAGGAAGTCCTCTAACCCAGTATGGCAAGAGAGTGCAGCACCTTGGAGAGCTACTCATGGTTCCTCCCCCTTACGTGCAGGTGTAAAACCAGCACCTACTGCAGCCATTCACTCTGAAGCCCAGCAGGGAGATCATGAGAATAGTTGAGCAGGAAGCATGTTTTTTGGTTTGTGTTCTGAGACAGGGTTTCTCTGTACCCTTGGCTGTCCTAGAACTCACTCATGTAGACCAGGTTGGCCTCAGAGAAAGATCTGCCTGCCTCTGCCTCTCGAGTGCTGGGATTAAAGGCATGCCACCGTGAGCTGGAGTTATAGATAGCTGTGAGCCACCTGAAGTGGATGCTGTAATAAGAACCAAACTCATGTCCTCTGAAAGCACAGCAAGCACTCCCCACTATGAAGATGTCTCTTTAGTCCCACTAAAGAACCCATTTAAGTTGGGTTCTGGGGGAACCAATTGGATTTTCATACTTGTGAGGCAAACCCTTAACCAAATGAGCCATCTCCTCAGAACAATTTGTTTCACATGAAGCTAAGGTATGGTAGTATGCACTTAAAATCCAAGCATTTGGGAGGTTGAGGCAGGAGGATTGCTTCAAGTATAAGACCAATCTGGGCTCCATGGTGAACACCAGCTAACAATGACTAGAGTAAAATTCTTGTAAAACCAGGAAACTGTTTACGTGGTGTGTTCCTTCAGTTCTGTGTGACACATCTGCATCCATACCAGCACCACAGGGAGGTCCTTTTATAGACGTGATAGCGATGATCCAGTTGCTAAACACAAGTGGAGTCTGCATGTTAGTATGAGGGAAAGAGGTCGTTACAGCCTTGACTCTCCCAGAGGGCAGAAACACACGAGCCCCCTGCTGAAGCAGTCCTCTCTGCCCTCTCCCTCTCTTTCTGAGCAATGCGGAAGAGCCAGCATGTATGCACAACACTCCTTATCAGCAGAAGGGAAGATAAAACTATGGTCATTTCAAGTGATATAGAACATTCCTGATGTTTCCGTAAGAAAGGCACTCAACAGAGTGAGTTCCAAGACAGCCAGGGCTACACAAAGAAACCCTGTCTCAAAAAAAAAAAAAAAAAACCAAAACCAAACAAAAAAAACCTCCCAAGGGAGAGACTAAAGAGATGGGTCAGTGGTTAAGAACACCGGCTGCTCTCACAGAGGACATCTGGTTCTCAACCATCTGTCTGTAACCCCAGTTCCAAGGGATTCCACTCCCTCTTCTGGCCTCAATGGACACTGCATACACCAAATACACAAACATACACAGACAAAAACACCCATACACATAATAAAAAATTTAAGTTGGGCAGTGGTGATGCATGGCTTTAATGCCAGCACTCAGGAGGCAGAGGCAGGTGGATCTTTGTGAGTTCCAGGCCAGCCTGGTCTACAGTGTGGATTCCAGGACAGCCTCCAAAGCCACAGAGAAACCCTGTCTCAAAAAAAAAAAGAAAAAAAAAAAAGAGGGGGAGGGGAGGGAGGAAAGAGGGAGGGAGAGAAACAAGCCTTACACACATAAATTAGAACTGGGCCCTCGCTGGGCGTTGGTGGCGCATGCCTTTAATCCCAGCACTTGGGAGGCAGAGGCAGGCGGATCTCTGTGAGTTCGAGGCCAGCCTGGTCTACAGAGCGAGTTCCAGGACAGCCTCCAAAGCCATAGAGAAACCCTGTCTCGAAAAACAAACAACAACAAAAAAAAAAAAAACAAAAGAACTGGGCCCTGCCTGACCCAGCAATCCCACATCACCCCCTCCCACCTGCCTGCACAGGCCCTGAGATGTTGCCAACGGGGACTCAAGTGTCAGAACTGGGCAGGCCTCAGGCACTCAGCTGGCCCACTATAAGGGACTGTCCTCAGCTCATGATAGCACCTAGCAACAATGCATGACAACAGGTAGGAATCAGGGAGAGACCACCAGTTTTTAGGAAATCAAGAGACTAGAACATGTGATAGCACAATTGGACAGACTAAGTAAGCAAAGCTCAGACACTGGCAAGCCTGTCAAACCAGCTTCTTGAGGGCCATTATATCCTACCTCAATGAAGGTAGAGAGCACTCAAGCCAAGGGCTTTCATTCATGCATGTGCACATGTAAATATGCATACTTCTCTCTCTGTCTCACACACACACACACACACACACACACACACACACACACACACTAGGGCTCCTACGCTCTGCAGGCAGCCTCAGTAGCAAAGGCAATGGCAATTTAAAGGTAATCAGTCTGGCTGGTTCAGAGAGACATCACTTGTCTAGCATACCCTAGGCCCTGACCTCAACACCGCCACATACCCCGAAATGTGAGGGACTTGAGCTTGGTGGAAACAAAAATAAACACACGAGTCAATTTTTAAAATAATTTTGTGTATGGGTGTTTTGCCTATATGTATGTATACCATGTACATACCTGGTGCCTGCAGAAGACGGTGTCAGATCCCCTGGAACTGGAGTTAGAAATAGTTGTAACTATTCTACTATTCTAACTATACTACAATGTGGGTGCTGGGAATTGAACCTAGGTCCTTGGAAGAGCAGCCCGTATTCTTAACCATAGTGATATCTCACTACCTGTCAAGTTTGGTTTTTATTTTTTTGGTTGGGTGTGGTGGAACGTGCCTTTAATTAGAGAAACCTGGAGGCAGGAATAAAAGGGGTGGGGGGGTCTTAATAATGTCTGCAGCACCCAACTGTTTCTCCCAGGACACAGCCCACTGTGGGGAAATGGGCAGCTAACCCCTGGGCCTGGTTCCCATCTCCTGGGGACGAGCGTCCTGTGTGTGCTGCAAATGAGGGGAGCCGCAGAAAGTGACTGCTAACGCCATAAACACTTCGTTTTAACAATGGAAGACACTTTATTTGGTTTTTTAAAATCATCTCTGAACATTTCAACTCTGTAGAAATCAAATGCAAAATATATGCATTTTTAAATTAGCATTTACTCAACTATTCGGATCACAGCAATCTCCCACAGTGAGACACACGGAGGGATGAGGCCATGCCAGTCTGTACACACAATATTTCCTGGTGGAAAGCATACTGGACTAACTCAGGCAACCTGGCCTCCATCTTGAGTCCCTGCAAATCTGGAGCAAACTGGAATGGAAAACTAGAGCTCTCAGGAGTGGGCCAGGCATAAACAATTCTGGAGTGTAGAAGGAACATCAAAGGCCGCTGCCCAGGGAAGCTAGTCTCAGTAATAAAAGTACTCAAATTTAGCTGTATATACACCTATCTACATGTGATCTATCAGCTAGAGATACAAAAGAGCCGTGTAAGATCTGAAACCTTAAAATCACTCCAGTAAATAGGAAGGACACCAGCAAATTCACAGTGGCTCAGGGTCCGGCTGGTCAAGCCTGCTCCGCAGCTGAATGCCTTTCTTAGGGAAATCCCACTAGCACATGATCTCAAACAGTGGCCATCACAGCTGCCTATGGCTGAAGTGTGTTACCAGTTCACAAGGAAGTGAAAGTTTCAAATTCCTGCCTACTCCTGGCTCTGCTCCCCGGAAAGGAAAACCCAGAGGCAGGTAATTTATACAAGGGCTCCTGGCCCCTCAGCTGAGCACTGGAGAAGCATCTGTCTGCAGGGCACACACCCCACCCCTTCTGCCCACCCTAGTGCAAAAAAACTTGAGAGCCACTGCTGAGAGCCCTGGGAACCAGTGAGGAAGGCATAGATGGGGCAGGGAACCCCACCTGAATTTCCTTCTGAAATGAAACTCGAGGTTTGGGGTGCAAGATTCATGCTCAGCAGGCACCAAGACCAGAGCTGCAGATGTGAAGGCTGAGGTCTCCAACTTGTCACTGGGGTCACTGCAGACCTCGGCACCGTGCCAACCCCTTGTGCACACTGGAGGTAGGTGTATAATAATATTTACCATAGGGAACGGCAGCAGCTCTCACGTGAGAAGAAACATGGGCTCTGTCAGTCCCCTACCCCGAGCGAGGCTCTCGGCTCCACCCTAGCAAGTGGAGACCACCTAGGAAAGGGCATGAGCACCCCCGCTTGGAAGACTAAAGGACCCAGGGTGCCTTTATATATACCATATCATTATTCCTTTCACCATGTTGAAACACACAGTAAGTTGAATACTCACTTGCAAATAAACCTCCAACTGTACATACAGTACAATAAGGGGGTGCAAACAAGGAGGGACATCAGTGCTGTTGTGGAGTCCACTTTCCAATTGCTGAGCAGAGCTCGCCAACACTGTGGGCTGATTGAGTGGAGCTGGCAAGATGGCATTCAGCTAATACTGGACTTGGCTCCCCTTTGAAACTGGTTGGGGAGAGGTAGGGGGAGGGGACATCTGCCTAGGGATCCTTGTATCAGTAGAGCAGGAGAAGAGGCGAGCCATCAGAGAGGCTGGTATGGCAGGAGGGCTCATTTCACAAGCCAGCAGGCCTCTAGCTCGCCATTCGTGGGTATTTGAAGGTGACCCAAAGGACCCTTCCCAGTCCAAACCGGCTTTGCAGTGGGAGGGGTAGGTATGGCGAGAGTCCCAGAGACAGAGACCTTCTTTCAAAGGAACCAGAACCAAAACCCAAACCCAAACCAGCTAAGCAGGGAGTGGAGAGATGAGTGAAATGACTGGATGAGGTGCCACTCTGTCCCTCAGCCCACACAGCAGCTGCGGGGGCGTGTCAAGTGCTAAGTGAACTCGCGTGTGAAGGAACAGTAGCCCTGGCCGCTTCCATGGTCAAGCTCAGGCCTCCGCCTCTGACACTGCCGTGCTACCTCTTGACGGAACCAAGCCAGGTCAGTGGTGTAGCCCTTGTAGCAGGAGGTGGGGTGGGACCTATCTGTACACGAGATGGGAGAACTGCGTGGACTTGTAGTTGAGCTGGTCATTGGGCATGAACTTGTGCAGCTCACTCTTTCTGCAGCAGGGGTCGTAGTGATAGGCGCCGAGGCAGGCGTCGCAGGAGACTTTTGAACACTGAGTGCAGGTGTTGGTGGCACCCACGCGGTTACAGAAGCCACAGCGGGAGGTGGCTGTGGTGGAGGGCTTGGGCTTTGAGTGCACAGGTGGCAGCCGGTCAAAGCCCTGAGTCTGGCCCACATACTTCTCCCGCACAGGTGCCCCATGGACCAGACTGTCGTGAGCAGAGGCCTTACTGGGAAAGGCGCTGGACTTGGAGGCGGAAGGACAGCCGAGTAGACTGTCACAGCGCTGGCAGAGGGAGGAGCTGCAGGGCAGGCCACAGTTTTGGCACTTGGAGAGGGCTGACTCTTTGGTGGGGGGTGAACGCTTGTGGTAAATGGAGTGGGCATCATTTTTAACCAGCCACACATCTGGTCGCAGCGCATCCTGCCTCCGGTAGGTGGCCCTGGGTTCCGAGTCCGTATACAGGTCCACGTCATCCTGAGTGGAAAAGTACGTACTGCGCAGCAGGCCAAGGCCATTGACGTGGGAGATGGATGGAGGGTCATCAGGGCTACCATGGGGGGAGCTGGACATGGTCAGCAAGGAGGGGGACGGGCGGATGATCTCATCCTTCAGGTCATCCCCTACAGCCATGGCCAGGGGATCCTTTCGCAGACCCAGTGAGGAGACCTTTGAGGAGAGCTTCCTGCCCTCCCAGTAACTATCGTAGGCATCCACCGACCTGGAGGGTTTGGTCACTCGGGTCTTGTAGTAGTCCTTGGCTGCCCGCTCACTGGCTGACTTCTGAAGTGCCACACGAGCCATGGAAGTGGTCAGGTGCTCCCGACTCTCGGCCCGTCTCCGCAGAGCATCTGAGCACCCATGCGCGTCCTCTGTGCTGCCCTTGCGTTCGGTCACCACATCCAGCTCCGAGTAGCCCTTGTCCTTCACCTTCGAGTGGATCCCCAGCATCTGCTCACACTCCACCGTGGCCAGGAAGAGCTCAAAGGAGACCATCTTCACCTGGAGGGACTCCACAAGCTCCTTTAGTTTGTACGCAGTGCCCAACTCAGGCTCGTAGCCCATGAACCTCAGAATGGCTCGGATGTCCTCCTCCAGCAATGTGGACTTGACATAGTAAACAAAAGGGCCTGTGTAGGTCTAGGGAGAAAGTGGGCCAAAAAAAAGAAAGAGAGAAAAGAAAAAGAGGCATGCTACAGAGACGCCTGTTCACACCAAGTGCAGAGCGGGACTAGCAGGGAGAGATGGGGAGTCTCTGCCTGTAGACCACCTAGGCAAGAACATACTAAATGCACACCACCAAGCAAGGGGCACATGAGGCCATCAGTTTTCTGTGTAGGTATGAAGGCTTTGTTCCACAAGGAAGTACAGGGGATGGGATTATAGAGAGTGTGACACTAAGCCCAGAGAATGTCCCTTTTGGGACATATTAGGGCTGGGGATATAGCTTGGGATACCGCATGCACCATAGCTTTAATCCCCACTACAATAAATAAATACACAGACCATGTCACGGTTCCAGCCTGGCTTGGTACAGCCTCTACTCCCTACACCCCACCCCCCCACCCCTGGCCCCCAGTTCCCATGCTATGGAAAGTACAGAATCTTTTCTTAACCCCGCCCCACACCAGCACCCAGATGCTCAGAGACCCTGGGATGAGAACAGGGCTCAGGAGAGGGCAGCGGGCAGAGGCAGCCACCCCACCTCACCTTGATGCTGCGGAACTCCTTCTTCCAGGGGAACAGGAAGAGGTTGATGGCCACCGTCTCTAGCATGCTGAAGGCGCAGTGCAAAGCGCTCAGGCTGGAGCCGCTCAGTGAGCGGAGGGAGCTCTCCACCACTTCATAAAAGCGGATCAGCCGAAATCGTTGCAAGGGGTCCACCTTGTGCAGGCTGAGCAGCGTGGCGGCTGCCACTCGCAGGTACTCATCGCCACCAGGCTGCTGCTTGCCAGGGGTGGTGTCCACTTTGCTCTCATGGAACTGCACGTACTTCCGAAATAAATCATCCTTGTACTTCGTATCCATTGAACTGGGCTTCCCCAATCAAACCCAAGGGCTACCTCATCTCCCCCATGGCTCTGGGACTGGAGGTTGGCACATCACATGAAGAACTGGCATGGTACCCACGGGCCAGCGCATGCTCTGAAAAGGGAGGAACAAGAAGCCATCACCCATCTGACTGGTCCCTACCCCAGCTTCAGAATGCTGAGGACAGCAGAGCCCAGAGCTGGCCTAGGCTATGCTGGCTCTTTAGCACAGATGGCCTCCATATGCTCTTCCGCCTGGCACAGACATGGAACACACAGGGGCAAGGTGGTGAGAACACACAGGCCTGCAGCTCAGCAGCTCACAGGAGTGACGAATGCCCCGGAGGCAGGGTCAGAGAGCTGGCACACACTGCTTGGCCTCGGTGTCACAGAGGAGGAGTTTGGGAAAGCCCCAGGCAAAGTTAAACCTGAAGCACTGCCAGGCCAGGGTGTGACACTGGAGGTGGCAGGAGGGAGGGGCTGAGCTGGCTCAGCAGAGCAGGTCCCAGAAACCAACCCCTTACTTCTGAGCAAGGGGGCACAGAAGCTACTGTGCCCCTGGAGACAGGCAGTTATTGAGAAAAGTACCCAGGGCCACAAAGCTCCCAAGGAGAAGCAAAGGTCAGAGCCCAGGCAGACTCCAGAGTCCAAGCCCAGCCCACCACACCCTGCTTTCCTGGAGCAGGAAGGAGATTGGCACCGGCACAAAGGAGGCTGCTAAAGACCAGGCACAAAGAGGGGGGGAGGCTGACTCACAGGACACAGGCTGGGACTGTACTCATTTGTATGAGAGACCCTTCGTCCCATTCCCAAAGCACACACAGCAGAGTTCAAGGGTCTGAAGAGGGACTACAGAGACCAGGCAGACTGCTGTCCCCTTCACCTTAGAGGGGCTACAGCTTCTGGGAGAAGAAAAGGCGGGGCCAGAATGCACACCAGCCCAGCAGCTCACAGCCAGCCTTGGGTAAACAGAGCAACACTCACACTGCCACACACTGCAGGCAAACAGCGCTCAAAAGGGTAAGTGCTAGTGAGGCAGCAAGGCAGGAGCTCCACAGCCTGAGTTCAGAGCCCTGGTCCAAGTCACTTGGGACAGCCCCTCAGTCCTTTTACTTATGAACCTCATGAGCACACGCAGCTCTGCACAGTAAGTAAGGACTTATGCTCAGTTTAGTGAGATGGTGACAGGATCTTCTCTGCCCTGGCAAGGGGCCCACTCTCAAGACATCAGGCTTTCTCAAGAAGGCTCCAGCAGAGTGGGTATGAACCGCACCTGACACTTTCCTGGCCAGAATCCCAGAGTATGGGTGGTGACCACCTTACTCTAAGCTCACCTCTGCACCTGCCCAGGTGAGGCAAGACTCATCAGCATCACTGAGACTATGGGAGGCAAAGGGGCTTGGGGTTGGCCTGTGCAGTCCTCCAGCAGATCTGTGTTCTGGCACCATCAACAGTCCACAGAACCACCAGGCCTCAGTTCCAACGCAGAGCCGAGTAAATGCCACCTTCCCAGTCCCTCACTGCCACAATATGAAATTGCTGGCTTTACTCTTTTACTAGCTTCCTCTAAGTTTCACCCCATAACCTGTAACTCTGATGAAGTCAGAGGTCACCACAGTAATTAGCACTGATGCAGTTTCAAGTAGGTACCTAATACCACTGGAGCAATGCATGATATAAGGAATTCAGGCACACACAGAGTGACCCTTCGGTCTCTCAGCAGGGTCACGAGAGCAGCTGGAGGATGAGTGACAAATATGGCATGCCATGCAGCCTGAAGCTTAGGGTGACTCTGTGCCCCGGACAACCCTGAAGCCCACATCCCACAGTGTTTTACAGAGCACCTGCCTTCTACCTGGCCTGGATAAGGCTGGGGAGCAGGAACTGTAGAGGCTATCGGTGAAGACAGTGTAGACCAATGCTACCTAGAACAGCTCGGCAGCCACCCAAGCATGCACATCCTCTCAATACAAACCCACTGCGGCCAAAGAGAACATTTGCAGCTGCTCTTGATAATAAACATGGGGTTTACCTATGAGGAGATGGTTTTCGTTAAGTTTGAAAACAAAAAAGAGGTTGGGTGGTGGTGGTGGTGGCGGCAGCAGCAGCGGCGCATGCCTTTAATCCCAGCACGCAAGAGGCAAAGGCAGGCGGATCTCTGTGAGTTCGAGGCCAGCCTGGTCTACAGAGCAAGTTTTAGGACAGCCTCCAAAACAATACAGAGAAACCCTGTCTCGAAAAACCAAACAAAGAAAACCAAAAAGACTATCAAGAGGGTGGGGTGGGTGACACAGTAGTTGAGCAGCTGCCTAGCATGCATGAGACCCTGGATCCTATCTTAAGCACCAGATATGGTCTCATGTAGCTCAAGCTGACCTCAAATTTGCTGCACCATTGAGGGTGACCTTGAACTCCTGATCCTCCTGCCTCAGCCTTTCAAGTGCCGAGGTAAAATATTAATAAGGGCTGGGGGCTGGAGACATGGTTCAGCAGTTAAATGGTCTGGGCAGCTCTTGTAGGGGACCCAGGTTTCATTCCCAGCACTCAAATAGCAACACAGAACTATCTGTCCCTGTCACTCCAGTCCCAGGGGATCTGATGTCCTCTTCTGACCTCTGCGGACACTGCACACACATGGTGCACAGACCTATATGCAGGCAAGCCACCCACACACATAAAATAAGACAGGCACGGTCATACACACCCCAGCACTTAGGAAACAGAGGCAGCCTGATAGTGAGTTCCAGGACAGCCAGGGTTATATAGAAACCGTCTTTTGTGGTGGACAGCAACAGTGGGTGGCTACCATGCATCTTCCTAAACACTGCTATTTTTTTCCTCTCTGTGGAAGTCAGCCTTTAGCTCCAGGTAGATGACATTTGCAAAGGGAGCCATCCTCCTGCCCAACTCAGCAAAGAGGTGCTGTTTTGCAATGGCTCCTCACTCCACACCCTTGTTTTTGGCTGGCAAACAAGAAACAAGGAAAGGAAACTCACAGCTTCAGTGAGTGCTCACAGTCCTAAAATAAGGGCGAGAAACATACAGAATCCTGAAGCTGAGAGAAGCAGCACACACCTAGAAACCCAGCCTAGAGGCTGAGGCAGGAGAATTGCCATGCACTTAAGTTCAGTCTGGATTACTCTCAAGAAAATCTCAACAGGGCTGGTAGGGGGGAGGGGAAGGCAAAAGAAAATGAATGCCTGCAATCCCAGCACTCAGAGGGTTGGAACAGGAAGATCTCTTAAGAGTTCAAAGTCAGCCTGAGGTAGAGAGTTCAGATCCTGTATGAGAAAAGGAGGGGCATGGGGGGAGGGCTCAGCAGTGCTCTCCGTGCAAGCATGAAGAACTCACTCACTGTGTACACTGCAGCATCAGCACTGGGGAGCAAAGACAGGACAATTCTAAGAGCCTGATCAACAGCCCACCTAGCAAGAACAGGGAGCCTCCAATGCTGGTGCACACCCTGAATCCCAAGGCCAGGAGGCAGAGTCAGGTGGATCTCTGAGTTCAAGGCCAGCCTGGTCTAAGAGTGAGTTCCAGGACAGCCAAGGCTACACAAAGACACCTTGTCTAGAAAACAAAATAAAATGAAGAGGACCTAGTTCCAATACTTGGTAGCAGCGAGAGGCAGGCCAGCAGGTGGATCTCTGTAAGTTCCAGCCCAGCCAGGGCTACACTGTAATACCCTACCTCAAAAAAAAAAAAAAAAAAAAAAAAGGAGGTGGTGGTGGTGCCTAGAGGGATAACTTAGTGATTAAAAACACCTGTTCTTGCAGGGGCCTGTGTTTAATTCCCAGAACCCATATGATGGCTCACCACTGTCCATAACTCCAGTTCCAGGGGATCTGACATGCTCTTTTTACTTCTGTGTGCACCTGGCATGCCCAGAATGTGGACTGACACAGATTCGAGCAAAATACTCACACACAGTTTTTTTTTTTATTATTTTAAGGGGGGAGATGGAGAGATGGCTCAGTGGTTAAGAGCTTAAGAGCCCTGGTTGCTTTTATAGAGGACCTGGATTTAATTCCCAGAACCCACATGGGGGCTTACCAGACTTATCACTGTCTGTAACTCCAACCCCAGGGGATCTGACACCGTCTTCATGCCTCCAAGGCATACACATGGTCCATAGATATGCATGAAGGAAAAACACCCAACCGCATAAATAAAAATAAAAATTTAAAAACTCTTAAAGTGCAGAGATAAGAGAAAGTCATGTAACCTCTGGCGTCCTCTACAGATACAGACCCAAATACACCACACACCACAGGGTAAGAGAATGAAATAATGACTAGGGACCCACTATGTTCCAAGTGACACGACAGGCTCTCCACTTTAATCACATCTCCCATTTCATCTTGACAGCAGCTGAAGACACTGAGATGCACTCAACATCAGCAGAGCCAAAAGGGCCAACAGGTCCCGAGGACTGGCGTTCTCCCTTTCAGCTCACCCATTTCTGGCTATAACTGGTATCAATTACAAAGAGATCAGGATATGCAAGTCCCTGTGCCAACTGTCCAAAAACCAGTAAGATCCACAGGACAGCCAGCATTCAAGAGGGAACTGAGCAGAGAGCCAATTCACTTGTCCTAAGTCGAGACAAGTCATGGATCTGAGACTTGAACCTGAATCTAACCCTAGGCAAAAGCCATCTGGCTACATCTTCTGGGGTGGGCTCCTGGAAAGGCTTGTTCAGTCAAAATGCCTTGCAGCCCAGAATACTAGTCTCATAGTAGCAAAACTGCCATCTTCCCACACTGAATGGGCTGGGAGAGCCACCAGCCTCTTAATGATGTAAGCTCAAGGGCCCAGGAGAGAGGCTGGCCAGAGACCAGCCAGCAGTGAGGCAGTTACATCATCCCTGCTGAATACATTTCCTAAGAATACAGGCTGCCTTGTGGCTGGCCCTAACTGTTGTCTTTTCTGAGCACAGAGCCAGCAATTTATTCCCAGCACTCTGGAAAGCACAACAAAAACACACATTCTCTGCAAAACACAGCCTGGTTACAGGAGAGCAAGACAGCCCAGTGACAGAAGCTGTTAATTTCTCTAAGCAACCCAAAGACTGGAATGCCAAGCCAATCCAGGCTGGCAGGGGGAAAAATACAGCTCTCTGGATATCCAGAACACGGAAGCAGAAGGGTGGATGCCTAGTGCTATCGGTTCTGGGTGGCACCTCCTGAATCCACAATCTGGGCCCCTTTGTTAAAGCAAGACAGTGAAGACGAAGCTAGTGCACAGGCAGAGGGCTTTACCAACAATTATTCTTTAAACATCCAATGGAGAAAGCCGAAGGCGTTTAAAGTTCAGCTGAATGGAAACCAAATAATGTGGTAAGTAGAGCATCGGTTCGGCTTTACCACTGCTGGCCCATTCAAGCAGAATATGCCCCGTGGCAGCATTGAAAGGCACTCTCTCCCTATACTGGCAGATGCTATTTGGGTCCCAACTCTGCAATCTACATGTTTACACACCCCTGGTTCAGCTTCATCCTCCAAACGGAATCAGAGACGCGGCTCCATCCCTCTTCTCTCCAGCTCACCTCTATGCAATCATTCTAAGCAAGAGGTTCCCAGACTTATCGGCACCATCCCCGCTGACTGTAGAACACTACAGGAACTCTGCACTACTAGCCTCCAGAAACACTGTCACGGGGTCTTCCAGAGCTCTGAAAACAACGTGGGCTGTGCTGGAACATGGCTTCCCTCCCCACAGCTGCTTCTCTTGGGGGTTCCGACAGGAGCTATGCCCCTTTCCTGCAGGGGTCATAAACCTGCGGCGGCTACTCCCTGCTGGGTGAGCCGCCGGCCCCTGACCGCCATAGCGGCGGGGAAAACGCCCCGGGCTCAAAGGCAGGCGCACAGGGTCGTTTTGTAGGTGGTACCGGGAACTGGGGCAGAGCCCAGGGGTATCGGACACGCTGTGCAAGCTCTCGCTAACGCCCCTCCGTCTGCCAATGAAGTGCCGGGATCTGTCACTGGACACCTGCTGTACCCCGGCATCGTGCAACGCCTGCGTCCTCCTCATTCCACGCCCACCGCAGCCCCGGAAGGCCGTCCGTCGCGTCCCTCCTCACAGACCCGGAGACCGAGGCTCCCGAGGCGGAGCGACTTAGGCAAGGTCACTCGGTGAGTCCAAAGCCAGGTCCGCCTCCCCTCCCGGCTGCGAGCCACGGCGCGGTGCCTGTCCCCGGGGGCGCCGGGGGCGCGTGAGCAGTTTCACCCGGAGCGAGGGCTGCGGCCGGCGCAAATAGCAGCTGCGGCCGCGGGGACGGAGCCGAGGACCTGGACAGCGACGGCGCCCGCAGGGACCCGCCCTCCCGCCTGCCCCGCACTCACCCGCCGCTGCCCGCCAGCCAAGCGAGCGCCGCCGGAGCACGGCCCCGTCGCTCCCGCCGGCTCCAGGGACCGAGACCAGTACCGGAGCTTGGGCGGCCCGGAAGCACTCTGCCCGGAAGTGACGTCAACGGAGGGCCCCTGCGAGAGGCCGGATCGAGGCTGCGCGCTGAGCCTGGGAAGGAGCGGCGGAAGCCGGTGGCCCCCAGGTGAACAGGAGGAATGAGGGGCTACCGTTCGGGGACGAGGCAGCGGGAGACGGGAGGAGGGGAGGAGCGCTTCTCCGCGGAACCCAACCTCACCCCTCAGGGGCAGTCGAGGAGGCCCAAGCGGAACCCGGAAGCAAATGAGCTGGAAGTGACAAGCAGCGCTCCGCCCGCAGACGCTGGTTAGCCGGGTTGTCATAGAAACGGGTTCCAGAGCCGGGGGATTGGTTTTTCCACCTGGCCGGCTTTCCCCTTGGTCAGGACAGTGCTTGAGAGCCCGAGTGACGTCAGGACCCGCGATCCCATTTCAAAGACGAAACCGCGGAGGGTAGAGTCAACGCGGAGGTCACCCGAGACTGGAGAGAGGACCGTGGGTGTTACCACTGGCGACCAAGGTTGGGGCGGATGGGGCGTGAAGGGAGGCTCAGGGGAGGGCTCAGCGTTTTGGAGCACTTGTTGCCTTCATAGGATACGGGTTCGATTCCCAGCACTCACGTGGAGGCTCACAACCATCCATAACACCAGTTCCAGGGGATCTGATGCCCTCTCAGACCTCCTCGGGGATTAGTCACGCACGTGGTATACATACATAGATGCAAGCAACACATAACGTAAACTAAAAATAAATCGCTACACAGCAAAACTCTGTCTCGAGTGATAACAATAATGGGAATCAATCATTCCCATTAATCCATAGATTGGACCTCAGGGCGCGGCTCAATAATCTCAACTATTCCGAAGAGTCAGGAGGAGTGTGAGTTTAAGGCTAACATCCACAATTTGGCGAGCTCCTGCCTAGAAGGAAATAATAGAAGGCTGAGGCTATACCCATTCCTAGAACCCTGGCCTAGCCGGTGTGTGCTCCCTGCGTTCAGTTCCCAACAATGGACACACAGGACGGGGAGGCTCCTAGTGTTAACTTTAACTGGTTACTAGCAGGGTGACCATGAACAAGCCACTTAACCTCTCTGAGCCTCATCATAATATCGTTTAAAAGCAGTAATAATGGCAATAATAATTAATGGCAGCTGCCGAGTAAGATGTAGTCAGAATGAACTACACAGAAACTGCTTAGTACATAGTGAGCCCAGACTAAGACCTAAAGAAGTTGCTTGAGACAAGTAGCCCAGGCTGGTCTAGCGCTCACTATGTATTCTGGCCTGTAATTCACTTGTAGCCCAGGCTACTCTCAAACTTGTGGAGCTCAGCCTGTCTCTGTCTCCTGAATGAAGCCGGCGTCCCTCAGTTGTGTAACCATGGAAACCAGAGGGGCCGGTGCAATCCTCCCATCTCCCTTCGGGAGCTACACAGTCTACAGTGGCTTGTGTCCTGACAGCTTGCCCCTCGACTTTCCATAGGTTTCTCTAAACTCCTCCTTGCCACATTGACTGGGAGCTCCCTGAGAGATGAACTCCAGGTGCTGTGCTGGGGAGACAGCTCAGCCTTTAAGGACTGGCTGCTCGAAGACCTGGGTTCAGTTCCCCAGAACACCCTGCCAGACACAGGGAATTAGACACCTTCTTCTGGCCTCTAAGAGGCATTCATGCGTGTGGTGCACAGTCACACGTTCAGGAAAAAAAAAATCATATACACAAAGTTTTTAACTTAGAGGGGGCGGGGCTTTGATTTGCCCCAAAATCCCTAGAGTTTGACAAGTGCCAGACACAGGTAAGGTATGGAGCATCATTTTTGATTGGCTGGAATTTCGGGGTTTTCTCGAAGCAATCTGGATGTGTAGCCTTGACTGTCCTGGAACTCACTCTGTAGACCAGGCAGGCCCCAAACTCACAGAGCTCTGCCTGCCTCTGCCTCCCGAATGCTGGAATCAAAGTCGTGCACCACCACCGCGTGGCTTTTTCAGGCCTCCGGCCTCTCCACCTGCTGCCTGGTTTAGGACACCCTTCTGGCGCCCTTCCTCCCCCTGTCTTACATGCTGGCGTCCAGCCTCAACTCAGCCTTGCTTTCTTCCTGCAGTTCTGTGACTCCTCCAGCTAAGAGAGCCAGAGCCTTCCCCTCCTGACCCCCCACAACACTCACCGTGGCTGTAGCTCGGCTCTTAGTCCTGCAGGTCACACACTTGGGCAGCATGACGCCGCACCAGGCCCCACCCTCCTTTTCATCTGTGTCCCCCGGGGCCCTGTGCAGTCTCATCAGGAGCCATCCAGCTGGTGTTCTCTGGTTGTAGAGAACCAGGGTAACACTCTTAGAACCAGGGTGACACCCACAAAAGAAAGTCAGAAAGCCTGATGTAATTCCACATATAAGTTGAGGTTAAGTGCACGCACAAACTGTTCAGTTTGTAGCTCCCGCATCAGGCTTCTCAACTGTAACTCCAACTCCAGGGAATCTAACACTTTCTTTTGGCTTTACCTCTGAGAGCACCTGCACTCACATGGCAGACATATACACAAATTAAAAAGTAAAAATAAATCTTTTTCAAGCCAGGAGTGGTGGTATATGCCTGTAATCTCTGAACTCAGGAGATAGAGGCAGGAGAATCTGGAGTTCAAGGCCATTCTTGCTAATAGTATGTTGAGGCCAGCCTGGGCTACACGAGACCCTGTCTCAATCCCCTTAACAAGGAAAGGGGACAAAAGGCCCTGGCAGCAAGTGTATCAAGCTTGCATTTTCACATGAGGCTTTAAGAAAGTCCCTTCCATCTCTGTGGTTCTGTGACAGCCAAGAGGAAAGCCCTAGTGATGGAAACATGTGACATTTCCTGTCAGAAAAGACCCAAGGTCTCAAGAAAGGCACATTTCTCATCCTCTACACAAATGAAGACTTGTGACTTCTGTGCTTGGTGTCCAAATTTCATTACATAATGATTAGCAGGTTACATAATGATCATGTGACAACCACCAGGCACCCTCACTTTTTAGGAGCCAACACTCTACCTACCTCTTTCTATTTTTTATTATGCCCCCCCCCACAAAACTAGCAGGATTCCAACAATACAGAAGCACGCAGAACAAAAACCGAAAGAAGTTCTGTGACCCAGCAGTGGGCTTTCTTGGCCTCTGGGAGAAGTGCAGGTAGCTGTATGATTCAGTGGCAAACAAAGGGGGAGGGGGGGTCGGCTCCAAACAGCAGCATGATGAGTGGAGTGTCTCCCTAAGCAGCCTGCACCTGCAGGGGATGATGGGACTCTGCATGATGCCTCAAAACATGCTGGGCAAGGAAAAGACACGCTGTGGGACAAAAACAAGCAAAACAAGCATTGGTCAGTATCACTGAGCTTAGGTTCATGTAAATATCCAAAGCCAACCAGAGAGGAATATAGTCCAGATGCCTGTTTCCCCTAGTCATTTCAGCCCTAGTACTGAGGCAAGAGAATGACTGGAGTTCAATTCCAGCCTGAGACCTAAGCAGTGAAAAGTCATCTGTTTAGGGGGCAGGGAAGGCACTCAACAGTTATGAACCCTTGCTGTTCTTCCAGAGGACCAAAGTTCAGTTCTCAGCAACCACATTGCGAAGCCCACAATCTCCTGTAACTCCAGTTCCAGGGACTCTGACACCTACCTGCACATAAAGAATAAATCTTGCTCAGGTGTTGCAGTGCTCAACTTTAGTCCCAGCACTCAGGAGACAGAGGCAGGCAGATCTCTGTGAGTTCAAGACCAGCCTGGTCTACAGAGTGAGTTGCAGAACAGCCAGGACTACACAGAGCAACCCTGTTTCAAAAAAAACATGTTAAAATTTGTTTTGGGTATTTTGCTTGCATACACTGTGAGCATTCCCAGTGCCCACAGAGGCAGAAGAAGTCAGGGTGTTCAAATTCTTTAGAACTGGAGTTACAGACAGTCATGGACCAAACTTGAGTGCTTTGGGAGAGCAGCCTGCATGCTTTTTGTTGTAGTAGGGTGCTTGCCTCTCAGCATGAGGCCTCGGGTTCAACCCCCAGTACTCAAGTATTAATTCCATAGTTTGTTTATTGGGTTTTGAGCTTATGCACAGGTCTGGCCTTCCTTTCACCTGAAGGGAAGAAAGCAGTCAGACAAGAAAGAACCAGGAGATGAAATCTCAGCTGCTGGCAAGCACATAATGACGTACTGAGAGTCCAGAGCCTGGCACAGTAGAAATGGCATCTTCCAGAGCACTAGCTCACAGTGCATAATGAGCACTAGAGAGCCTGAAGTCTCTGTGCCACGGGCTCTTCATCTGTTAGCTTCCAGATGACAGCAGCACCCACTGGACGCCACTGACACCAGGTGGTCCCCACAAGCACTTGACTAAGCACTCAGCAGCAGCTGTCACTGTTGGGGTCGGTTGGTAACAGCTCTTGCTCACCTGAAACCTGCTATGTATCCTAGGCTGGCCTAGAAGGCCTCCTCCGCTTCCTAGGTGGGGGGATTGTAGGTGTGTGCAGCCACCTTCCAGCTTAGCGGGGTTTTTTGTTTTGTTTTTACATTTAGTTACTGTGTTGGTGGGCACTGGGCGGGGACTGGACAGTATTTCTGCATACCACAGCGTGTGTGTGAAGGTCAGAGGACAACTTGATGGAGTCAGTTCTCACTTTCTGCCACCATGGCCCTGGGGATCCAACTGAGGTCATCAAGCACCCATCCCACCTTGCCAACCCTCCGTCTTTCTTCGTTCCCATCCCTGCAAAGGAGCTGATAGCCATTCTACCACCCCACTGCTTGTTACAGGCTTCTTTTTCCTTCGGAGTTCTACACTGTAACCAAGGCTGAGTACTCGCTATGCAGCATCATGCTGTCCCTGAACTCAAGGCAATTCTGCTGCTTCTGCCTGTTTACGTCATAGGTGTGGGTCCTGAAATCTGACTGTCCTTTTGGTTGAATGAAATACCCCTGACACATCTTGCAAGGACCTTCCCTCTGGGGGATAAGCCTTGATTTATTTTTTAATAATTTCAATTAAATTTATTCGCTTTGTTTTCTGTGTGCTTTGCATGCATGTATGTGTGCACACCGTGTGTGTGCACATGGAAGTCAGAAGAGCATTGGATTCCTTGGAACTGGAGTTATGAACAGTTGTAAGCCAACATGTGGGGACCAGGAATTGAAACTAGATCCTTTCCAAGAACAATAAGTTCTCTTCTGAGTCATCTCTCCAACCCCTAAATTTCTTTTTTTTTTTTTTTTTTGGTTTTTCGAGACAGGGTTTCTCTGTGGCTTTGGAGGCTGTCCTGGAACTCACTTTGTAGACCAGGCTGGCCTCGAACTCACAGAGATCCGCCTGCCTCTGCCTCCCGAGTGCTGGGATTAAAGGCGTGTGCCACCAACGCCCGGCGCCCCTAAATTTCTTTAAAGATGTATTCATTTTACTTTTACGTGTATACATGTTTTGCCTGCATATATCCTGTGTGCCACATTGTGCCTGGTGCCCATGAAAGACAGAGGAGGGGTCAGGTCCCTTGGGGCTAGAGTTAAACAGTTGGTTGTGAGCTGCCTGATGTGGGTGCTGTGAACCCAGCTCAGGTCCTCTGAAAGGACCATAAATGCTGAGCTCTGTGCTCACATTGTCGAGCCAGTTTCTAATTGAGTGCTTGTAGGTTGTCTCATCATTGTGAGCGTATGTCTCCTGTGAGACCACGTGTGGAATCATCTCTCCAAACCGAGGTTCCTTAACCTGTATTCACAGTCCCTTCCTCAAAGCTATCTTCATTTGGTTTGATTGTCTTCGTTTTTGGAGACAGGATGTCATGGATCCCAGGCTTGCTGTGCAGGCAAGGATGACTTTGAACTCCTGACTCTTCTGCCTTTCCCTTCCGATAACTGGAATTAGAGGAGCGCCCCACCTTGCCTGGTTTATGGCATGCTGGGTCATGGCTGGCAGGCAAGCACTCCACCAACTGGGCCACTTCCCCAACCCTCGGAAGGTTGTCTTGCCCATTGGATGAGATTCCAGGAGGGAAGAACTTCACCTGAGCCTGCCAAGGAGCTCTACAGCAGGTGTTACCCCGTGAGGCTTCCTGACCTAGTTCAACCTGAATTCACTGGAGGCTGGAGGCCTGGATTGAGAACTCACTGACTTGGAGAACGCCGTTGCCCCAAAGCAGGCACGTGTGTTCTCTGGCTCCTTCACAGCACTTCCCCTTTTCTCCCTAAATATACACCTAACTGCCAGTGTTTCAAAGCCCTCATGCCACCCACAAGTCCAAAGGCTAAGAGCTATTATTACTGGGGATCCATCCTTCCCAACCCACCTCCAAGGAAACATAGTTCACAGGGTTGGATCTTAATCTCATCTGGATGCTATTTAATTGCTCTGAAAACAGTCCCTGGAGGTCATGGCTTCTACTTTGTACTGTACAGCCCTCCAAGCACCAGGCTTCGAAGAGCCATTTGCAGAATGCAAGCACCTTTGTCCCTTGAAGCAAGCAAGGAAAAGCCACACTCAGTGTCCTTGTTATATATCAGTATCATCCCTTGGCAGGAAGAAAGGGGAAGTAGGGGGCTGGAGAGATGAATCAGCAGTCAGGAGCATTTGCTGCTGAAGACCAGAGTTCAGATCCCCGCACCCACATGAGGTGGCTCAAAACTGCCAGGAACAAGCTATGTAGCCACTCCGGGCCTCCATTTCCCTGATAGTAAACTGGGATTAACTGTATCCCCAAGAATGCCTCCAAGACTAGAATGTGATGTCAAGCAAAGACTACGCATTCTTTATGAGCCAGGTATCTTTTATTTAAAAGCTGGGGCTCAAACCGAGGGCCTCCTGATGCTGAGCTCCATGCAGCCTGTCACCCAGGCCTCCTGATGCTAAGCTCCATGCAGCCTGTCACCCCAGGCCTCCTGATGCTAAGCTCCATGCAGCCTGTCACCCAGGCCTCCTGATGCTAAGCTCCATGCAGCCTGTCACCCCAGGCCTCCTGATGCTAAGCTCCATGCAGCCTGTCACTCCAGGCCTCCTGATGCTAAGCTCCATGCAGCCTGTCACCCCTTGAACTTCTCATCCTCCTGCCTTCCCCCCTCAAGCGCTGGGAATCAGGAGTGTGCACTACCACCCAGGGCCCAGTGTGCATGCCAGGCAAGAACTCCACCTACTAGGCCACACCCAGCCCTAGACAACACTTTCTGGGTAACCGACCCTTTGTTGATACTGGAAATCAGTTACTGCCAGTACCCAGCAGCTGCCACAACTCGGCACCTAGAAGTTACTGGCTGGTCGTTCACAGTACGGTGTCTTCCTGTTATACCTCCTTCCAGTCCAAGCCTCTGTCCTATTTTATTGTATTATTTTATTTTTTCAGGCTATTCAAGCCATAGAGAAAGGGCAATATGTACCTCTAGAGACCTGGAAGAATTAAGATAAGTGGTGTCCACCACCAGATGAGTATGTGAGATACACATGTACCCCCTTACAGAAAATACCGCCTCCTCGTTTTCAGTCAAGAAAAATCTTGAGAAATGTGATAAAAATCATCTGGCTACACCGGATGGTGCAGTCCAACTGTGGCGGGCTGAGGCAGGAGGTTGGAAAGTTCAAAGCTCGCCTGGTCAAGCTGGTGAGTTGGCCAAGGTCAACTGTAATAACAATAAACACTCATGGTCTGAGTTCTTGTGGGCACGGAGTGGCTGAGTCACCTCCTGGAGAGAGCCTACCGTCGCCAGGCTGCCATCAGCTTACCTGGATGGGCGGTGGCTTTCAGGCGCTTGGGGTTGTAGACCCCGCCCTTCTCCCCCGCCTCCCTCCCTTGCGCGTGCGCAGACGCGGGAGGTCCCGCCCCCCTCAGCGGCTCTTTCTCTGGCAGCGCGACGGTCCTCAGCGGCAAGATGGCGACGGCGCAGCAGGAAGCCAGCGATGGAGCCGCGCAGTTGGCGAAGCCCGAGTCAGACACTGACCCCCTCGGCCGCTTCACGTGTCCCGTGTGCCTGGAAGTGTTCGAGAAGCCGGTGCAGGTGCCCTGCGGACACGTGTAAGTGGCGGGCGCCTGACGGGAGGGGGCGCGGAGCGCGGGTGGCCGGGGCGTCTGACGCGGGAGCACGGCGGCCGGTCGGTCCCCTCGAGCCTCGGCGTCGCGCCCCATCCGCCGCGGGCTGTGCATCCGAAGTATGCGCGTGACCGCCAGGCGGTCAAGACTCTCAGCGGGCGGCAGGTCTTGACAGCGGGCGCCGGGCTAGCCCGGAACAAAAGGGAAGTGTCGAGAGGCTCGGCCTTAGCCGCGCGCGGACCGGGTGCGGGCTGCTCACCCAGGCGCGCTCATTCGGGCTTTAAGCTTCCGTGGCCCGAGGCCCGATGTCACTTGTCCAGGCTGTCTCGGCCGGTTCAGGAGTTGAGCGAGGGCGACCTGGGCTTCCCCTCGGTGCTGTGTCCCTATAGCCTGATTCGAATTCCACCCTTGCACATCCAGACACCCCTAAGCTGAAGAGGCTGGGGACACACGACCACCTGCTTCATTTTCTCTGTGACCCCTCTTACTGATTGTTACCTGGGCATTGGTCTTGGTGACCCCGAAACGCCAGCACCCTCTGGGACCCACAGACATTCCCACTGCGGCCCTCTTTCCAGGTGAATGAACTTGAAGGGCTCTGTTGGGTCAGCCTCACCTGCCAGACTATCCCCAGCTGTGTTGTCAGGTCTGGTTCAGTCCGGAAACGCTGCCTGCGCTGGGCAAGACAGGGCCGGCCTTCCCAGCAGCGCGAGCCGCTTGCTGCTTCCAGGAACAAGACCCTCCAGCTTGAGTTCGGGCATAGGCAGCCTGGACCCATCACCTCCCCGCCACCACGCAAGCACGGCCTCTCACTTCTTTCCTGCGGCTTTGCTTGCCTTTTCCTTACGCAGAGCAGCACGTAGGGACCACAAGCGCAGAATGCCATGTCCTTTTTGCCCCTTAATGTAATCCAGAGCTGCGCACTGTGGGCATCCTTAGACCTGGCAGTCAACTTAACGGGAGTGTCTGCATGCCCTCTGTGTGCCGGCTTTGGGCTAGAGAAAGGTTTACAGGAAGCTGATAGTAAACGGTGGCCCGTGAGAGGATTCAGAAAGTGAAGGCACTTGTGACCAAGCCTGATGATGATTTACTCCTGAGGAGCCACACGGTGGAAGCTTCGACAGCGCCATACACATTTGCATGCAGGCACGCACACACTTTTCTTTAGAGAAGCACTAATGAGTGATCAAGCTATGATGTAGGTCACTCTGCAGTAGGAGAGCGGTGTGAGAGCTGTTTGTGAACTGTTGAAAAGCAACCAAATGGAGGCTTCCTTAACTTTCCGAGGTCAGAGGTCAAGGAACATCACTGGCATAGCAAGCATTACCAGCCCAGTACTCAGCAGTCTGATACTGTCTGAAGTCACACACTTTGGTGAGAGCATCGGACGTCTCAGCCTCTACTCAGTTGATTTTTAATGTTTGCCTGTGGAGCTGGAGAGTCCCACAGCTGTGGTTGGAACGTTTGATTTTTATGAAACTCGGGTCAAACCCTGAGTGGCTACACCCTCTGGATGCAGATACCCAATGCTAAAGAGCACTGACAGGAAGGCTGAACTAGAAACATCCCCATTGCTGGGAAGTAGAAACCGAAAGCTCCAGGCACAGTCCGCTTATTGGCTGCTTCCTAGGCTAGGCAGGGGGAAACTCAGTCTTACCCAGGCTGGTGAGCATCTGACAGGCCACTGAAGAAGCTGTGTCTGTCTGCATGCTGGGTTGGGTTCCTCCGCTGTCTTGAGTTATCTGGGGATGTGCTTTTTCAAAGGCCTGCCTGCCTTGCCTTTTCTTTGTGTGATCTGCCGCATCACTGTCCCAACGGCCTTCATGTCTTCACTTGACACATTCCTTCGTGTTTGGTGTCATCTCGTGGCACTGTCTTTGTCCAGGCCTTTGTGGCCTGCAATTCAGTGTCACCTCAGGTGCTTCCTGTGCTCACCCTGTGGTGTTACCCTTATTCTCCATCACCATGTGAAGTTACTGTGTTTTCTTCAATTTAAAAATATAGCATTGTAGTCCACACCTTTAATCCCAGCAGAGTCAGGTGGATCTCTGGGTGTTCAAAGTCAACCTGATCAATAAACAGAGTTCTAGGATAGCAAAGGCCGTTTGATACACAGAGAAACCCTGTCTCAAGAAAAGATAACAAAGACGTGTGTGTGTGTGTGTGAGTGTGTGTGTGTGAGAGAGAGAGAGACAGACAGACAGACATCATAAGCAGAGACTTGTGTCTCCACTCTACCCTCAGGTAAATCTCCCAGCCTGGACTAGAATTTTGCCTAACAGAAATGGTAAAGATTTCTTAAAGTAAACATGGTTCAGCTCTGCTTTAAGTACATACCCTGGCTCCATCAGGTTTCGATAGTGTAGCGTGAAGTCTGTCAGGGTGGGTGAGTAGTCCAGTGCCCTGGGCCCTCACAGCTGTTCTTTGTTGTGCGGCCCCACCAGTCACCTTGTCTTCCCACCCAGTGAGCCAGCCGGCGCTGCCTTTGCCTCAGGATCGTGGTTCGAATCTGTGGCACACAGTGCTTGCCAGGAGTCACGTGTTAGGTTTGCACTGTCTACCCCTCATTCTTCATATTGAAAAAGCATGCTGTTGCTGGGCAGTGGTGGCTTTAATCCCAGCACTTGGGAATCTGAGGCAGGTGGATCTTTATGAGTTCGAGGCCAGCCTAATCTACAAAAGAAGTTCCAGGACAGCCAGGGCTACACAGAGAAACCCTGTTCCAAAAAACTTAAAAAAATAAAAAATAAAGTGTGTTGCTGTCTGCAGTACACCAGAATCAATTTCCTGAAACTTGAATTTGGTATTAGTATCTTGCTTTAAACCTTTAATCTAGCCAGGCAGTGGTGGTGCACACCTTTAATCCCAGCATTCAGGAGGCAGAGCAGGCAGATCTTTGTGAGTTCGAAGCCAGCCTGGTCTACAGAGTGAGTTCCAGGACAACCAGGGCTACACAGAGAAATCATGTCTCAAACGCCCCCCCCCAGGGGGAAAAAAACTGGGACCTGCTTTTGAGAAAAACTTTTTGCCTCCCAAGCACTGGGATTAAAGGTGTGCTCTACCACCACCTGCCAAGAAACACTTTCTAGAATTTGGTTTCCTTAGAGAATTGTCAACCTGAGCCTCTCTCCCTCCCATATCTCCCATGTTTAATTTGCCTGCCTGTGAGTAAAGTTCCCTTGACACTTTTGAATTTGGGGTTGGTATTTGTTTGCTTTGTTTTTTGAGACAGGGTCTCTCTATGTAGCTCTGACTGTCCTGGAACTTGGTACATAAACTAGGTTGACCTCAAACTCAGAAAGAGCCTCTTGCCTCTTCCTCTTAAGTTCTGAGACCAAACAATTTTTTTTCCTTTTTTTCACCAAGCATAAACTGAAAATAATTTTTTAGCTGAGGTCATGGAATATTCTTCCCTTGTCAGCCAGTTGTGATCTTTTAAGGCTGGCCCAGAGGCTGCCTCTGAGGTCTGAGGAGCCCTGTTTGGGGTTATAATTAGCTCCTCTGTGTTTGTGTGTTCCCATGCTTTGCTTTCACCCCTGAGAGCAGCAGTTCCCTTTCCTGTTTGACACGAGCTAGATAGATTTCCAGTTAAGTGTTTGCTGTACATGGCCCATTCTCCAGCAGTCCTCCAGGTGGGTATGACACCTTCCTTCGACACACAAGAAAATGGGGTCAGGAAGCCCCACCAAGACTCCCTAATGACAGGAACTAGGCTTTGAAGGCTCAAGCATGCCTTTCTCCACGTAGTGAGTGCGTGAGCGTGTGTTCTCCATAGTGTCCCCAGCCCCAGCTACAGTTTTTCCTCTGTTCTGAATGGGATTAGTGTTTTATTTGAGTAAGAGTAGGAAATAGACTGTTCAAATCCATTATTCATTGGTGTCTTTTAAAGAGTTGATCCACTTTGTTGTCTTGTCTCTTTGCATGACAGAGGTTCTCTGTATGTCTTGTTCTAGCTTTTGCTCTGCATGCCTGCAGGAATGTCTGAAGCCGAAGAAACCTGTCTGTGGGGTGTGTCGAAGCGCTCTGGCACCTGGCGTCCGAGCTGTGGAGCTCGAGCGACAGATCGAGAGCACAGAAACTTCTTGCCATGGCTGCCGTAAGACTGTATGTGGACATAACATGGAGAGTCCTTGTCTCTGGGTGATGAGATGGTAAAACAGTTAGAGCCTGGAGTAGTGACTAACAGCACAAGTGCATGCCTGCTTCTGTGGTGGCTGTGCTGCTGGGGTTTTGTTTTTCCACACCTTGCTGGGCTTTTTTGTTTGCTTGTTTGTTTTTTCATGAGCTTTGGTTTAGTGATTTATAAATTTTACCTTTGAAATCCATAGAAATAAACCCCCATCCCCATAAACGACCCACCTTCGGCTGGGGAGTACACACCTCTATTCTAAGCACTTGGGGACAAAGGCAGTAAAGCTAGGGACCCTGAACCAGCATAGGTTACCGAAGACCTACTTCAAAGTGCAAACTCTCATGTGCTTTCTGTTTTAATTAGAATACAAGGGTATTTCATGATCTTTTAAAATGTATATAAAATGAAGCTAGGGTCTCAAAACACCTGGGACTCGGGGTGTAGTTCAATAGAGTGCTTACCTAGCATGCAGGAAGCCCTGGTTTCCATCCCAGCACTGTGTGTGGTAACAGGAGGATCCCAAATTCAGGGCCAACCTAGTATACATGAGACTGTTTCAAAACAAGAAAAGAAAAATCTGCACTGAGCTCAAAGAAAAGCTTTGTAGCCGGGCGTTGGTGGCCCATGCCTTTAATCCCAGCTCTCGGGAGGCAGAGGCAGGCGGATCTCTGTAAGTTCGAGACCAGCCTGGACTACCAAGCGAGTTCCAGGACAGCCTCCAAAGCCACAGAGAAACCCTGTCTCGAAAAACCAAAAAAAGAAAAAAGAAAAAAAAAAAGAAAAGCTTTGTAACCTGTCTCTGGGCTCATAAATGCACTGGCTCTGTTTTAACCCTTGAAAGACCCGAGTCGGGGGTGTGAGGCAGAGAGTGCATTAGCAGTGTCTACCTACCAGTGGGTGTGCCTGCCTGTGCCATCTCAAGGGCTGCACCGCTGTGCTTGCTTGCCCTGCTCACTGCTGCTGGGAGCACAGATAACTAGTACTTTATCTTCCTTGTTGGTTTTAAGTCATTCCAGTTGTTTATTGCAGACAGTAAAAACATAAATAAAACACCCCTGTTTGTTCCTCCACCAATCCCTCTTGAAAGGTGGGTCAGTTGACTGTGTGGTCCTGCACATTGGTGACCCTGGCACCTAGCCTGAGGCCAGAGGATAGTTTTACATTTAAAAGTCCGCTCAGCACCTTGTACCTTTAGGTGTAAATGTGTACAAACACAGTGAGGACACACCCCTGCTACTTATATTCTTTTGTCTTTTTATATTTGAAATTTTTGTTTTACTTCCTAGATAGCTTTGTATGTCATCTTTTGTTTGTTTTTTTTTTGTTGTTGTTGTTGTTTTTAGACAAGGTCTCACTGTGTATTCCTGGCTAGCTCAGAACTTGCTATCTAGAGCAGGCCAAACCTGAACTCAGAGTTCCACCTGCCTCTCAAGAGCTACAACATGAATAAGCATGAGTCACCACAGCCAGCTGAGTCTCATTATCTCTTTCATTTACTTCTGCAATCTCAGTTCTACCCCTGGCTGGCTTGCTTGGTTTGTTGGGGGTTCTGTTCTGTTTTTATTTTTTTGAGACAGGTTACTCTGTGTAGTCCTGATTATTTATCCTAGAGCTCTAAATATAGATGCGGCTGACCTGAGACTCATGGAGACCCACCAGCCTTTGTCTACAGAGTGCTGGGATTAAGTACTTACACCACCATGCCCAAGTTGGTGGTTTGTTTTTTAAATAGTCTCATGTGGCCAAGGTTGACTTTAAACTGATCTTCTGCCTCCACCTCTGAAGTGCTGAGATTACAAATGTGAGAAGTCTTACCTAGCAAGCTTCTTTCCCTCCTCCCTTTTATTTATTTGGTTGGTTGGTTGTTTTTTTGGGGGGGTTCCCCTTTCCCCCAGACAGGGTTTCTCTTTATTGTTTTGGAGTCTGTCCTGGAACTTGTTCTGTAGACCAGGCTGGCTATTTATTTTTTAAGATTTATTTACTTTATGTATATTGGTGTTCTGCCTGCATTTATGTCTGTGTGAAGGTGCCAGGTCCCCTGAAACTGTAGCTATAGACAGTACGAACTGTCATGTGGGTGCTGGGAACTGAACCTGGGTCCTCTGGAAGAGCAGTCCTTAACCGTTGAACCACCTCTACAGCTCTCCTCTTTCATCTTTTACAAATCAGGGTCTCTTGCAGACTCAACTAGCCTCAGACTCAGTATATCTAGGAATAACTTTGAATTCTGAACTTTGAGCATCATAGTGTAGATGACCATAGAATGGATGTATCTTTTCCACTCCATATTTTCAGAGGGGTTTAGTATTGGGTGCACAGTGAGACTCTTACAATGTTTATACAAGCCCATTCTGACATTTATTTTCAGGCTCCTCAGTGAACTGCCGAGTCTGAGTGCTCTGGGCCAGCTCCAGCTCCTAGGTTGGCAGCCGAGTCAGTGTGTTCTGGCCGGTGCCTACAGTTCTGGGATTATTAGAACCTTGTCTCCTTAGAGTTTCATTTTGAATCTCAAACTGGCCTTGATCTTTGTCTTTTTTTCATGCACACTTTGCTCCCCTGTATGCTTTAATTTTCTCCATTTGCAAGGTTAGTAAACCTGTGTCATTGGCACATGCTTGTAATGTCAGCACTGGGAAGGTGGAGACAGGAGGATCACAAGTTCAAGGCCAGCCTGGGCTATATAAGACCCTGTCACAAAACAAAATAAAAATTGATGGTTGTACGGTAGATATGCCCCTCCCCCATCTCTCCTTTCTTCATTCTATATAATTCTTTAAGAGCTCTCAAACAGGTGTGTTAGCATATGTCTATATTCTCTCCTGGGAAGGGTGAGAGAAGGATTTCTTCAGGCCAACTTGGGTAATAAATGCCAGACCCTGTTGCAAAACAACAAAAATGCAGCTGGAGGCAGACCAAAGTACTATTCAGTCTCTGTGTGGGTTAAGCTCACCTGAGACTCTTGGTAGTCCTCCTGCCTTACCCTCCCAGAGTCCTTGACATCACAGATGTGTACCACTCACTGTGCCTAAGTAAGAGACAAATTCAAATGTGAGTGTAGGGCCAGTGAGATGACTTTGCAGGTAATAGTGCTTGCTGCCTAATCCTAACTCCGGAGACCTGAGTTCGGATAGATGCAATAGCAGAATCATCTGCAATCCCCAGGAGAATCAGCAGAAACTTGTGGGGTGACAACCAGTCTGTCTTATGTAGGAGTGAAAGTCCTTATCTCTGGCAAGGTAGAAAAGTGAGGACCAGCACCTTGTGTGGCCTCCACAAAGATCGCACATATGCACAAAATAGAGTGTGGAATGCTTTTTAAATCATCACTGGATTTGGGGACGGTCAGTGAGCAGAGCGGACGGTGAGAGTGCCCTCACAGGGAAAGCAGATATAGGCAAGTGAGGCAGCCGTCCTGGCATGGTGAAGAACCGCAGCCTGCTGTCTGCCCACTGGCATAGCAGGAGTTCTGTGACTACTGACCCATGTGTGATTGCTAACCCAGTGTGTGGTCCAGTTTCTCCTGCCCCTGGTTTGGGATCACCTCTTAATAGTTCCTTACTAACTCTTGGTCCCGCTCTTTCTATCCAAGTACGTCCTATCTAAGATCCGAGCCCACGTGGCTTCATGTTCAAAATACCAGAATTACATCATGGAAGGTGTGAAGGCCACCACCAAGGATGCGTCCCTTCAGCCAAGGTAATGACCTATTCTTCCCCCAGAAAGATGTGGGATGCTTGTTGCGGAAGGGTTTAGGTGTTTGGATTTGGGGAATTGGATAAGGTTGAGAGGTTCTGGGGTGGGGGGATGTCTTCATGTGTTAGCTATGCTACTGATACCAAAACTCAAAACACTCAACTCTGATGCACAGTGGTCTTGGTTCTTTGGAGCGTGCGGTGGTTGAGATGGTGTGGATGGTTCTTAGGGTGCTCTTCTGTATCTCACCTCCCAGAAACGTCCCAAACCGGTACACCTTTCCTTGTCCTTACTGTCCTGAGAAGAACTTTGATCAGGAAGGACTTGTGGAGCACTGCAAATTATCACACAGCATGGACACCAAGTCTGTGGTAAGAATTCCCTTTTCTTTGACTAGGTAAAAAGTCAGACATACAAAAAATTACCAGACTGGCCGGGCGGTGGTGGCGCACGCCTTTAATCCCAGCACTCGGGAGGCAGAGGCAGGCGGATCTCTGTGAGTTCGAGGCCAGGCTGGACCGATAGCCTCCAAAACAATACAGAGAAACCCTGTCTCGTAAAAACAAAAAAAAAACCAAAAAAACAAAAAATTACCAGACTGTGTAGTGACGTCTTAACCCTTCACCTAACAGCATTTTGCCAAATTTGCTTAACTGTGTTCTATATATGTATTGGGGTTTTTTTTGGGTGGGGGGGGGGGGGAGGAGGCGTGTTTTGTATAACAATCCTCGCTGTCTTAGAACTCACTCTCTAAACAAGGCTGGCCCTGAAATCACTGAAATCCCCTTGCCTCCACATCTGAAGTGCCGGGATTAAAGACGTGTGCCACCACTGCCCAGGTAGGTAGGTAGGTAGGTAGGTAGGTAGGTAGGTAAGGTAGGTAGGTAGGTAGGTAGGTAGGTAGGTAGGTAGGTAGGTAGGTAGGTAGGTAGATAGATAGATAGATAGATAGATAGATAGATAGATAGATAGATAGATAGATAATTTGTGTGGGTTTTTTTTTTTGTTTTTTGTTTTTTGTTTTTGTTTTTTGGCTTTTGGTTTTTTGGTGTTTTTTTTGTTTTGTTTTGTTTTTTGGTTTTTTGGTTTTTCGAGACAGGGTTTCTCTGTGGCTTTGGAGGCTGTCCTGGAACTCGCTCTGTAGACCAGGCTGGCCTCAAACTCACAGAGATCTGCCTGCCTCTGCCTCCCGAGTGCTGGGATTAAAGGCGTGCGCCACCAATGCCCGGCTAGTTTTGTGTGTTTTTATTTCTTTTTTGTGCTGGTGGTTGAACCCTGGCCTTACCTATTATAGACAACTGCTTGACCATTAAGCCATTTTGCCAACTCAGAAGCTGTGGTGCTGTCAGAACTGGTAGAGGTGATCCAAGCTCCCAGACCTATTCAAGCTGGTCTCTTGCTCATAGCAGTCAGAAGGGAGGTGAAAGCAGCTCTGCCTCCTTACCTAGCTCGGCTCATGGCTGATGCTCCAGACTTGACCATCCCAACATCTATCCAGGGGTCTGCATTCAGTTCAAGAAGGGGAGGCCAGCTCCAGCTAAAGATGATCTTCCAGGTTCCAAAGTGAAAGGTGACCTCTGAAATGCCTGGAAATAAATAGGTGGTCACGGCTTGGTTAAGGCTGCAGGGGTATGTGAACTTGAATTGCTGAAATGGAGTTGGCGGCATGGACTCAAGGAAGCAAACTTGGCCTTTATGAGTTTAAAGAAGCGGTGTTTGCCTCCTAGACTAAGGAAGAAGCTGACTGGTCTGCAGGTGAGGAAGGCTGCTGTCTGTCGAGCTTATCAAACATAGCGGAAGTCAAGGGAGACTCGGGAGCTGCACGCGGTGTCCCAGTGCCGCTTCACTCTGACCTGAGCCAGAGCAGCACGCTCTGCTGTTGCCCCCACATCACTCCTGTAGCCCGGCTGGCCTTGAACTCCCTCCTTCCTCTGCCTCGTTGGTGCTGAGGTTACTGGCATGAGCTCTGTGCCTGCTCAGATTGACTTTGCATGTGCACACTTTAGGCCTTATCCCTGTTATTTGGGCCTTTATTACTTTGTTCTCATTCTTGTAAGGCTGAATTTTACTTTGTTGGGAATAAGTCACCCATCATTTTTTTTTTTTGTTTTGTTTTGTTTTGTTTTGTTTTTACGAGACAGGGTTTCTCTGTATTGTTTTGGAGGCTGTCGGTCCAGCCTGGCCTCGAACTCACAGAGATTCGCCTGCCTCTGCCTCTCAAGTGCTGGGATTAAAGGCATGCGCCACCACCGCCAGGCTGTCACCCATCATTTTAAGAGCCTGCTACTTGAATTAAATAGACAGTGTTTTCTGGTTTGCTTCATGTTTATGGAGAAGAGTAACCAGGCCTTGTACCAATAAAGCTGTCCTAGCACAAAGGGGGCTGAGCAGAGGTCACAGAGGGCTTGATTTAGCTCAGGCATCAGATCACAGCACCTTGCTTCCTCCTAACAGGTTTGTCCCATATGTGCCTCGATGCCCTGGGGAGACCCCAGCTACCGCAGCGCCAACTTCATGGAGCATATCCAACGCCGACACCGCTTTTCCTATGACACTTTTGTGGTGAGTCTGGACCCACACCAGGGGGTAGCACTGCTGCCCAATTTCCTGGGAGTGGGAGCAGCATGTGCACTATTCAAGCTTGAAGAACTCTGGTCCCAGAGGGAAGCTGCACAGTGTCTCTTTGTGGGTGGGTGGGTACCACTTGGGCTAGACTGTTAAGTAGGACAGGCCTCTGTGATCCCTGTCTCCACTACAGAGTGCTGGGATTACAGGTGTACACCTCAATTTTTTACATGGGTGGTGGAGATCTGAACTTGGATTCTTGTGCTTGGCCTAGCAGGCATTTAACCAGTTGAGTCCTCTCTGCAGCCCCAGGAATGTATCTATGTACACCACATGTGTGCAGTGCCTGCAGAGGTCAGAAAGTGCCTGATCCAGCCGGGTGTTGGTGACTCACGCCTTTAATCCCAGCACTTGGGAGGCAGAGGCAGGCGGATCTCTGAGTTCAAGACCAGCCTGGTCTACAAGAGCTAGTTCCAGGACAGCCTCCAAAGCCACAGAGAAACCCTGTCTCGAAAAACCCAAAAAAAAGGGGGGGGGCCAGATCCTGTGGGACTGGGACTGGGACTGGAATTAACGGTGGTTGTGTGATCCACCATGGATGATGAAAATGAACCTGGGTCCCCTGGAAAAGCAATCACTAATCTTAACCACCGAGCTGTCTCTCTAGCCCCAAGCTGTTAATTTTTATTTAATGGTGACACAGCAGAGACACTGAGATGAAGTCATTTTCCCAGTTACACAGCATCTAAACAGTGGCCTGGGGCCCCTAGTAGCCTTCTCCAGACCCTCTAGGCTCCTGCTGAAGGTGAATCTTGTGGTTGCGAACAGTCACTTAGGCTGCTGTCTTCTGTCCTCAGGACTATGACGTTGATGAAGATGACATGATGAACCAGGTGTTGCAACGATCCATCATTGACCAGTGAGCAGGGTCCTCGTGGTCCACTCATTCTAGAGCTTCCATTACGCATTGGGTGTGAGCACTTGACTCCTGCACCTCACATGTAATGCAGATCTGGAAATGAGCCATGGCACCAGACAGGATCACTTCTCCCAGGGTGACAGGGCCCTAGGGCAGAGCCCTGTTTCCTTTGGGCTCTTGTTGGCACTGTCTTCCCCACTGATAACCTTGTTTGTCCATGGTCTGCTCTCACACTCCCCAGCTACTGCCGCCTCTAAGAAGAGTCCAGCTTCTGTTCCCGCATGTTCCTGTTTCACATTCATCCTGCTGTCCAGTGTTCATCTCTTAGGTCCTCCCAGCCAGCCAGCCCCTTCCCCGGGCCATGAATAGCACAATTAAACAGGGACTCCTTTCCCTGGCCCTGAGGTACCTGGTTCTGCTGTATACCAGGCCAGGGCTGCGCTCCCCTCTTCTTCCTGAATGACCTTGGGGTTTCGCAAACTGATGCTGGAAGTTTTGGTTACTAGTTTCCCTACACCTTCTGCACATTCGTAGAACTGATGGCTTCTGTCTTAAATGCCTGACAGTGCCTTTTTAGGATAGGGTATCCCCGTAGAAACAGAATGGAAGTGTTGGATAGCGAAGCTGGGGTGCACTCATCTGTAGGTGGGCAGAAAGTGGGGGTGTGACTTGATTCTCTCCCACACTGATGAGTGTTCCCGGGTGGCTGGGTCACGTGCCCTCTGTTGTGTACCTGCTGATACTCTTGCTCTGAAGAAAAAGAGCCTTGGGGGATGGGGGCGGGGCACTGACTGTTTATGTGCAGCTTGATAACTTGAACCTGAGCATTATTGCTGTCATATGGACCTCCTTGCTCAAGTGTGTGTTTTAAAACCCTGCCTTTCAGTGCAAAGGCTGTGGCAAAGCCAGGGTCATACCTCACGTGTCTCTTCAAAACCCCTGTTGGGAAGTTAAGAAAGTTAGGCCCCTGCAGAAGTTAAGGAAGATGGTCTGCTGGAGGCTTTGTCAACAGCAGCCCTAAAAGCTGCAAGTCCAGCACATTTTACAAAATACAGTATGGGCACCATCAGGCAGCTGGCCAATCTGCAGAACCAGACCCTCTGACAGACCTAGGGCTTTGGGGGTAAGTTGTCCTTCCTGTCGTGTGGCTCTGGTCCAGCTGAGACTGCGTGCAATAGTCTGTTTTTGACGCCGTACTTCCACCGAGGCCTCTGCCTGCCAGGGAAAGGCTAGCTCAGATCCAGCAGAGACGGGCAGATCACTTTCCCGGTGTCAGTTGTTGGAAGGGCCCAGACATTACCACTTCATAGTACCCCCTGGAAAGGTTTGCTCAGGAGACTCCAGGAGGGAAGTTTGACACAGCCTTGACCTGAGGGACTGAGAAGGGCATAGTTGTGCAACAGGAACCTCGTGTCCTGCATCACGTCCACTATTTCTAATAGAACGGCTTTCCAGAAAGCTTGGTGGTTATGTTCTGGCTTTTAAAAGGTGAACTATAAATAAATTTCATAATTTATCCAATCAGCAAGCTGTGATGTGTTTTCATTAAATAGCTTTTTCCCAGGTCTGGACCTGTCAGCCTCCGGAAGGTTATTCTCCAGGGGAACATTCTTGTCTGCCTCTGAGTCAGCCTGGCTTCTTGTCAATTCTGAGGCTTCAGCAGCTGGGCCTGTCTTTTCTGAAAAACAGCAGAAATATCCCCCCTCTCCTTTCTGAGTGGGGAATTCACAGCAGGCCAGGCTCTAGACTTAGGTGTGACAGTTAAGGGGCTCATTCCAAGGGCTCAAACTTGGGTCCGTTTGGATGTGTGTACACTGTGCCTGACCCCTTATGAATGGGGTCATGGTATGTAATGAGCCATCTAAAGGAGTGTGCAGAATGGTGCATTGATGCTGCCTGGGATCCTCTGGGCTTTGTTCCCATCCTGATAACATAGGGACCCGAATATGACCCAGAGGTCTCAGCATATCCGTCTCTACCCTGTTCTGCCTACTTAACTCTGAGAAGAAACACCCAGCCCAGGTGGCTGAAAATGGCTCATTGTAACATCTCCAAGTGCCACACTGCATTCCAGTTGAATCTTGAACTCCAGTTTCTATTTATGTCCATTTGTTTCCTTGAGGTCTGTTGACACTGGGAATAAAATCCCTTGTAATACTAGATCCAAAAGCGACATTAGTCCAGGCATCATAACACAATGTCGTTCATTCCAGCACTGGAGATGCAGAGGCAAGCAGATAACTAGCCTGGGTTACATAGTAAGACTGTCTCAAAGGGAAAAAAACTTGAACTGAGTCCAGAGGCATATGGTGAGAAAATGTTACTACTCAAGAAACACTGCTAAGGTGTGGGGGTGGGGGGTGTCGGAGTGGAGGAGACTGACCATAGGTAGGAGGCAGATTGGACAGGTTGCAGGGGGGTTCATTGGCTGAGACCTTGCACTGAGTGTTTGGAGGGATATGGCCCGGTTTATATCCAGGAGAGGCTCCTTGGACACAGCAGACTAAGAAGCAACCACTGAAGTAGTCACGGTGTGCTGGTTGCACCTGAGCTGGTCTCACCAGCTCAAGCGTGTTTGGAAGGCGTGCAGTGTGTCGGCAAGCATTGGGGAGTAACATCATGATTGCCCCTGAAGGCTGGGTAAGCAGAGGTGGGAGTTAAGCTCCAGGGTGATTTGGGAGGAATCAGTTACGTTGATCACAGCTGCTCTGGGGTTTGTTCGCTATGTTGAGAAAAGAAGCTCTCCCCAGCCTAGGCTGGCCTCAGCAGTCCACCTACCTCAACCTCCTTAGTGCTAGAATTAGGAGCTGAACGTCACCTCAGTGTCCAGAAGAGACAAGACCTGGAGCTGTAGAGCCTTGTGCAGTTAACAGAGGGCCAGCCTGGCTCTCTGACATGCCCCTCGTCACCCCACTCCCTGCCCAACTGGCCAGCCTCAAGCTAAAGGCATCTCCGCTGCCTCAAGGTTCTGTTCTTGCATCTGCTGTCTAGTTGCTCAGGAATTAACCTGAACAGCAGCTTGAACTCTAGCTTCTCAGCTCCCCGTTATTCCCAAATCAAACTTGAGCTCCTGAGCAGCGGTCTCCAGCCAGGCAGTGGTGGCTCTGGAGGCAGAGGCAGGCAGATCTCTGAGTTCAAGGCCAGGCTGTTCTACAGCATGAGTTCCAAGGCAGCCCGGGCTATGCAGAGAAACTATCTGGAAAATCAGAACAAAAAAATCCAAGAGTTGAAATGAACTATGTGGGGCCATTCCCTCTGGTCACTTCTCTGTGGGAACTGTTCAATGCTTGGGAGAGCCAGGCACAGCCTGCTGGAAAGCATGAAGGGGTGGTGTGTCCCAGGCCCCCCAGGCAGGGGCATTCTTATCCTGAAGCACTGAAGCTGGGTGACACAGAAGATGCAAGACCAAGCCAAGGGGGTTCCCCAGATGGGCTTTGACCTGTCAGGTCCTCCATGTGGTCCCTGGATACCTCTTGCCGGACTTTACTAACGCATTCTGATTATACAGGCCAGGAGGGGGGGGGGGGGGCCTCGGGGCTTGGGAAGCATGCAGAGGTGAGTCTAACAAGGCCTCCCTTCCCAGCCTCACCTTCACCAGCCGTGTGCCCTCTTTGTTCCTCCACTGGCATCTGACAACGGAGATTCCCGAAGTGACTTCCTTCTAGAAGTGTGAGAATCCACACAAAGAATTAGGAAACTGAGCACAACATGACACACCCCCGGGACCTTAGCACTCAAGTGAAAGCGGAAGATCAGAGGCCAAGGACATCTGCGGCTATATAGCAAGTTCCAGGCCAATCTGGGCTACATGAGACCTTGTCTTAACACACACACACCCCAAATTAGTATTTTTCCCCATTTTTTGAATATTTTTATTTTATGTGCCACATTGGTGTTTTGTCTACATTTATATGTGAGGATGCCAGATCCACCACTCCCGCTTTTTTTTTTTCCTGGTTTTTACGAGACAGGGCTTCTCTGTATTGTTTTGGAGGCTGTCGGTCCAGTCCGGCCTCGAACTCACAGAGATCCATCTGCCTGCCTCTGCCTCCCGAGTGCTGGGATTAAAGGCGTGCGCCACCACCGCCCAGCCACTCCCCGCTTTTTTTGAGACAAGGTCTCTCTATTATGATCCTGAAACTCACCATGTTGACCAGGCACGCTTCGAACTAGGATCTACCTTGTCTCTGACTCTCAAGTGCTGGTATAAAAGGCACATGCCACCACACACAGCTAGGAAGATCGTTTCAGTAAAATTCTTTATTTTTTAGACAAGGTCTCTTGTGTCTGGGGTTGAGCTAACCCTAAGTAGCTCAGGGTAATCTCGAACTTGTGATTCCCATGCCTCAACCCCAAGTACTGAGGTTATAGGTGTGCATCACTTTGATCTGTGTATGTTGTGCTGGGCATCAAACCAGGCTTGAAGCCGGGCGTTGGTGGCACACGCCTTTAATCCCAGCACTCGGGAGGCAGAGGCAGGCGGATCTCTGTGAGTTCGAGGCCAGCCTGGTCTACAGAGTGAGTTCCGGGACAGCCTCCAAAGCCACAGAGAAACCCTGTCTCGAAAAACCAAAATAAAAAAAAAAACAGGCTTGAGGTACGTTAGGCAAGCCCCCTACCAACTGAGCTACACCTCAGGCCCTTTTCTGTTCTGTCTTGTCTCAGGTGTCCCATGTATCCTAGGATCCCCAGTGTCTGCCTCAGCTGCTGGGGTCACAGGTATGTGTCACTGCACCCAGCTCTGAAGCTTCAACGTTAAGGGCTGCATGGCACTGCTGGGCACAAATGGAGGATACTTTGTTGTTGTTGTTGTTTGAGTGGTTTTACTTTTTTGGTGTTTTGGACTGTCGTGGAACTCGCTCAGTAGACCATGCTGACCTCAAACTCACAGAGATCCGCCTGCCTCTGGGATTAAAGGTGTGTGCCACCACCACCTGGCAAGGATACTCCTTTTTTCAGTGAGCTTTCCAGTTTGACACTGCTGTAGTGAGCACTGCAGGGAGCAAGTCCATAAACACTGCATGTTTGCCTGTGCGACCAGATCTGTGCAGAGCTGCTGAACCGACAGCTGAGAGGCTGAGAGGAGTGAAAGCCTGGACCCTTTCGTACAGTTCCTCATGTGGTGGAGACCCCCCCATAAGATTAGTCTCGTGGTTACTTCATAACGTAACTATGAGTCAGAATGTAAGTATTTTGAAGATAGAGGTTTGTCAACAGGGTCGCAACCCACCGGCCAATGAGAGGAGACTGAGCGCCAGAGAGACAGAGAGAGAGAGAGAGAGAGAGAGAGAGAGAGAGAGAGAGAGAGAGAGAGAGAGAGAGAGAGAGAGAGAGAGAGAGAAGTACAAGGTGGAAAGAGGAGAGGAGAAAGAGAGATATGGGGATCTTTTCTGGTGAGGGGTCCTCAAGCCTGGCCACAGGAATCCCAGCAGAAAGTGACTCAGAGACTCAGGAACGCATCCTACAGACAAACATAGATGGGGCCAGACTCTTAGGAGCAAAGATTTCCACTAGCGCCTATTCCTGGAGAGCAAGGTGGGGCTCAGCCATGGCTGCTGATAGGTCCCTGAGTGTCATAGTGTGTACGCATGTATGTGTGCATGTGTGAGCTCATATGCATGTATTATATGCATATGCATGTATGTGTGTATGCATCCTGAACTTGTATGCATATGTATGTATATGTGTGTATGTGGTGTGTGTATGTGGATGTGGGGGGCGAATGTGTGGTGGTTAATATGAGTGCAGGTGGTCATGTGAGTGCCATGGGACAACTCGCCGCCACCGTTCTCTTCCTTTCTTTGAGTTTCACGGATTAAAATCAGGTAGTCAGGCTGGTACGGGTTAATCTTTTACTCAGTGAACTGTCTTGCTGTTCAGGACTATTTGTTTTTCTTCCGTTTGCTTGATTTCTTCGAGGGTCTCATGTAGTCCAGGCTGGCCCTGATCCCCTCCTGACCTTCCTGCATCCACCTCCCAAGATCTGAGTCTGAGACAAGTGTATGCCATTTGTAAAATGCTCTCTCTCTCTCTCTCTCTCTCTCTCTCTCTCTCTCTCTCTCTCTCTCTCTCTCTCTCTCTCTCTCTCTCTCTCTCTCTCTCTCTCTCTCTCTCTCTCTCTCTCTCTCTCTCTCTCTCTCTCTCTCTCTCTCTCTTTCCTCTCTCTCTCTCTCTCTCTCTCTCTCTCTCTCTCTCTCTCTCTCTCTCTCTCTCTCTCTCTGTCTCTCTCTCTCTCTCTCTCTCTCTCTCTCTCTCTCTCTCTCTCTCTCTCTCTCTCTCTCTCTCTCTCTCTCTCTCTCTCTCTCTCTTCCTTCTCTCCTCTCTCTCCTCTCTCTCTCTCTCTCTCTCTCTCTCCTCTCTCTCTCTCTCTCTCTCTCTTCCTTCTCTCCTCTCTCTCTCTCTCTCTCTCTCTCTCTCTCTCTCTCTCTCTCTCTCTCTCTCTCTCTCTCTCTCTCTCTCTCTCTCTCTCTCCTCTCTCTTCCTTCTCTCCTCTCTCTCCTCTCTCCTCTCTCTCTCCTATCTCTCTCTCCTCTCTCTCTCCTCTCTCTCTCTCTCCTCTCTCTCTCTCTCTCTCTCTCTCTCTCTCTCTCTCTCTCTCTCTCTCTCTCTCTCTCTCTCTCTCTCTCTCTCTCTCTCTCTCTCTCTCCTCTCTCCCCTAGTCCAGCACTCACTATGTAACCCAGGCTGGGCACCTGCCTCTACCCACCAAGAATTGTGTGTCTAGGTGTAAGTCGCATTAGAACCAGTTTCTAAATAGATCCCAAGATTGAACAAATAAAACTATGGAAGGTCCCAGTTAAGTCTGGATTCAGCTAAGATGTTCTCTGTAGTTTTATGCCGAGAACTTACTCCTTATCTATATGGAATTGTAATTCAACTTGTGCATCTGTGTTGTATCTGGCAAATTTATCTCTAAGATAAGAGGCTGAAGGGTGCAGTTAGCTCAGGGCTCCTCCTGGTGAGAGCTGTACCTCCCCCGGCCACACAGCCCTTCCATTCACTTTAAGACCAGGTCTCAGGAGCTGGTTCCATCCCCACCACTGCATAAACCGGGTGCAGTAGGTCAGGCACGGAGGTAGTGGCTGGGTCAGAAGTCAAGGTCATCCTCAGCTGAGGAACCCAGGCTCAGAAAGCAGGGCTCCTGGGCCCTCTGCCCTCAGCCTCACAGCCTCCAGAACATTCTCTTTTCCTGGCTCGAGGGTTTATTGTTGCACCACTGCCCTAACCACAGGACACCCACACCTCAGCTGGGCTCGCCTGGTTTACCACGGTACCCCATCCCCTCAGCCAGGTTTGGAGGCGACACTGGCATCTCTGAACTGCTTGTTCACTGGGCAGATCTGTGGTCCAGCAAAGGCCTGTGAGCAGGAACAGAACGAGGGTCAGCTCTAAGGACAGGTCTGGTGGCATGAGCAGACTATGACCTTGGAAAATCATTGACTATCCATGAGAGGGGCTAAAAGAAGATGAGACCAAAGCCGGGCGGTGGTGGCGCACGCCTTTAACCCCAGCACTCGGGAGGCAGAGGCAGGCGGATCTCTGTAAGTTCGAGACCAGCCTGGACTACCAAGCGAGTTCCAGGACAGCCTCCAAAGCCACAGAGAAACCCTGTCTCGAAAAACCAAAAAAAAAAAAAAAAAAAAAGATGAGACCAAAGGACCAAAGTACATTTTTATATATTATACAAATTATATGTCCATTTCATATGTGTGAAATTGTGAAATAATACTTTTTTTTTCAGAAGAAAGCCACTGGCTGTTATTTTCCCTGCCTCCTTTCCTCCCTCCCTCCCTTCTTTTTAGAGTTTTTCTTTGAAGAAGGGCTTTGCCATGTAGCCCAGGCTAGCCTTGAACTTGGACAATCCTGTCTCAGCCTCCTGTGTGCTGGTATTGAACCATGTCCAGCTTCACTTTGAAAGTGTGCGTGTGTGTGTGCCCCCGTGTGACATGTGTATGTGTGCCCCTGCGTGACATGTGTGTGTGTGCCCGTGTGCATGTGTGTGTGTGCCCCTGTGTGCATGTGTGTGTGTGCCCCTGTGTGCATGTGTGTGTGCCCCTGTGTGCATGTGTGTGTGTGCCCCTGTGTGACATGTGTGTGTGTGCCCCTGTGTGACATGTGCACATGAGTGCAGGTGCTCAAAGTCCAGACCAGACCCTGGAGCTGGAGTTACAGACGGTTGTGATGCCAGGCATGGGAGCTGGAGTTACAGACGGTTGTGATGCCAGGCATGGGAGCTGGGAACACAGCTCTGCTCATCTTTCCAGACCACCCCCTCTTTGAGACAGGTGGGGTCTGCTTATGTGGCCCAGGCTGGTCCCAAACTCCTAAACCCAAATACATTCATCCTTTTATTCCCACCGTTGCCTTATGGGGGAGGTGGGTTTCTGGGGACTGATCTCAGGACTTTGTGCAGGGAATGCTTAAAGCCTCGCTTCTTCAGCACCCTGCATCCCTTCTCCTGCCCTCTGTGGTTCAGCAATGTTCGATAGCATGCCTGACTGAATGCAGGAGAAACCTGAGTTCAATCTCTGGGCACCCCAAAAGACACACAAAAGAGAAGGTTTGTGCCGGGCAGTGGTGATGCATGCCTTTAATCCCAGCACAGAGACAGGTGGATCTCAGAGTTAAAGAGGCCATCCCAGGGACTGGAGAGATGGCTCAGGGGTTAAGAGCACTGGCTGCTCTTCCAGAGGTCCTGAGTTCAATTCCCAGCAACCACATGGTGGCTCACAACCACCCGTAATGAGATCTGGTGCCCTTTTCTGACCTGCAGGCATACATGCAGGCAGAACACTGTATACATAATAAATAAATAAATCTTAAAAAAAAAAAAGAGGCCAGGCCAGGGCTGCTACACAGAGAGACCCTGTATTGAAAAAAAAAACAAAAAAGAAAAAGTTCTTAAACAGGATTGCTTTTTACCTGTCTCTCTGCAGCTGGGCTTCTTGGGGCTCCTGAGTTTCCCCCAGGTTCTGTTATCCCTGCACAAAGGAGTACACAGACCTTGGTCAACGTTTACATCCCGGCAGTGATGAGATGTACTCCTCTCCTTGTGGAAATGGGCAGAGAGTCACTGTGGATTTCGTTTGTTTGTTTTTGACTTTTTGACATAGGGTCTCTGTGTAGCCCTGGTTATCCTGGAACTCTCTCTCTCTCTCTGTAGACCAGGCTGACCTCAAACTCAGGAGATCAGCCTGCCTCTGCCTCCCAAGTGCTGGGATTAAAGATGTGCACCACCATCACCCAGCTATTCATTTCACTTTTGATATTTAAGAAATGTATGTAGGGCTGGAGAGATGGCTCAGAGGTTAAGAGCACTGGCTGTTCTTCCAGAGGTCCTGAGTTCAATTCCCAGCAACCACATGGTGGTTCACAACCATCTATGAGACCTGGTGCCCTCTTCTGGCATGCAGACATAAATGGAGGCAGAATGTTATACTCATAATAAGTAAATAAATCTTTAAAAAAAGAAAGAAATGTATGTATATGAGTATTTTCCCTGCATGTATGTCTATATGCCATGTACACGCAGTGACAGGTTTTTGTTTGTTGAGACGTGGTTGTCCTTGTGGTCCTCCAGCCTCTACTGTTACAAGCGTGTGCTGTGCTGAGTTTTTTTCTTGAGGTTGACACTAATTAGGTTACCTGGTAACTAGGGTTTCAAATTCAGACACTCCTTAAACTCACTGTAGGGACTGTCTTAGCTGAATGGCCATGGGGCAAACTTGACTGGAGTTTATCAGTTGTGACAACAAAGTAAGCCCAGCCTAGGATGGGTTCCCTAGCGAGGCAGTGAGGAGGGTGGAGGGGTGGCCCCAGGCACACTTGTTGCAGAGGGAGCTGGTGAGCCCTTTGTGACATTCTGGGAAAGATCACAGTACAGATGGGAGCCCTAGATGCAGTGTCCCTGAGGCTAGAGCATACCCAGTGACAGGGACCTCAATGAGGGAGTGTATGTGTGTTGTGTGGCTGTGTATGTGTGTGTTTTATGGATGGATATGTCTGTATTTTGTGTATATATTATGTGTGTGCATAGTGTGTTTATTGTATGTGTGTGCATTGTGTATGTATTATATATGTGTACATCGTGTGTGTAGTATATGTGTGTGCATTGTATGTGTGTGTGTATGTATGATGTGTGTGTGTGTATGTGTGTGTGTGAGCTGTGTATCCTTAGGTCCTTGTTGGCTTTTCTAGGAGACAGAAGTGGGGTAGTTTATGCACACAAGGAGGGTGTCCAAGGTGCAGTGGCAGAAAGAGTTCACCAACTGCTGTTGCTTATTTTAGAATTTAAAGTTCATTTATTATGATCATATCTACATATGATGTGTGTGCTGGTGTACACTTGTGGGAACCACTAGACACTTTGTGGAGTCAGTTCTTACCTCCATCTTTAAATGGGTTTCAGTGATCAAACTCCGGTCAACAGACAGCGAGTGCTGTTACCTGCCCAGCATTTCCTGGCCCTACACTTTTGTTTGTTTGTTTTTTGTTTTTTTTTGAGACATGGCTTCTCTGTATTGTTTTGGAGGCTGTCCTGGAACTCACTCTGTAGGCCAGGCTGACCTCAAACTCAGAGATCCTCCTGCCTCTGCCTCCCGAGTGCTGGGATTAAAGGCATGTGCCACCAACGCCCGGCTTGTGGCCCTACACTTTTAATTGGTTAACAAACCCTCTGTGGTGAACTTCCCACTTCAAAATCAACACTATGAGGGGCTGTAAATGGCTCAGGTGGTGAGACATGTACCTGAGTTTGGTCTCCAGCACCCACATGGGGTAGCTCACTACCACCTGGAGCTCTAGCTCAAGGGTGGCTGATGCCTCTGGCCTGCACTGGCCACACACACGCGCGCACACACACACACACACACACACACACACACACACACACACACACACACACTAAATCTTTTAAGCTGGGTGGTGGCAGCCCACACCTTTAATCCCAGCACTCGGAAGGCAGAGGCAGGCCCATCTCTGTGAGTTCGAGGCCATCCTGGTCTACAGAGCAAGTTCCAGGACAGCCTCCAAAACAATACAGAGATACCCTGTCTTGAAAAACCAAAAAAAGAGTACTTGCTGCTGTTGTAGAAGATATGGGTTCAGTTCCCAGCACCCACATGGAGGCTTACAACCATTTATAACTGCAGTTCTAGGACATCTGACACCCGCTTCTGACCTCTGATAGCAGCAGGTGCACATGCATACATATATGGTGCACATACATACTTATGTGGTGCACATGTGTGGTGCACATGCGTGCATGTGTGGTGCACATGCATACATGTGTGGTGCACATATATACACATGCCAATTACATCACAGCAGCAACAAGGAAGCACCTGAACCATGTGTCTGAAGCTGTAGCTGGTAGGCAGAACTCTTACCCAGTACCCACAGAAATAAATACAACTTACTAACAGAAAGGCTTGTCGTGTAGCAAAGGTCTTCCCTCCACACCACCTTCCCTCCCTAAAGACATCCTCACCACATTCTAGTCCCAGCAGGAAAGCCTCTCAGGTCTCTACCTGCCTAACAGTTTCTCCTTCTCATATGCAAAGGACCCATTGTGCTGCAGTCACCTAGATCACAAAGCTGAAGCGTTCACTTCCATTCAATGTGGAGCCTGGAACTTCCTCCTGCAGGGCTATAGGACCTTAGGGTGCGTGGCCTCCTGTGGGCTGGTTTGAAATGCTGTAGGGACCTCCTCCACAGAGTCTGGTCCCAGCAGATAGATGCTTCAGTTTTTTTGTTTGTTTGTTTGGGTTTTTTCATTTTGGTTTGGTTTTTTCCGAGACAGGGTTTCTCTATTGTTTTGGAGGCTGTCCTAGAACTCACTCTGTAGACCAGGCTGGCCTCCAACTCACAGAGATCCGCCTGCCTCTGCCTCCTGAGTGCTGGGATTAAAGGCGTGCACCACCAATGCCCATCTGATGCTTCACTGTTGAGAAGGAGAAGGCTGGTAGGAGTCCCCTGACCCAGAAGCCAGCCCAAAGCAGTTTGTATCCATGGCCAGTGACTGGCAGGTCAATGGGAAAGGTCAGCCTGAGCAAATTCAGTGATGAGAACTCCCCAGAATAGAAAGTCAGAGGAGGGGCCCTGGGACAACAACCGTGGGTGGAGGGACTTGCTGCCAGCGTTTCAGTAAACGTGGAAAGGCACGCGGCACGGGGGCATTCAAACTTCACTCACACATGCTTAAAGGAAACGGGTTGGGGACATATGTCAGAGGTGACTGATTAGCTTTACTCTCCAGTTCTCCTGGAAACAACAACAAAACAACAAAGCCAGACACAGGCTGAACTCTCGAGTTCTAAGCCAGCCTGATCTATAAGTTCCAGACCAGCCAGGACTACACAGTGAGACCTTGTCTATAAATAAGAAAAAGAAAGCCAAAAGCCAGGCAGTGGTGGCGCGCGCCTTTTACCCCAGCACTTAGGAGGCAGAGGCAGGCAGATTTCAGCTAGTCATGGACAGCCTGGTCTACAAAGCAAGTTCCAGGACCGTCAAGACTGTCTCGAAAAACAAAAACAAAAACAAAAGAAAGAAAAAGAAGTTATCAACTTGTTGACCAAAGGACTTGAAAAGTAGTTTAGAATACAAAGAAAGAGAAACAGCTCTGGGCATGGGAGAGCTGTCCCTGTTACTCATCTGTCATGTGGTGGCATGGGCAGGGGAGAGATGGCCCCCTCAATGCTTGAAGCAGGTGGGAGAGCTGGCCCTGAGGTCAGAAGGCAGTGAGAGCAGGCCCTGTCCTTGTCTGGCCCTGAAGATGTAGGTGTGTGAGAGCCAGCCCCAGGTCAGGAAAGCAGGAAGACTGGCCCTGGAGCTCTGTAAGGGGCGAACTCACCAGGGCGAAGCCGGAGAGCTCACCCCGGGGTGGGGACAAGGGAGAGCTGCTGGCCTGACCAACCCTGCAACTATCCAGGCCCAGAACCAGGGTTCTGGGTTGACCCACGCCAACATCCACCCCATCTGGGATCTGCTGGAGCACGGAAGGGACTGGTCCTGCAGGCCCAAAGCTGCAGGATCTCCACAACACCGGGGAACACAGGATAACCGAGAGGAGTCCCAGTGAGGACCCAGCATCAGTAGTATAGCAGAAACCAGAGGCCTCGAACCAGACCAATGGTTCTTTGCAATGAACACCTGCAAGGAAAGACATGGATGGAAGGGTTTACTGCGTGACTTGCTGTGTCACACTGCAGCTTCCATGATGATATTTCCCCCCTTTCATCTTAGGTTTTATAGGGGTGGGGGCCGCAAGAGCAGAGGGCAGACACTCAGCAATGAAAAATGAATGGGATCGAGATGCATGAGATGAAAGACACAAAGAACAACAGCAAAACATAAACAAAAATAAAAGAGAACCTCTGGATGTAAATGCCCAGGTTGGATCAGACAAACCCCAGAAGAAGCCAACACTGGCTGTGCAAAGTGCAAATCCCAGCCCAGAGGCCCGATCTCAGACAGGAGAGATAAAAAGCGAGGAGACAATAGCACGTGCTTTGCAAAGTTTTGCAAAGGAATCCTCCACTCCCTGCTGAAGGGAATTCAACTTAACCTTTTTGGAAGACATTTAGTTTTACGGAACACACTGGCTACGTCTGCAGTACAGTGCTAGGTAGATGGGCAGGATCACTCCTTGAAATTGCTCCATTATTTGTGGCAGAAAAAAAAAGTGGCATTCCATGGTGGCACACATTTTTAATCCAAGCACTTGGGAGGCAGAGCCAGACAGGGCTCTGAGTTCAAGGCCGGCCTGGGTCTACAGAGTGAGTTCCAAGACAGCCAGGGCTATCCAGAGAAACCCTGTCTCAGAAAAAAAAATGTCATCTGAATTCCCAACCAAGTACCCTTGTTAAACAAAATCCACAGAATAAAAAGTTTGGAATGGGGTGTCATGGTACAGGCTGTAATCCCAGACTTTTGGGAGACTGAGGCAGAAAGATCACAGATTCAGGCCCAGCCTGGGCAATTAACCCAGATCTTGTTTAAAAGTGAAAGTGTGAGATGGTTCAGAAGGAAAAAAGCATTCACCGCCGGGCAGTGGTGGCGCATGCCTTTAATCCCAGCACTCGGGAGGCAGAGGCAGGCGGATCTCTGTGAGTTCGAGGCCAGCCTGGTCTACAAAGTGAGTTCCAGGACGGCCTCCAAAGCCACAGAGAAACCCTGTCTCGAAAAAACAAAAGAAATGCAGCCATGTATTCACACTCACACACACACACACACACACACACACACACACACACACACACACACACAGCCACCATTAAGTGGTCCCTGATTGCTCTCCTTGGAAGGGGAAATGCAGGGATGCAGGGAGCCATGTTGGCCAGCAGGGGGCGCAGGAGGACTGCACCCCAGGCGAGATACAAAAACAAAAAAAACAAAAAAACAAAAACAAAAAAAAAAAACGGCGGGGGAGCCTTCAGGGAGCTTGTGGGAGACTCAAAAGAGTTACTTGCAATCTCTGCACTCAAGCAGAGGCTAGACTGGTCTACAGAGAGAGAGTAAACAGAATCCCTGTCTCGAAATCCCCCCTCCCGAAAAAGAACAAACAAAACCAAAATACAAGCTGCCAGGTGATGGTGGCACACGCCTTAAATCTCAGCACTTGGGAGGCAGAGGGCAGACGGATCTCTGTGAGTTCAAGGCCAGCCTGGTCTACAGAAAGTAGGTCTGAGTAGCAGGTGCCTCTGCAGGACGGGCCTCTAGTCTCACTCACCTGTTCTGACATCGTCAGGAGATAGCAGCCACCAAGGTCTCTTGTAGCCCAGGTTGGCCTTGGACTCTGCCAGTGACAATGATGTCAATGCTGAGTGCTGGGATTACAGGCATGTGAGTATGCATGGACACACCAGGCTAGCCACCTAGTTTTACAGTTGAGGCTGCTAGAGGCTAGGTACCTTCCACCTGGAGAAGCCCACCTAGACTTGGAGGCACTCCCCCCGTTCTGGCCTGGGGCCCTGAGCCCAGCTCTGACTGCAAGTAGGGCCTAAGGGGATGTGAACAGGCACTGAGGGTAGGTGCCAGTTCTGTGAGCTTCAGAGAAGAGAATTTTCTGGAAGTGGGGACACGAGATTTGACACAGAGCCTCTTGAAAATTAAGATCTTTTCAAAGAGTTATTTGTTGAGGCTGGGGGTGTGGTAGCATGGTGGTCCACACCTTTAATTCCAACACTCAGGAGGCAGAGGCAGGTGGATCTCTGTGAGTTCAAGTTTAGTCTGGTCTACATAGCAAGTTCTAGGACAGCCATGACTACATAGCTCTTCCTCTCTAAATGTGTGTGTATAAATATATATACACATGTATAAATATATATACCTGCATGTATTAATGTATACACTCATGGGTACAGGTGTTTTACCTGCATGGATTTCTGTGTATCATGCACGCGCAGTGCCTGTGGAGACCAGAGAAGGCAGTAGACTCCCTGGAATCAGAGTTACAGATGGCTGTGAGCTGCCGTGTAGGACCTGAACCTGCCTCTCTGTCACCTGACAAAATGCACCCAGGCAGTGCCCTGGTCAGCCCAGGGTTCCAATTTCGAAGCCTGCACAAAGGAGCAAAGGACCCCTTTAAAAGATAGACCCTCAACCAAAAAATAAAAAAATAAATAAAAATAAACGTAAAAGCCGGGCGTTGGTGGCCCACGCCTTTAATCCCAGCACTCAGGAGGCAGAGGCAGGCGGATCTCTATGAGTTCGAGACCAGCCTGGACTACCAAGCGAGTTCCAGGACAGCTTCGAAAGCCACAGAGAAACCCTGTCTCGAAAAACCAAAAAAATAAAAAAAATAAAAAATAAAAAGATAGACTCTCCCCCCAGCCACACACTTACTACTCTTCTCTTTCCCTGCTGTTCCCCTGGGGCAGACAGGACTTTTCCTGTCTCCCTTCTCTTCTTCTTCTTCTTCTTCTTCTTTTTTTTTTTTTGTTATTGTTTTTCGAGTCAGAATTTCTCTGTATTGTTTTGGAGGCTGTCCTGGAACGCATTCTGCCATGGATGAATCCAGCAAATTCCCCTCTGAATTATCCTAACACCCAGGTCGTCTGTAAGAGCAACCAGTGATCTTGACCACAGCTAACTCTCCAGCCCCGCTGAATAAATGTGTGTGTGTGTGTGTGTGTTTCTAAGACAAGGGTTTCTCTGGAGCCTGTCCTGGAACTCACTCTGTAGACCAGGTTGACCTTGAACTCACAGAGATCCACCTGTCTCTGTCTCCTGAGTGCTGGGATTAAAGGTGTGCGACTTGCCTGGGAAACAAATCTTAATTCTCTCCTTCCAAGCAAACACCTTTGCTTTCGGTGGCCTCCCGAGGCCTGTGAGCCAGCACCTGGGAGGGGGAGGGGAAGGATGAAGCGCTTAAGGTCATCCTTGGTTACATAGCTAGTTTGAGACCAGACCCTGTGTAAAAAATATCGAAAATAGCAGCAGAAGAAGTTAAGGTCTCTGGATGTAACTCACAAAGCCCTGGCTTTGACCCCCGCACTGCATATAGGTCAAGAAGACCCTATCTCAAAAATAGAAAAAAGGTTGGAGCCGGGCGTTAGTGGCTCACGCCTTTAATCCCAGCAC